GGAGACAGTAGATCAGATCATGTGTTTGAGACTGTTCAGTCCGAAGATTCGGAACTAAATAATAGTATGATGCAATGGGTCAAGTTACACAGCCGTTCCTTTCCAGCGGGCCGCGATGGCCGCTTGTTTACATCTATCCGCTGACTTGACCTCGGCTTATAGATTTGGGTGTGTATCTTAATTAGAGTCTATGAATGGTCAGGGAAGTAGTATACACCTGTCTGTCCGTTTGTCCGACGGCTGTGGTAGATGCTAGTCCAAAGCAAGGTTGAACTCCGGGTGTCGGCTTCTGTAACGTTAATTATTGTTTTGCACATGCCAAACAAGTAGAAAGGGGTATTTTGAGATTGTCGCTCATGTAGTCAAAGATCGTGCCATTCTTCATCGAGCAGGCAAGATGGCCGAGTTGGTCTAAGGCGTCAGGTTAAGGTCCACCTTAACTCCCACTGTTTCGGCAGTTTCCTGATCTACGTTTGTAGGCGTGGGTTCGAATCCCACTCTTGTCATTTCTTTTTTTGTGTTTTACTTCTGTTCTCTCTCTATCCATAGATAGATAAATAGCTACTGCAAAACCCATGGCTGTTTGCTGTTCGCTTGCCGTGGATTTGTTTCTTTCCGAAGTTTGCTATAGCTAGACAGACCTATTACTATAACGACTCACATAGCCCATTGTTACTTTTTGCGATCTATTCTTTCTTTCTTTTGTCTTTGCCTCATTATATACACTTTTGACTCTCGTTCTTGCCATAATCATATTCACTTATAACACCTCGAAGCCCTACACCCCAGTGACAGATCTGGCGATCTAGATTGATACATGTTCCCTCCGTCCCCTGCTTCCATTCCTTCATCCACCTATCTATAATTAGTACCCGACAACCGTTGCAATGCGTCTCGTGATCCTTCTTGTTACTCTTCAAGTCGCATTTATCCGTGGCCCAGCTATCCAAAAGAGACGGCTGTTGACACTGTCCGCAACTGTACGAGTGCAAATCGTACCACCTTTGCAACGATCCCTATGGATGCACCCGGGAAGTATTGATCCAGCGTACGAGTTTGTGAAGATGGGACAATAATGCAATGATCCCAATGGCTGCACGCATCCGTAATATATTTGACTACAATGATCCGTTTGAGCCAACCATTAGCATCTATCTCGTTCATTGAACACAGTATATTATGCATCTCTTTTCATGGCGACGTGAACACCGCTACATGACCTCCTCTATGTCTTCCAGATAAAATCCATGTTATGCTAAATATGAATGAAACTCGTGCTATCTGATAAGACAAGGAAATGGGTGAATTAGATGGGACTTCATGGTTATAAGAGGATAATTGAGACCATGATGTGCAGAGAAGATTTGTGTGCGACAGATACGACATCACACGTCAAGCAACCCTTCAAAAAAAGAACAATTCCTCATCCGATAATAATTGCTCAGGGTCTATCTAGCCAGCGATAGACTAGCCTTGGTCTCTTTTGCGGGCCGAGAAGCATGGAATGGACTTCCAATGAGTAACGGTATTCAAAATTTATTGTACACTGAGTGGCTATCCGGTATACCTCATCTGTCTGATTGTGCTTGCTTGATCTTACTCGTATTAGTATAAGATACCATAACGGTGAAATAAACGTTATTCATTCGTATCTTATTCTAGTTAAAGCCACAAGATCTTCTGTTTGCAACTTGTTCAGCTTTCTAATGCGCATGAACATCAGCTTTTCTGGTTTCTAGCTTTCCTCGTCTATCAGAAATACTACACACAATCCACTTCTTATAACGAAATATAGCTATTTGAAGTTTAACTCTGAGATGCTCTTCCTTCCGCTTCCAAGATCTACTAGCTACCACTGAAGAGGTCCCTAATCGGACGTCGATACTGTTCCGCACTCTTCGTGTCGGTAGAACTGGTGTCGATCCAGTAGAGTTAAGCTACTGCACCGCAATGAGTCGACGACAGCGGAAACTTGTCTTGTTCTCGTATCTCTCGTAGCAGCTGATTGGACATTGAGATTAGCATCTCTCCTCTACTTACCTGAATCTGGTACATCAAACTAGTTGTCCCTTTTAGGCATAAAAACCGGGTATGATAAGAAGAATCAATTGAAACAGGAAGAAATGAAATTTTTTACTTTCCACATAACTAGTGCACGCGGCTCTGGTCGAAGAGCTGGCTGTCGATCGTATCGCCAGTTACACCCGAGCAGTATATGAACACGCCCATTGGGCGGTATCTACTCACAATTGTCCTTGGTTGAGTGTTAAAAGCGACTGTTGTTCACACATCGACTACAGCTATGGATGATTTTTTATGCGAACAAGAGACTCACATTGGCAAATATAACATCCAGGTGCCATCTTGGTTTCTGCCTTGCTGTAAAAGGTTGGGTGTGTATAGGGACAGCATCGAGTATATTTAAAATACTCAAGAAGGAAATCGACGTTACGTTACGCAGCTCTAGCGGCCGCTGACTCTGTTTGGCCCAGGTTTACTCGGGTGCGGGCTTGAGCGGTATAGTGCTAAATCAGCTGAAGGACTGCTACAGGAGATAGGCAATTGCTGACCACGCTAATAATTCCCCTGATGCCTGCGCTGCGCTATTCCTAATCTCGATATACCTCGGATTCCCACTTACATGTACGGACAACTAGCTCTATATGTGGAGTCAAATTGAGGGCACGTTGCTTGAAGCAAGGCGTAGTAGTTGAGTAGTCGGTTGGCTTGGCTCATATAGAATGCCCAGCTCATCATTAAGAGGGTTATTGGAGAGCCAAATGCCACTATAAAATAACCCCTTTGTAAAAGCGACGCCTACAGATTTCACCGTTGTCTGCAATCTGACATGCGTCAAGGCAGATTTCCGACCCGGCATGATCCATCTAACTACCAGTTCAATTACACCTTGGTGGGGAAGAATAGACCGATAGAAATGAGCGACAAATATTACATAGGAATCAGAATGGTAACATCAAACTCGGTCTCTAGATATTGTAAGATTGGCAACTTTGTGGGACACTGATTTCAGGCATTCTATATGTTTTCCCTTCGGGGTATAGCCTCTTTTTAGAGACCATTGGCTTGGTGAGTTGCTCGCATACTTAATCGGTACTTAGACAGAAAGAGAGACAAAAAGCCAACAGATTTTATACGTATCGCAGAGTTAGATAAATGGAAATATATCAAGCATAAACAAAAAAAATTATGACAAGAGTGGGATTCGAACCCACGCCCCTTTCGAGACACGGAGATAGTTATGAAACCATCGGGATCAGGTTGACCTGAACCGTGCGCCTTAGACCAACTCGGCCATCTTGCCAGTTCGATGGAATGGTTAGCCAACCTTGATTAGATGAGCCAAAATCAGCATTATTAGGTTGGATACCTCTTAAGCTATTACTGCTTCGCTAGTCGATGTGGTTAAGAAAGTGAAGATAATTCCAGTACCCCTGCTTTTCTTTGCGTTCAACCCAATGTGTTTAGACAACTACCAATAGCGTTCACTTGGGTGGTCTATCTCGTCACCAGGTGGAACATATATAATCCAATACGAAAGCTCGATAGTCCATGAAATAAGAAGCCGACAGTTTTCAGACCATTGCCGCTGTAAATAGATGCATACTCCAACCACTAGCTAGAACGGAATGCGACATAAGTATCGACCCAGGTAGCCCCAGAATACGAAAATTATAATATAGACAATTGACTCTGCCTTGAAAAGACGTCCCCATGATCGAACCAAACCAAGTAACCTTATAAACAAGCCTAAGATATCCCAGATCAACCTATTCCGAGCCTCCAGAGGAGTAGCTAATACCTAGAATAGAGAATCACTGTCCTGCTATCGCTAAGCTGACCGGGCTCGCTTTCTGGCTTACCAACGAAACAACCACAGTGAAAGGGCATAGAGGATTGATCTCGGGTATGGCTGCTGTCTGATGTTCATACAAAATTTCTGGATTGTATCCACAAAGAGGTCTGATAATAATGGTAGAAATCTAGAGAGGCGCCTCCCAAATTCCCACCGATTTTACTACTGCATCTCGTTGGTCTAAATATCTGGGTTGTGACTTGACATGGCCGTAGCCGTGGTTTGAAGACAGCAACTCAAGGTAAACACGACCACCAAGCAAAAAAAGACAGCTTCGAACAGTATGACTGATTCCAATAGCAAGACATCAGTATTTGATGCCCAAGAGAATTAGGAAACGAAAGAGTTGTTCGTCGTAGACCGAGATACATGGGAACTACTTCCAAAAAGCCGAAAGTAGTGTCGCGTAATCTAGATATGTCACTCTTAGTCCGTATAAAAGCAAACAAAATGTTGATTTAAGCTTAAATCACCCTCAATGTTTCCAGGCGTACATGTATAGAGAAGAACCCACCCTATTCAAAAATGCGCTAGTCTATATTCAGATTTAGCACCTAAAATGCTAAATTGTAAGACGTGTCACATGATACCGTTGAAGATATTCGTCTACAACCTTGCAGTTGCTTATATGTTACCAGCGGGGCATATCACCGACTTCGTGTGATCTGTGATCATCAAACCATCATCATCGATAGACGATGCGATAACAATCCCCGCGAGCTGAATGATTAGCCTGTACGATTTCGCCACGCCCCTAAATAACCACAGGCTATCAAAGGCAGACCCCTCCATATCCACCCGAGCACGTCTCCACTGATACATATATTGAAGATTATAAACTGTACTACCTCGAATCGGTTCACTATGCCCGTTAGCTCCTCAGTCCGCCCGAGGGGTAGCTCAACTAGGGCCTCAACTTCCAGATCAAAACTTGGATGCAAAACCTGCAAGTCAGTAGCCTTTTCCATGCTCAACACATATCTTAACACATAGAGTACAGTGCTAAATTTACCACAGAATCAGAAGAGTCAAATGCGGGGAGGAAAAGCCCAGCTGTCTCCGATGCACTAGTACGGGCCGCAAGTGTGACTACGAAAATGCAAATTCTGGCTCAAGTCCATCATTGATGTTTGAAAATCCCCTTTCACTATCACCAAATACAGTATGGCGAGAGCGTCGTGCTTTCGCCTACTACTTTCAACACACTGCAACTTCTATCGGTGGTGGATTGGATGTTGATTTCTGGCGCACTATTGTTCCCCAGGTTTGCCGAAGTGAGCCTGCAGTGTGGGATGCTATGATCTCAATAAGTTCACTATTCGAAAGTCCTGACCCATACCCGGATCTTGTCCCTCCCCGCTGGGACCACCCTCGCAGACTGAATCAAAACCAACGAGATGCGTTGAGTTGGTATTCACGCTCAGTATCCGCCGTTCGTCAAGGGCTTGCACGGGGTGGTGTCGGGATATTTACGGGACTGATCACATGTGTTTTATTCATCTGCGTGGAGGCCCTCTTGGGAGATTTGGAGGAATCATTGCATCTCTATAACCAAGGTGTACACCTCATTCATGCATTACGAGACCGAAAGGACCGCAGAGCTATGACAGCAACCGAGGCCTCACTATTGGAAGATACGATCGTTCCCATATTTGTCCGACTAGGAGCAGTCACTCTCCACAATTTAGCGGATCCAATGAGCACACTGTTACGAGAAACAGAAAGTGACTTTACAAAGGAGGTCATCTTCGTCTCTCTTAAGTCGGCGCGGGAAGCCATTGTTCTTCTTTCTACGGAGATTCACATGTTCGAACGAGCCTGCGAACAAGACCTGGAGCAATCACATGCGCCCCAGATATCTCAGCCATTGATGATCCGCCAAAAAAAACTCTCAGCCAAATTACAAAACTGGTATACTGCCTTCACAAAATTAACAGCGTTTCTATGCAAGGGGGATCAACTCAGCACCTGTGCTCTTCTTCTTGCCTATTACGAAATGCTGTTTGTCATGCTCGGAGTCTGCGTGTCACCATCAAGAATCACAACCGACATCTACACACCAAATTTCCAAAATATGATTGAAAATTCCATCGTAGCCCTGAACGGATCAGCTCGAGATGATGGAAGCCAGCCTCCTTTTACATTCGAGATCAGCGTCGGTCTTCCACTATTCTTTACATGCGTCAGGTGTCGCGACCCTAAAATGCGACGCATAGCTCTAGCAATGCTCCGTCGAGCGCATCGAGTACTGGGACTTCACAGCCGCGACCAAGGAATCATACTGATCGAAGCAATTGTGATGATAGAAGAAAAGAACGGGAAACTAATTGACCAAGCTCAGAGCACGAGCAGCTTTGAGACCGCAAAAGCATATGATGGACTCGAGAACCAGACGAAAAAAGGAGACACAGAAAACCCGAGCACCACAGTCACCTCTCTGGTTAGAGGTCCATATCCCACACCCCCAGAACTAGAAACCAGGACAGCAGAAGTGCTCGTTCCACAAGAGGCACGCATCAAACCACTTGGTGTCTTCCGACCACGAGATGGCTACCCAGCCGAGATGACAGAGAAGGATATGCAGATGTGCAACCAAAGATTTGATCAATTATTCTTTCGATTTTCGTGGAACGAGTACAGCCGGGTCGATGATACGTGGAGCACGGTATATGGGTGTTTTCCCGTGGAACTTTGAGTGCTGTCAACCCTCTTCTTATGTCAAATTAGAGAAGTGCTAGAATATGATGTCACTTACTATAATATAGCAATGTAGCATATCTAATAGTTCCTTATCTGAATGTATCATGCATCTATATTCTCTTTGTCCATTAACGTCGTACATAAGATGACAGTAATAAATATTCAAAGGCGACTCAATAATAAATGAAGAGCCAGTATAATATTTCACATAAACAATTGAAGTTAATAACAAAGCCTAACATTACGGACTGCTAGGGGACATCAGTAATCTGGCTGATATATTTTATACGCACAATGCAGTACTCATTAATGAATGCAATCATTCACCAAATTTCACATCCCAAGGCAAGATGGCCGAGTTGGTCTAAGGCGCACGGTTCAGGTCAACCTGATCCCGATGGTTTCATAACTATCTCCGTGTCTCGAAAGGGGCGTGGGTTCGAATCCCACTCTTGTCATAACTTTTTTATTTTTTATTTGCATTTGTATACATGCATACTTACCTATCACATATCTATTCATGAGCAATTGATTGCTTCTGATGCAACTGAACGGGACTCTTTCACGTCCCTTGTCTTTTTACTGATTAGACCAAAGGAATCGCAATTTGTTATATCAAAAATAAATGATACAAACTAAAAGTTCCTATAGATTACCGTTAATGTCCATTTCAGCTATAGTCATCAGAAAATACCTAGATATTTATGCACTAGGTACCGATTGAAGTATATCAGGGTCGTGGAAAATACTACTTCTTAGACATATCAGCCTGATACTCAACCCAAGCATACTATATTCCCACCACAAGCCAGAACGAAACAAACTAAAGTTCATGTCTAGGTAGACAAATGAATCAAAAGATAAGGTACAATTGTATTACAGTCAACTACACCATCAAAGAACAAATGAGATATCGGCAATGAATCTAGGCACAAGTGGTCACATCAATCCAGAATGAAGGGAACGGGCTTTTCCCTCTCTACGGTATATTGTATACAGGGATTTTAAACGGTCAGACCGAGGTCCTCGGCGTAGGGAAGCTGGAAGACATCACCGACGCTGACAAGGGTAGCCTTGCCAGACAGGAAGGTGTTGGCGACCTGTAGATAGTTGTCAGTGATAAACTCAAACATGCGGAAAATAGACAAAGAAAAAACATACCTCCTTGACCTGCTGCTCGGAGACCTTCTCGAGAGCCTGGGCAATCTCGTTGATCTGGTAGGGCTTGTTGCCGTGGACGAGGCCGGAGCCGGTGGCCTCGAGACCAGTCTCGAGGGTCTGGACGGACTCCAGAGCGCGGAACTTGGCGAGGGCAACAGCCTTCTTGATGTCCTCGCTGGCGACCTCACCGGCGGCAGCCTTCTTGAGGACATCGACGACATTCTTGCTGGCGGCGCTGACCTGGTCGGCCTGGCCGGACAGAGTAACGGTGAACAGACCGGCATCGGAGTAGGCGTTGTTCTGGGTGTTGACACGGAGCTGAGAGAAGCCCTTGGTGGCCTGGGACAGGAGAGAGAAACCAGGGGTCCACTTGATGGTGGACTCACCGCCGAGGAGGGCAGCAAGGACAGCAGCCTCGGGCTTGTAGCCGGCGGTACCGAAGGCGCTGGAGCCGGGGAAGGCAATCACGACAGCGTTTCCGGTCTTAGATGCAATGCGCTGCTCACCGCCAAAGTACTTAGTGGCAACGGTAGGCAGGACCTTGTACTGGCTGGAGGCGTTTCCGGTGGGGAGGTCCTTGAAGAACTGGCCAACCCACTTGGAGAGCTCAGCGGAGTTGGGGCCGCTGGCGACGAGAGCGACGTTGGGCTTGGCGTAGGCGTTCTGGGCGAACTCAGCCAGGGCATCGCCGGAGAGGTACTTCTCGTAAGGAGAAGTCTGGGAGGGGGTGATGGAGGCACCCAGACCGCGGTGGAAGGCAACGCCGTGAGCGGCATCAACGGCAACAGTCTCGGGGTTAGAGTGGACGATCTGCTGCTTGTACTTGAGGAGCTTGCTGACAACCTCGTTCAACTCGTGGTCTGGTATCATCGAGAAATTCGAGTCAGAAAATGATGTTTCTATAATTGCGCAATCTACCACCAATTATCAAAAGGGACCGACTCACCAGCGAACTTAGTCTGACCAGCAACCTCGGCCAGCAGCTCTGTGAAGTAGGGAAGGTCCTTGGCAAGGAACTTGGTGCGGAGGACGACGTTTTCGCGCGAGTGTGTCGATGAGATTTCACCGCCAAGCAGCTCACTCTCCCGGGTGATCCGCAGTGCGGAACGCTTGAGGGTAGTCTGTCGAGATAAAGTATGATTAGTATCCCTGAAACCAGCTGAGATAGCCCAATTGATGATATGGGACGGACCTTGAAGGCGAAACGCTCGAGAGCATCGGAGAAACCAGGGAAGGGCTGGTAACGGGAGCCAGCCTTCGCGACCAGGGCGAGGGTACCGGTAGGGCCCTCAACCTCACGGTTGGCGACCTTCACACCGGAGGCCTCGGTGACATCGTACTGGAAGGAAGGGTTGGCAGCCGAGGCCATGGACCGACGGCCAGCGGCGAGCGCACGCGGCGCATTTCGGCTGAGGGAAGACCGCGACAACATCGTCGCTTGTGCCGAAAAGATATGCAAAGAGAAGAAGAAGAGATAGAAACCCGAATTGGGTTTGTAAAGGGGGGCAATTGAGGCGGGGAGGGAGGCGGGATGCGGAGAGAGCAGGAGAGAAGAGGCAGTTTGGAGGTCACGAAAAGCTTCAAGATCCCGGACTGTTGATTACTCGGGCTCTGATTGGCTGGAGTGACGAGTCGGACGGAACCGGAGTTACTTTTGTTCGGCAGTATATAAAGGTGACCAAAGAGTGCATTTCTACGATTATTACAGTCTGAACAGTTTCCGGAAAGTCAATATCAATTGTGTGGCCCCCAGTGCCCGATCGTCGTTCTCCCAACTCTCGTTGAAATCCCATACCCGGATCACCTGATCTTCATATCACGTGAACCGCAATCGAGCCGATAAGCAAAAAAAGAACGTGAAGAGAAGAGACCTGCATCTCATTACATCCGGGTTTGGGACCTGCAGATCTCCGAGCTGCCCCATGAACCCTGCGCGGTGACCCTCTCGAGGATTCGAGGCTGGCGCATTTTTTTCTTTAGCTCGTCATGACGACCCAGGTATGCGACATATGCGACTGTCCCACCTTATCCGGAGCTATGACTGACTTTGATCGCACAGTGCTCTTCCGAGCTTTGTATGCTCTTGATCGAGGATAACTTTGGAGAATTATTCGCAGTGAGTGCTTTATACAGACCCCCGGGCTGTATGATTCATCGCGACAGCGGGGTAGAGAATTAACTTGTCTATTCGCAGCGCATTTTCACCGTCCTCCAGCGCTATGAACGACTCACGCTTCCTCGGTTAAAGTTCTATTCGCGACTGACTGATCGCCAATTGAATAATGGAATCTCTGCTATGATCCAGCACCACCTCGTTTACCACTTTACCTCCGTCGAGGAGAATAACACCTACTATGAAGCCAATCCGCAAGCTGCATACTACCTAGTGCGCTCGGGAAAGATTCTCCAACATGTGGATAATCGATTGGGAGAATATGCTGCCAAGGTAATGGAAGCGATTATGTTCCTCGGTCACACTTCGATCACTCACCTCGAAACTCTTCCCCAACTTCAACCGAACCAACCCCTCACTAATGGAGTCAACTATGACGAAGAACGGCCAGAGACAAATGGGGAGACAAATGGGGATCATGAAGAAGAGGCCAGTGAAACCAATGGCGACCACGCCGTAAGCCAAAAACCTGCGCGTCTTCACCCCACACTGAAGAGCCTTGCATCCCACGGATACATTCATCGAGTGCGGGAAGGACACTTCCAAAGCCCCAATGATAACTGGCTTGATTGCAATCGGATAGTTTCTAGCCGGCCAGACGTCAAGGCAATGAAAGGCAAGCAACAGCAGGCCGAGATTGAAGAGAAATCAAAGAACATGGTTAAGGAACGAACGGAAGGAGATCTTTCCCGCGGTCTCATGTTCAATGGTCTCCCCCAAGGCGTGAAAAGGATGTTTGGAGGTGCTTCAGGCTCGACCAACGCGCAGAAAGGTACCAACGATGTCAACGGGGATCATGCAGAGGATGAGGAAGACGAGGGGAATGATTGGTCAGAGGACGAAGATGGCATTGACTCCGCTCCAATGGATGTAAGTTTCCACATATTCCTCCCGGGTATACAGCAACTAATATCACATAGTCTAACCTCATCGTTCGAGTGAACTACGAAAAACTTGATGTGGCTCTTCGGAATACGCAAATTCTTGAACTTGCTAGACAATGTGCACCTCCTGTGTCACTCGAAATCTATGATTGTCTTCTTCGTCGTATTGAATACCAAACGCCCCGCTGCCGAGACACCTACGAAATCCCTCGCGAGGGAGAGGAAGGAGAACAATATTCTGCTCCCATTCAGCTAAGTGCCATTGTCAACGATGTTGATCCGAACCTCGACCTCACGGGATGCATTGGGCCAATGAATCCTACACCTACCTCGAACCGAAGGAAACGACCATTAGACGATGGGACAAACGGCGTCAATGGCGACGACCACGAAGACGAGTCAACAGAGGTGAACCGTGCCTATCAGATTGATCAACACCTAAGCTACCTCTCACAAGCTCCCTTCAACCTTACCACAAAACACAACATCGGTGGACTCGATACCTGGAGAATCGCATTCCGTGGCATTGCTCGCAAGCTGCGTCATTTAGAATTGGAGCGAATGATCGAGTCGCGGTACGGCGATGTCGCACTGCGTGTGATCCGCGTTCTCCACGCAAAGGGTAGGTTAGATGAGAAGCGACTTCAGGAGATCAGTCTGCTACCCTTCAAGGATCTGCGTCAGACCCTTGCCAGCATGCAAACTGGCGGTTTCGTGGACTTGCAAGAAGTGCCGCGTGATGCGCAGCGTCAGCCCTCGAAGACCATCTATTTGTGGTATTACGACCCAGATCGAGTCTGCAGCAGCATTTTGGAAGACACATACAAGGCCATGTCACGATGTTTGCAGCGCATCAAGTTTGAACGCGAGCGCGAGAAGGATTTCCTCGAGAAGACCGAGCGAACTGATGTCAAGGGACACGAGGAGGAGTTCCTGTCAGAAGCTGAGCTGGAGCATCTGCGCAACTGGAAGGCCAAAGAAGCCCTGCTACTGGCGGAAGTGTCTCGTTTGGATGACATGGTGGCCGTCTTCCGTGATTACTGATCTGTATTGATATTATGGAGAACTGGATCCTGGACCTGGAGTTGCATACATCTTGTACAGGCGCATGAGCGACGATTATATACAACATTTTTTTTATCTTGCTTGAATGGACATCAATCTTGCTCGAATAATTATTCGTAGACCTGGTGCATGTTGGGTTTGCGGGGGGATGAACCCTTGCCTAGACAAGGAGCCAGATCGAAACGCCCGTGCGTTAGGAAACACAACCGCATTGTCTGGCATATCTGACTGGCCTATCTACGGCCGAATCTTCCGTACAAAGGTTTCACGATGATCGGCAGACTGTCGTCATGTCTTCGCGTGAATGACAGCCATGGACAAACGAGACTAGCGTCTCAGGATAGGGCTTGTACAACAAATAGGCAGCCGAGATAGACAAAGAAGTATATTAATAGCGGGACACAATAGTGCTACCTAATAATGAGTTTTACAACAATACTGTCAGTGGCGCATGGATATTTAACATAGAACCAACCACTCCCCCACGCGCTAAACAGCAGCGTGTAACCAGTTACAGGAAGTGAAAGCAGGGAATGTCATCAGATCAAGGTATGCATCCACGTCAGCCCTATTCATTGGAGTCAAGCCACTGGGCTGTTGCCAAGCTCTGCAAACCACAATGACGCTGGCGCGACGCCGGTGGCTGCCCAATCCCTGCAGGTTTTCTATACCCTACTTTTCTGCTTTAAAAGTGAACGGACCCCTCTGGCGTGAATCTCGATCAGCTTCTCGATCTTTTACACCCACAATAACATCATCCATACAAGCCATGGCTATCCCGTGGATATTTCCCGTTCGGATCGCCCAAGCTTTATTCGGCGTGATTGTGATTGGACTAACTGGATATGGTAAATATACCAAAACAAACCAGTCCGCTTGATCTCTAACATTTGTTAAGTGGTCTCCACGTTCTATGATTCATGGTCATACTCCGACACAATCAACTTCCTCCTCTTCCTCGGCTGCTGGACTGCCTTTATAGCAGTGCCGTACCTCACATTCGCGCCGATTCATTTCCCTCGTGTAGCGCATCATTATGTGATCCCCGGTGTTGAGATTGTCACCATGATCTTCTGGTTTGCTGGGTTCATTGCGATGGGATCTCAGCTGCCTCCGCCGCGGTGGTGTCATTCCAGTACTTGCAGCTCACTCCAGGCAGCAACAATTTTCGGGGCTTTTGAATGGTGAGTTGAATGTCTTGCTTCAAAGCTGTGGGAGACTATTTGAGGCAGTGTTTGCTGACAGCTCTCAATAGGGTGCTCTTTGCCGTGACTTCATACTTTGCAATTGTGGATGTTATGAATCATCGTCGAAGTGGAGAGAGTGCCAAGACCGCCCATACTAATGCCCATCTCGGCGTTTGATCTGTTTGTTTCGGCTTTCCGAGGTCGGAAGGTCGAAATACTAGTTCATGGTGTTAGGACGCGATACCCTTTGCTTTTATCGTTGTTTCGTGTAGTGCAATTCAGTTTAGCAATTTGAAACTCATGAGATCATGCCATATTTGTTTACAGCTATATTCGGCGTACTTTGTAGTCTATATGTTAGTCCCATATGTCACCAACGCGATAACTCTTATCGGGGTCCACCGCAACCGGCGCAAGCCGGGAACCCACACAGGTGCACTTAGTCGTAGCCACCTAAATAGGCGGGTGTTCATATGCTGTAATCACTTGCTTGTTCATTGGTAGCTCTTTCATAATTAAAGTGTGTCTCACTATATAAGAAATTCTCCATATAGAGCCCATTGGGCTTGATATAAAGAAGACAAGCTCTGAAACCTTATTTATAGATCATAGACTTCCCCTCCGCAGCGTAACATCGTGCGGTTGATCCTCTTGGCTATGCATATAGACTGATAACATTAGTCGACAGCATGACTGATAATCTTAGGTTCTGCCCAGAATGTGTTGCCACCGAGAGAAAACTCTTCCCGGCGGATGGCCCACATGGGCAAATGAACCCGGCGTACGGGAAAAAGAAAAAAAGAAAAAAATGACTCGAGCCCCGAGAGACTAGAATAAAAGAAAGCAATTGCCTCAATTGCAATTTCCCCCTCAAATTCATTTTCTTTTACATAAATTCCCCCAGATCTGGCAGAGGTGTAAGGCTTGACACCGTCGCGTGCTTCTCCACACCGGAAGAAAAGCCTGTCCATTGGCACCCCCCGTTGGCCTATAGATCTCGCAGAGTGGAGAACGCTGCACGCTCTTCGCAGCTCTCCTCAGATCCTTCCTTTCTTTCTACCCGTCACCCGTTCGCGTCTTCCAACAATGGCCCACGACAGTGCTCCGTGGACAGACAAGGGAAAGATGGACTCTGAAGTCCCCGTGCAAGTGGCCCAGAACCCTGTCGACACCTACGATTTCGACTACGAGAAGCATGGCGCCCAGCGCGAGGCAAGCCCGCTGCCAGAGCTGAAGCGGAAGCTGAAGAGCAGACACTTGCAGATGATTGCCATTGGTGAGTGAGCCATATGCTATGTGCCATGTTGCATTGGCGCATTGACGCGAAGAATTCTTCCATACTGACCTTACGTGAAGGTGGCACGATAGGAACTGGTCTTTTCATCGGTAGCGGTACCGCCATTGCCCACGCAGGCCCCGTGGGTGCTCTCATCGCGTACATCTTCGTCGGTACTATCGTCTACTCCGTTATGACTGCTCTCGGAGAGATCGCGACTTATATTCCCATTCCTGGAGCATTCACCTCATATGCTGCTCGTCTGATTGACCCGAGCTTGGGTTTCGCCATGGGCTGGATCTATTGGTTTTCTTGGGCGTCGACTTTTGCGTTGGAGTTGACTGCAACCGGTCTGATCATTCAGTATTGGGATAGTGACATTCAAATCGCCATCTTCATTGCTGTCTTTTGGGTGGTGATCATCGCTTTCAACATGATGCCCGTTAGCTTTTATGGAGAGATGGAGTTCTGGTTTGCCAGTATCAAGGTGATCACCGTGATTGGCTTCATGATTTTCGCCATCTGTGTGGACGCCGGTGTTGGTGAGAAGGGATATCTGGGTTTCCGGTACTGGGTCCACCCCGGTCCGTTCGTCGCCTACACGATTAAGGGCAACGACTCCCTCGCCAAGTTTGTTGGATTCTGGTCCGTTCTGATTCAGGCTGGATTCTCCTACCAGGGAACTGAACTGGTTGGTATTGCCGCTGGTGAGACCGAGAACCCACGCAAGACCGTCCCCTCCGCCATTCGGAAGACTTTCTTCCGAATTGTCTTCTTCTTCATCTTGACAATCTTCTTTATCGGAATTGTTGTGCCCTCCGATGATGACGCTTTGTTGGCTAGTGAAGGCAGTGGCGCTAGTGCCCAGAACGCCAACGCCTCGCCCTTCGTCATTGCCGCCAACCGTGCTGGTGTTAAGATTCTTCCTGGTATCATCAACGGCGTGCTTCTGACCGTGGTGCTGTCCGCTGCCAACTCCAATGTCTACAGTGGCAGTCGTATCTTGGTTGGCCTCGGACAGGAGGGCTTCGCTCCTCGTTTCTTCAAGAAGACCTCTAAGGGAGGTGTTCCTTACTGGAGTGTGCTTTTCACAGCAGCCTTTGGTCTGCTTGGGTTCCTCAATGTATCAGACTCTGGTGCTACCGTGTTCACCTGGTTGCTTCAAATCTCTGGTGTTGCTGGTTTTATCACCTGGGCTTCTCTGAATGCCTGCCACCTTGCCTTCCAGCGTGCACTCGCCGCGCGCGACATCTCTCGTGATGTTCTGCCCTACAAGGCCATCTGGCAGCCCTGGCTCTCGTGGTATGGACTGTTTTTCAACTGTCTCATCATTCTCACTCAAGGATTCATGTCCTTCATCCCTCAGTTCTCGGTTCAGGACTTCTTCATCAACTACCTTAGTCTGATCCTGTTCGTGGTGTTGTACGTCGGACACAAGATCATCTTCCGTCCTGCCTTTGTCAAGCCTATCGAGGCCGATCTGGACACAGGTCGCACCACTGCTGACAATGAGACTTGGGAGACTGTTGAGCCGACGACATGGTATGGAAAGGCCTGGCGATGGATCAGTGGGTAAATTAGAGGTGTATATTTGCATATTGGGGGCGTTGACACTGTACAGCACATATATTATTATCTTACATAGTTACATATTCATATTCAATCAACATGTCCATATACATGCAAGGAGAGTCTATCTCGGTCCACGTGAAACACATGTGAGTAAATGACGTTGTGCATGTGTCAGCAGACGCGCCGTTTTCAGTTCATTAGCGTGGTACCTGATTCACTATGGGGATTGCCACCCGTTGACAAGTACCCGCCAGGAGCCGAGGTCCCTTTTTTGCCCCAGCTCGGCTCATGATGGCTTCAATGGAGTTTTATCCAAAAAGGTCGGCCGCTCCGGCCTGTTGAGACTCCAGTTTCTTTTCCCCACACTCTTTCTCCCCCTAATCCCGCGGATCTCTCGGAGGCCTTGTCCTTTTTCTTTCTCTATATCCTGGTTTGTCTACCTGTTTACTTTTTTGCTTCTTTGCTTTTTTGAATCATATTGACAGCCTCTTGTCTAGGTTGACACCATGTTCTTCACACAACCACCTCACCTGGCGAAGGCCGAGCAGCTCAAGCAAGAGCCTCCCAAGGGTACAGCGTACTCTGTTCCTATTCCTGGCACTGAACAGCCTGGCCGCAGTCGGGTATACCGAGCATGGAATGCGCAGAAGGAATTGTTGACCACACTGGATCCACAGGTATGAAGAATAGCCGACGAGGCCGAGGTATCCATTACTGATCAGGTTCAGGTCACCACTGCCCATGACATGTTCGAATCGACCGCTATCCGCCAGCCCAAGAACCACTGCCTCGGATGGCGCCCGTTTAACCGCACGACGAAGACCTATGATGAATATTCTTGGCTCACTTATGAGACTGTGCAGAAGAGACGCGCCGCGCTTGGTGCGGGTCTGGTGGAGCTCCACCACAAGCACAACTGCCATCGCCCTGGGCAATATGGTGTTGGTCTCTGGTCTCAGAACCGACCTGAATGGCAGATCACTGGTGAGTTTGGCAATCACTGGGAGATTCAGTATAAGAGACTAACTCGGGACATTCAGATCTTGCTTGCATTTCTCAATCCCTCTACTCTGTCTCCATCTACGACGTCTTGGCCCCGGACGCTACCGAATACATCATCAACCACGCCGAGCTGAACTGTGTTGTTACCTCTCTGCCTCACATTCCCACCCTGCTCAAGCTCAAGGCTTCCCTCCCCAACTTGAAGATTATTGTCAGTTTGGACCCGCTGGATGGCGGCGAGGAGAATGGACACTCCAAGCGTGCGCTGCTTGAGTCTATGGCTGCTGGTATGGACCTCGCAATTTACTCCATGGACCAGGTGGAAGAGATTGGCGCGGCTTCAAAGCGCGAATACAACCCTCCCACTGCAGATGATATCGTTACTATCAACTATACATCCGGAACAACTGGACCCCCCAAGGGTGTGGTCCTGACACACCGCAGCGCGGTGGCTGCCACATCCTGTGGTTTGGCCTTTATTGGCCAGGCTCGAGGTGACACAATGTGCTCTTACCTCCCATTGGCCCACATCTATGCCCGTCTTGCAGAACATACTGCTTTCTGGGGTGGTGCTCGAATCGGCTACTTCCACGGAAATGTCTTGGAGCTGGTTGACGACCTGAAGCTGCTTAAACCCACTGGCTTCATGTCTGTTCCTCGTCTATACAGCCGATTCGGTACTGCTATCCGTGCTGCCACAGTTGAGCAGCCTGGTTTCAAGGGTGCTATGTCGCGACACATTGTGGCGGCCAAGACCGCCAATATGAAGAACCCCGACCCCTCCAAGGCGACTAGCAAGCACGCCTTGTACGATCGTATCTGGGCCAAGAAGGTGGCTGCCGCTCTTGGTCTGGAGCGAGCCAAATACATGGTGTCCGGCTCCGCACCCCTCGACCCAACTCTGCACAACTTCCTGCGTATTGCCACCGGTACCGATGTTATTCAGGGCTACGGTCTGACCGAGTCCTACGCCATGGCCACCGCCCAGTCCCCTGAGGACTTGTCATCCGGCAACTGTGGTCGTATCGCACCCAGCATGGAGGCATGCCTGGTCTCCCTGCCCGACATGGAATACTCTGTGGACGACAAGCCCTTCCCCCGCGGTGAGCTCCTCCTCCGCGGCCACAACAACTTCCGCGAATACTACAAGAACGAAGAAGAAACCTCCAAGGCCGTGACCGAGGACGGCTGGTTCCGCACCGGTGACGTCTGCACAGTCGATGAGAGAGGCCGCTTCATCATCATCGACCGCCGCAAGAACGTTCTCAAGCTCGCTCAGGGCGAGTACATCTCCCCCGAGCGTCTGGAGGGAGTCATCCTCTCCGAGCTCGGCTACATTGGCCAGGCCTATGTCCACGGCGACAGCATGCAGACTTTCCTGGTCGGTATTTTCGGCGTATCCCCTGACATGTTTGCTCCATACGTCAGCAAGGTCCTAGGCAAGAACATTGCCCCGACAGACCTTGACGCAATCAAGGAAACTCTGAACGACGACAAGGTCCGTCGCGCTGTCCTCCGTGATCTCGAGCGCATGGCCAAGAAGCACAAATTCGCCGGATACGAGCGTGTCCGCAACGTCTCTCTCAAGCTTGAGCCCTTCACCGTTGAGAACAACCTCCTCACCCCAACGTAGGTTATACTCCATCAATATTCCCCATCTCATCTGATGTACCTTTTACTGACCTTTTTTTACCCATAGTCTCAAGCTCAAGCGTCCCCCCGCTGTCAAGCTCTACCGTACACTCCTAGACGAGCTGTATGCCCAGGCTCTCGAGGAGGAATCCGCTCCCCGGGCTAAGCTGTAATGGTCAGCCATCATTTCTATCCATTATGTTATGCCCAGCCGTATGTTTATTCTGGCATTGTTCTTATTCCCGGCTTGTTCGAGAATTGTATATAGAAGCTGTCTATAAATTGTAGTATATAACCTATTTTTATACTCGCTTTCTTTGTAGTCTTTGAGCTGGTTCAGCTCGGCCTCGGACTGTGTTTAGAGAAGGCTTTCTTTTCTGTATCTTGTAACAGACTGCCCCCTCTAATTCGGAATTCGTGTTTCAGCTAATGCTAATGCCCCTCGGAATATGGTAGGTAGCCTGGTACAGTTGCATTGAGTCCTCGTCAGTGACTTTAATTTCCCTCCAGTCAGATGCTTGATCGCTATGCAGTCACTCCTTACTGTCACGCATTGGACCCTGAGGCTGTACTTTGTCTTGGACAAAAGTACCACTTTTTGCTGATTTGCCATGTGCTGTTGAGTACAAACAGGCCTTTTAGGTGGTAAGTTCAAAAGTATACAGAGAGCATTTCTCTTCATCAGCCAACTCATTTGACTACAATTGTAGATATATAGGCAGGTAAAGCAAAAAAAAGGATATGACAAGAGTGGGATTCGAACCCACGCCCCTTTCGAGACACGGAGATAGTTATGAAACCATCGGGATCAGGTTGACCTGAACCGTGCGCCTTAGACCAACTCGGCCATCTTGCCTGGTTGATGAAGTAAGCGACAGGTCTTGACTACATGACTGAACAGCAGGTGCCAGGTTTTGAGGTTCTTTTTCTGGGCTCAATGCCAAGTTTGTCACTAAACTTAAGGTTCTCTTAACATCAAGTAACTATCTGTAGCACATGTATATATTAAATGTAACTGCGATTTTGTTGACCTTGGCTTTATGCTAGCCCAATTATACACTAGAAACATGAAGTGGTAACTCAAATGGCATGCCTCTCATGCAATAAACGCATGATATTGACAGGGAATAGACTAGTGTTACATCCGAGCGGGTTGTAGAATATACACGTAGGTAGAATAGTATACAGATAGGTCGCGAAAGACAGAGAGCCAATCGTACGAAACAAGGGAGAGTATACCAAAGATCATGCTTCTCATTTTCATGCATAACCACCGTTTGCCTATGATATGTGACCCAAACCTCAAGAATGTAGTCGCAGGACGCCGACGATAAATGACGGCAACCGGGGAATAGAAAGTAAAAGAGAGGAGACCCAAAGGGAAAGACACCAAACCTCATAGCAAAGCCATACCTTAAGAAAAAATAAAAAAAAATAAACCTACTCCGAATAACTGCATCGCTCATTCCTCATTATCATACCTGGAGCGATCTTATGCCCGCTCCATCGTGCCACACCAATAATCCAGACGCAAGTCAGTCAGATTGCGCGCCGGGAGACCCCAAGTGCGCGCAAGCCAAAGCGCCAACCCACCAACAACACCCACACTACCAGCAATCTGAACGAGCACCCAGCTCCGCCGACCAAGGTCGTCAATCCAGCGCACCACGCCGAGGGGGTCATGTGGGCTGAGACAGGCGACATGGTAAACGGGCGAAGCAGCATGTGGTCGCATGACATGCAGCCCGTTTGAGTGTGGATGTTTTTCGCCTACCGGGATATGCAAGCCACAAAAGCCAGGGGTTTGCGACAAAGGTACGAGCGAGCCGTCCACGACGCACTCGTTCAAGCGCTCTGTTAGCCAGACGGCGCGTTCGCCCCGCGCTAGTGAGGAATAGCGATCACGTTCGTTCTGCAGGCTTCGCTGGAGGTCTGTTGCCCATTGTGCCAGTCGAACTTGAGCGACCCGCTCTTCGGTTCGAGTGTGGTCTGCTAGGCGGGCCATGGCATAACTGGGAGAGGAAGAAGTCATGGATGAACCCGACGCTTGGTCGGCCCCACTTGGGGTTGGTCCGAGCTGCGCTTTGGGCAACGGCATTGCGGGCGGAACCGAAAAAAAGCCGGCACGTTGGGTGAGTTTCTTTGCAGCGGAATGGCGCATCCATGCTAGGTTATCTCGGTCGAACATTTTTTCCACTAGTGCGTCTAATTCTGAATGTACGAGGGGTTGGACGTAGTCCGGGCTCATTAGGGTGCTGGCATCCATTGTTTCTGTGTCGACGGCTTTCTCCGATGACACTGCATATGGTGGTTGGGAATCTAGCCCGTCTAGTTCCCCGGGCGGGTCTCCGAACAGAAAGGGCTTAATCCCTGCCTCGCTGGATTGTTCGTGAAACTGTAATTTCAGCGCGGTGATTTGTTCGGCGGAAAGTGTGTCCGATTTGGACACCACTGGAATCACATTGCTCAGTTCGCAGAGCTTGCGAATGCACTCCACATCTGTCGATAAGGTGTCTGGAGACAATCTCAGTATGGACGACATGAGACCGGGAATTCAGGAGACTTACCATTAGAAATCAAATAAAGGATGGCATCCACCTGGGATCCACCGTTGCCGGCAAGTAAATTTTGGAAATCCACACCGGTGTCGTTGAGAGCAGAGGTAGCACGAAGCAACTGTTGTCGCAAATATTGGACAACAGCTTCGATCTGTCCCGCGCGACTCAATGATGTAGCCGGTGTATCAACGAAGCAAATGTTCCTCTCCAGTACAATTTCCCCGATACTTTTCCGGCGTCGAAGCACGCGCGAATCTTCCAAATCCGACCACCAGGATGGATAAGGTTTTGTACTCGCATAAATCTCGGAGGTTGTAACGAGTGTACCACGAGACCGGAGCCGAGATGATCTACGTCGTTCTAACGAGGTCACCGATGGAATGGTGTCGACATGGACGATGTCTTCACAAGTCTGAACAATCGACTTGATCAAAGAAGTTTTTCCTGACCCTATTTCAAGGCGATTAGTGGCGTTTACAACTGAGAACAAAGCGCTGTACTTACCTGGGGAACCAGCCAGAAGAAGCTTGAATCGCCCCATGGTTTTTCCTCGCTCGGTGAACGGCCGTCGACTGGGCATTTTAATACTTGGCATGATAAGCTGGGACGCCCCACCCGGGGGCGGACGTGATGATCCAAAGTCCTCTTCATCTCCAGACCCGATAGCCTGACTATTGATTTCATCGGTGATAGACATATCGTCAAGAGGCCGTAGAGACTGATTGGATGTCGATTTTGGGCTGCTAGGCAGCGACGACGGATCATCGGGGTTGCCCAGGTCGAGCGGAGTCAAAGGCCGAGATACTGTATGAGAAAGAGACGATGTCTGTTGGGGAGAATCTAAGGTTTCTGCATCCAGCGGCTTTACAGTTGACCGACGTCGTATGAGGTGCGATTCTAAATCATCGGTGGCATGCTTTAAGTTGTCTGCGGGGAGATCGTGGGGAGAGCTTGCGAACTCAGCCTGACATAGAGTCTCGTCTAGGCTTTGCACTCCGTACATATTCTCTTTGGCATCTTGGCTATCATGGCTATCCGTCGAGGTGCTGGATTCCAGATCCGAGACATGCGGGCTCCGAGATAGGAAGAAGGTCGTGGGGGTCGCGGTGCGGGGATCGACGGATGGAGAGGTGTCAAAGGATTGCTTGCGCAGGAACGGTTCTGGAGCAGGTCTCATCATGAAGGCATTTCTCTAGAGAACAAGGTCCAAATAATCCAAGGGATGAACTCCAGGTGCATACGAATGAATGATCATGTCATGTGTAGGTAAGCATCACGGGGTGATAACGAGACCCCGCTCTGCCTCAGGCGCCAAAGTGTGCCTGAATCGGCTGAATGGGAGTAAGATTTTACGCTTACGCACCTCATGATAGTTGCCCCGTCTTAGGCTTCTACGGTGTCTTAGTTTAACTTATTCCACTCTATCACGCACATGTAGTCTCCAGAAGCATCCCCAGATGTCTCTCCGGCCTCCGGATCCATCTCCACTGTGGATTGGAGGAACCCTAGAAAGAAAAATAATGGTTAAATTACAGCACAGAAATCCGGTACTTTTATTCTGCATCGGCTACAAAGCCAGGCGCAACTAGCGCCATTAAAAAAAAAAAGAAGGCTAAGCACACAGTGGCAAGCCGGTGGATGGAACCGAAGGTCGCATAGTACCGTGTCCGCCCGATTTCACGGGAAAAGGTTGATCTCCACCAGACGCTTTCTGGTTCAACTCCTGGGATTTGAGATCCCCCTCGGTCTTGTGCCTCTACTCTTCTCTCAGGCATCTTCTTGAGGGTCTCTCTTCACAGACCTTCTTTGCTACATATCTGTTCTCCGATTGGCCCCCCCCCCCTCTCCCTCTGAATTGCCTACCTCTTCCTCTGTCCTACCCACATGGACCAGCCAGCCATGTCGTGGCCAGAGCAACTCCATGAGAACACTCTCATGGCCGCGCCTGAGGATGAGTTCTCCAACTTTCTCGAGTTCAATATGCCGTTTCCCGACATCGAAGGGCACGGACCAGCCAATCTGCAACATTCCCAGCAACATTCCCTACCGACCACCACCGCTCCAGAGTCTGAGATGGGCTACTCGCAATCGCATGCCGTGCAGTACCAAGGCAAAATGGATGGCATGGCCATGGATTTCAACCATGATCCTACTCAGTCGCACGCTCACAATGTCAACCAGATGGCCTACTCGGCCCCTGGAATGACACCGGGGTTCTGCGCGCAAGAACCCTCATCCATGTCGCAACCGCCCGCGCACCAACATTACATGCAAGGCCAGACGATGATCCCCCCAACCCCGAATAGTATCGAAATGCATGGCAATGCCGCCCGCTACTCGCAGCGGGTGGACGGGACACCTGAGATCTATGATAGATATGGGCGCATCAATGAAGAGCAGGTAGGTCGCGAAGACTGCAACCCCGATGGATCACCAGCTAACAAACCAGGCTCTTTACACCCCTCTCGTATCACCAGCCATGACCCCCCTGGAGAACCAATTTCGACTTCCCGAATACACTATTCCCGGCGAATACTTCACCCCACTCACATCCCCTGCTCTGGAGGCCCAAAACGCCGAATCCAACAGTTATCAATTCCACGCCAGACAGGTGTCGGATGTAGGCTTCGTTCCTACGACCGCAGAAGTAAACCAGCTTCCCGGAACCTCGGCTCCACCATCTCCCAGCATCATCCGGAAGCCCAATAACCGCCGACGCCCATCAACGACGACTACCCGGCTTAACAATGCACGAAAGGTCAAGCAGTCGCCCAATATCCTGGCACAGCGCAAACGCAGCACATTGGCGACAAACTCGGAGGAATTCTACAACAGTCTCACCCAGGAGTTAAATTCCACGAAGCCGCGAAACCAGGACATTCGCTCTCTCCAGATTAGCAGCAACGAAGGCTCCGGTCAAGATTCGGTCTCACCCGAGCCATTATCAGAACCGTTGATGCCACCACCTGCTCTTCCGCCTCCCCGGATATCCCCAGCCATTACTCCCCATGTTCCTTCGCCAGGTCTCGCTGCGACTCCCTCGCTTCTGATGCGCCTCCAGCGGAACTCGCACGCGCAGAGCACTTCCGGTTCTTTCGGTCAAGCGCAGCTTGCCGAATCTGATGTTCCAGATGAGCTGATGGAGGATATTTCCTTGCCGGAGGCGGCCACTTCTACGCAGCTGCGTCCGAAGGTTAACCGGATTGAAACTGCCATGCGAACTCCATCGCTATCCACGAATGGAACGCCCGCTGGGGAATCTTCGTCTGCTTCGCTTGCTCCTAGCCCATGTACAACTGCAATGCCATCTCCCAGTGGGCCGGTCCCTCGGAAAGAATCTTCGAAAGCATCGTCTCGGAAACGCCCGAGTCTGAGCTCCACACACGCCAGCCCGCAGCTGCGGCCCAAGATCAGCCCTAGCATCCAGCCCCTCGTCAAGGGCGGCGAGGGTAAGCTTACCCCACGTGAGGCTGACGAATCTTATGCTAACTATATCTAGGTATGTCCCATGATGCTCTTTACTTGGCATCAAAGTCAAACTACCAGCACATTCTTGATGGTACTCTTCCGTCTGGTGTTTCCTACCCCGAAGCTTTGGCGGAGAATCTCAGTTCAAAGCGCACGAATCACAAGCTTGCCGAGCAGGGTCGCCGGAATCGGATCAACAGTGCCCTTAAGGAAATTGAGCTTCTCATTCCGAAAGACTTTATCGACGCACGTAATGCTAAAGAGGCCACGGAATCTGGCAATAAGCCCACCGACAAGGAGAAAGAAAAGGAAAAGGCCAACCAGACCATCAGCAAGGCGACTGCCGTGGAGATGGCCATCGACTACATCAAGGCCCTGAAAATGACCTTGGACGCAACCAGTGCCAAATTGGCAGTGGCCGAGGCCAAACTATCGGGTGACTCGAAAGATACGGCCGCAGTTGGGGCATCAACTGCCAAGGAAGCCGGAGCAAGCGATTCTAAATGATCTGCGTGAACAGACTGTATTCTTCTAATATGACTCAAATCTTTTGCTCGCCTCATGATGGCAACATGGGGTTGGGTCAGGGTTGGAAAAAAGGGTAACCCTATCTATTTCCTTAATTTGTTCTACGATCTACGATCTATCTTTATTGTTTGATTTGATAGCGTTGGAGTTGAACTACGGTGGTACTTTACTTTTAGTCTCTTGTATACCAACAGCCAATAGACAGTGAACGTTGTTATTCTCTGTAATTTGGTCATATCGTACTTTCTTGTTTCATCTAATTCCCGGGTGTCTTCAGAGAGGTGGTAGAAGCACCCCGGTAATATCAAGGCCTCATTTTCTCTATCGTCTTCCTCTTTCGTCTCATATCTTCTTCGTCTCCTTTCTTGTACTTCATCTTTGATCTTCCGCTTCCACCATCTCTTTCCTTTCCCGACCTGTTTTGTCCGTTTTCTGGACCTTTGTGCCTACGTCTATGGGTACGTTGATCGCTTTCTCATGTTCTTGATTCATGCTCACATGATCTTCCGTGCATGTGTCCGAGAGCGACTTGCAAGCAAAGATTGCTACCAAGCTGAACTGCTCGGATTCTGAGACATCGACGGGAGATTCAGCATACTACTGCTCCATCCCTCCCAATTACGGGGATAACCCCTCTGATCCTGTGTATGGGTTATAACATGACCTTTCCTTGATTCATGCTAAGATAAGGTTCTAATGCATCGCTTCGAGAGCGACTTTTCAGCAGAGACTGCCTCCATGCTAAATCCATCGACATGTGGGACATGAACAAGAGAGCGAGATCTCGTGGATTTCTGGTTCGAGGCTGAGGCCTTTGGACAAGTGGATCATGGACCGAAGAACCTCAATGTCTAGATAGAGCCATTTAGTTCGTTCATTATCTTACGTTGCCCTAAACGATAGTAGAAACCGTTGATACCTTGAAAAAGCGGTCTAAAACACCCTCGAAACCAACCTCTGGAAAACATCATAGAAAAGCCTTGAAGCACCAGAAGAAGTATCCTAGCAGCCACTCTGACTACCACTTATCGGTCATCATTTAGAATTCTCTAATGGTAGAAGTATCAGCCCTGGAGGTCCTAAGGTCCTTCGATCTTCCTCCAGTTTTAATAATACATTAGTACGTCGCAGTTGTTTTGCCCCGCTGAAGAAATTTACTTTGGACACTGTGAGAGCCGAGTAGTTTCTAGGGGACTGTCAATGTTTATCATAGACTTGCGAGCCATAGAGCGAGGGATCGGGACATGGATGGGCCAATACCCACGATGGCGATGGTGCGGGTTTGTGTAGACATATTGGAAGGACATAGGAAGTTATTGGCACGGGATAAGATTAGAATGAAAGATGTTACCGTAGGAGAGGGAAAGAACATGCGTAGAAGTTATGTATGACTCGGGTGAATGTTACGAGGGGGAAAAAAACATACAAATATATTTCGGGTGGCCAGAGACATTGGAGTCCGGATGCCTAAGAGTCCATGTATAGAGGCAATCCTAACTAAATTTCGACTAGTCGCTTTCTTTACGTTGGAACAGGACCTGCTTAGGCCAAAGTTGATTCAAAGGTTGAGTATCGAACAGAACGATATCGGGTTTCCCATTACATACGACAATAATCTTCTTGAATGGTGGATGAGACCAGAGCTGTGGCCGTGCCAACGATGCAGGAGATGTAAGCATGATACTTATATGGCAGACGATACTCATAAGTATACAAATATAGCATCTTGATAGACATCTATAACATAAGAGATCCAAACTCGGAACAATTATCCTCACATTACAATACTCAAGTTTGAGTAGTCAGCATCACAACTGGGCGCGTAACTCAGTGGTAGAGTGTTCGCTTTGCATGCGAAAAGTCCGGTGTTCGATCCACCGCCCGTCCATTCTTTTTTGCTTTTGTAACATTTTGTTCTATACAAATTGTTTCTTTTCATGATAGGGCTTCCGCTGGCTGAATATCACAGCACCATAGTGGACATGTGGGTTCTCCTATTGTCGGTCAAGCTATGGCTTCTACATAGCGATACGTGTTTGCATATCTTCACGTCTTGGACAACAGCATCTCTATGTGACAAGTTTCTCACACCAAGGGTACATGATTTCTATCTTTAATTCTCTCGAATTGCCGTTTACAGGGTACGCTCCAGGCTTGCTAGTTACACGGCCCGTAAAGCCGATGGAGCTGTACAATCCTGGAATTTGTGAGCATAAATGGCCAACCCGACAATGATACGAATTATAAGCTCCACGACTCTCGCGTTATACAACATCAGGGTATCTCACGCTTGAACCTACCCTCATTGATCTGCGTCTGATGCTTTGTCGACCAACCCAGCGGATGCCCCATGTCTGTTGTGGGAGACTGACTAATGTACTTCTTACAGGCTGGCCCCTCGTTATCGAGGCCGAGGTTTCAGAGTTGTCAGCCTGATTGACCAGATATGACTGGGTGTGTCAACTGCGAGGTAGCTAGCTGACTTTACCATGCGGCGAACTATCAACTTCATAGCTCACTTCAGTTAAGAACAATAGTGTAGGTGATAGAATACTACAGTAGAGGTTGTCTACGACGTCTACAGATCTACGATATTCATAAGATTGAGAAATAGTAAAATTTCATTGTAGAACACATAAGTAATAAAAAGAAAAAAAACATCACAGAGGGTCATATCCCGTTTCCCGTTTCCCGTAAGACTTTAAAAATTAGCAAGAGCAAAGAAGACCAAGATCAAAACTAAGGTTCAAAAATCTAGTCAACCTCCTCCATGGCGCTCTCGCCGGTAGCCTCGGCGGGAGCAGCAGCCTCGGTGGTGGCCTCGGCGGGAGCGGCGTCCTCCTCGATGTTCAGGCCCAGGGAGACGAGCTTGTGGATGCGCTCGGAGAAGCTGGCGGGCTCCTCGATGGTGAATCCAGAGACGAGCAGGGAGGTCTCGAAGAGGAGCTGGGTGATGGACTTGACGGTGCGGTCGTTCTCGCCGTCAGCCTCAACCTTTTTCTTGAGCTCCTTGATGATGGGGGACTTGGGGGAGATCTCGAAGGTCTTCTTGGAGGACATGTAGGAGGACATGGAGGTGTCACGGAGTGCCTGGGCCTTCATGATACGCTCCATGTTGGCGGACCAACCGAACTGGCCGGTACGGATGGCGCAGGGGGAGCCGACAAGCTTGTGGGAGACGACGACCTTCTCGACCTTGTCGCCGAGGACGTTCTTGAGGGCCTTGGCGAGGTCCTCGTACTCCTTCTCCTCAGCCTCACGCTCGGCCTTCTCCTCGTCGGTCTCCTCGAGCTCGAAGTCCTTGGTGATGTCGACGAGCTTCTTGCCGTCGTACTCCTTCAGCTGGGTGAAGGCGTACTCATCAATGGGGTCAACGAGGAACAGAACCTCGAAGTTCTTCTGCTTGAGGGTGTCCAGGAAGGGAGAGTTGGCAACAGCCTTGATGGACTCGCCAGTGATGTAGTACATGTTCTTCTGGTGCTCGGGCATGCGAGTGATGTAGTCGGCGAGGGAGGTGGCCTCATCACCAGACTTGGTGGACTGGTAGCGGAGGAGCTTGGCCAGAGTGGGGCGGTTTTGGGCGTCCTCGTGGATACCGAGCTTGATGTTCTTGCTGAAGGCCTGGTAGAACTTGTCGAACTGCTCACGGTCCTCAGCAATCTCGGTGAAGAGCTCGAGGGTCTTCTTGACGATGTTCTTCTTGATGACCTTCATGATCTTGTTCTGCTGAAGGGTCTCACGAGACAGGTTGAGGGGCAGGTCCTCGGAGTCGACGACACCCTTGACAAAGGAGAGCCACTCGGGGATGAGGTCGGTGGCATCGTCGGTGATGAAGACACGACGAACGTAGAGCTTGATGTTGTTCTTGGTCTTCTTAGTCTCGAAGAGGTCGAAGGGAGCGCGCTTGGGGACGAAAAGGATAGCGCGGAACTCGAGCTGACCCTCGACGGAGAAGTGCTTGACACCGAGGTGGTCCTCCCAGTCGTTGGAGAGCGACTTGTAGAAAGAAGCGTACTCCTCAGTGGTGATGTCGGTGGGGTTGCGAGTCCAGATGGGCTTGGTCTTGTTCAGCTCCTCCTCCTCGATCTTGGACTCCTTGACGGTCTTGGTCTTCTTCTCCTTCTTCTCCTCATCCTCATCGACCTCCTCGACCTTGGGCTTCTTCTCATCATCCTCCTCCTTAGACTCCTCAGCCTCCTCGTCGGGGACCTCGGTCTCGGTCTCCTTCAGGACGTGAAGGTAGATGGGGTAGGAGATGAACTCGGAGTGCTTGCGGACAACCTCCTTGATGCGGGCCTCGTTGAGGTAGTCCATCTGCTCATCCTTAAGGTGGAGGATGATCTTGGAACCGCGGCCGAGCTGCTCGCCCTCGGTGTCCTGGTTCAGGGTGAAGGTACCACCAGCAGCGGACTCCCAGATGTACTGCTCGTCATCGTTGTGCTTAGACACAAAGGTGACACGGTCAGCGACGAGGTAGGCAGAGTAGAAACCAACACCGAACTGGCCGATCATGGAGATATCAGCACCAGCGGAGAGGGCCTCCATGAACTGCTTGGTACCGGAGCGGGCAATTGTACCAAGGTTGTTGATGAGATCCTAAGAGACGAATATTAGTCATTGAGATCAAAAGTCATCAAAGTGGCAAATACTTACAGCCTTGGTCATACCAATACCGGTATCACGGATGGTGAGGGTCTTGTTCTCCAAGTCGGGGATAATGTCGATGCGCAGATCCTTGCACGAATCGAGCTTGGAGGGGTCGGAGAGAGCCTCATAGCGGATCTTGTCGAGAGCATCGGAGGCGTTGGAGATCAACTCACGAAGGAAGATTTCCTTGTTGGAGTAGACGGTGTTAATGATCAGCGAGAGCAGCTGAGAGATCTCAGCCTGGAACTCGAAGGTCTCGGGCATGATGGCGGTGTGACTGAAGAGTGAGCGGGTTAGAAAGAGAAGAGATAGAGAGATAGAGAGATGAGAGAGGAATTGAAGGGAAGGTAAGATGTGAGAGGTAGAGAGTCAAGCTTACAAGGAAAAGAATGGGAAATCAAAAAGGAGCTCTGGGGGGAGAAACCAAAGCAGAGAGTTGAAGAAAGTAGAAGAGGCGGGACGGTCGTTTTGTGTTTCCAAAAATTCTCTGGGTGGGTTTCTACGATGATCCAGCGACTTCCACCGGTCGGTCAGGCAACGTGATGCCCCTGCAGGTCGATATGTCTATATAGCTGTTCTAGAGGATTCTGGGGAATTGTGGACTATTTTAGTTCCCTAATTCCTTTGTGATACATGTACATTGCTTTATTTGAGGCTGTTGCGGCCTGAGGCACCCCGCTCTAGAATCTTCCCCATATCAAGGTCCTCTGTCTAGTCAATTCCTGTCGTATTTGATACTCCATACAATGTCCCAGAAGTCCTCATTTACAAAAAATAGAAACATAACAAAAAAAGGAGATACAAGAAAGACCGGAAAGGCGCACCACCGTTAAAACCTGAAGTTTGCTATGCTAGTGAAACAGAAATGCGATATCACGGAGATCATGAAAGTAATATGTTGATCGTCAAGTCGAAGAAAAGACCGATCCAGGGATAAAGAAGAAAAAAAGCAGAAAAGTTCGAGTTAAAACAAAAGTGCCCAGAGGAGGCAGGGAAAGAAACGCAACTTTTCCAGCCTACCCGGACCAACCGCTAATATGCACTGTGACGGGAAGAAAAAGGGGGAGGCAATAGTCACATAACATGTCATTAGAAGAGACGGGGCAAAAGAAAAAAAAAATGGGATCAAAAATGGGAGTAATACAGATCCTGGAAGATCGTCCGAAGAGAAGTCATTGATATGACTACACCGACGTGTGAAGGAGAACGGCGAGGATCGTCGGGATCGTGTAATTATTTAAGCAGCCTGAGCCTGGCTGCGGCCCTTGGCGGCAACGTTGCCGCTGCCGCCGCGGCCACGGGGAGCGAAACCTCCACGGCCATCGCGCTGGAAGCCACCACGGCCCTGGCTGCCGGCACGGTCACCACGGCCACGGCCGGATCCACGACCAGCGGGGAAGCCGTTGCCACCGAAGGCATTGCCACGGGGACGACGCTCCTCAACAAGGATCTGCTCGCTGCCAATCTGGTGGGGGTTGGCAGCAACGGCAGCAGCGTAACCAGAGGCCTGCTCGAACTCGACGAAGGCGCAGTTCTTGGGGCGGCTGACGTCAAAGTACTTCAGCTTGCCGAAACGAGCCAAGGTCTGCTTGAGCAGGCTGGCATCGACCTTCTCGTTGACGTTCTTAATGTAAGCGAGGGTAGTCTGCTCTTCGCCGGCGCGAGGCTGAGACTTCTTGTGGTCATGGCCGGCGGTTTGCCATCCGGCATCAGTGGAGCCAGTCTCCTGGGGACGAGCAGCCTCTGGGACGGGGGAGGTAGCAGCGGGCTGAGCGGCGGGAGCCTGAGCAGCGGGAGTGGCAGCCTTGGGAGCAGCAGGGGCAGCCGGGGCCGCAGCGGCCGCAGCCGCAGCCGCAGCCTTGGCGGGGCCCTTACCAGCAAGTGCGATGCTGGCCCAAGTCTTGGGAACAGCAGGGGTGGGAGCGGCGTCCTTCTCAGGAACCTCCTTGTCCTCGGGAACGGGAGAAGGCTCAGGAGTCTCAGGCTTCTCGTCGTTGACGACCTCAGCCTCAACGGCGGGAACGGGAGCAGGAGTCTCCTCAACAGCGGGGGTACCGTTGGTCTGAGGGGTGACCTCCTCGGGCTGCTCGGGCTGCTCAACCTCGCCGTTGGTCTCAGCCTCCTCGAGCTTCTCATCAACCTTGGTGGCAGCGACTTCCTCGGTCACCTGGGTCTCCTCAACCGGAGCCTCAGCGGCCTTGGGGGTCTCGGTAGCAGGCGCAGCGGGGGTAGGGGGCTCAGCAGCGATCTCTTCCTCCTCATCCACCATGTAACGGAAAATATCGTTGAGGACGTAGTAACCATTGGGCTGCTCAGCGAGAACAAAGGTCTGCACGAACTTGCGGGAAGGCTCGGACTTGTTGGAGATCTCACCAATAACGGAGACCAGGATGTTTTCGAAAGAAGCCTGAGAGTCGACGTTCAGGACGCGCACCTTGCACTCCTGGAAGTCGAGCTGCTTAATCTTATCATTGATAGCCTAGTGAGGGTATATGTTAGTGACATTCGCGTAGATGGATGGATTTAACGTACCTTGGTGCCGACGGTAACGGGCACGGACTCGGCCTCAGTGCCGAAGACCAACTGAGACCGCCGAGAGTAGAACAGGTGCAGCTTATCGGGGTTGCGGCTCATGGTGGTGTAGTACTGCTCGACAAAGTACCAGCCCACCTCATCCTTGGAGATGTCATTCTTCTGATCGGTAGGAGTAACAGTGGTAGGAGTGGAGGACTGGGCAGGCTGGAAGCTGGCCGCAGTGTTCATGGTTGCGTGGTTGAAGGAGTCGGGGTAACCATGGGCAGGGTAGTTGCCATTGATGGGAACTTGAGTCATGTCGGCCATAGCGTCAGATTGAGGGGTTTTGTCTTGGGGAAATGAGATTAATTGTGGCCGAGCGCGATGGAGATGAGTGGTACTGTAGAAACCAAAAGCTTTTTGGCAAAGGTGGAAGTGATAAGAAAGCGATGAAAGGTCTAAATATGAAGCAGTTTTGAATTCCCTCGCTTCACTGGATGCGCATTAGTCTTCGCATCCCGGACCGAAGTGGACATGTGGATCAAACTCACAATGCGATATGGACCTAGCAACAATGCAAGCAATTGAGGAGATCCGAAGGAAAGGCAGAAAAGAGCCGAGGAAAGGAAAAAAAAGGAGGGGTCTTAAGAATGCGGCAGATGAAGTATAGCTGCGATGAGAATCCGGGAAGACTCTTGTGTGTGGCGGATAAATTGGAGGTGGGGATTTGAAGCCGACTGGAGATGGAAATCAAAAGGATCAAGAAAAAGATCTCGGAGATAGGACGGAGATGAAGAAGTAGGAGGGAGAATGGAAGTAAAAGAGATGGAATGAAGCTGTGGAAATTCGCCTTCGAAGAAAAAGCGACTTCCTTCTTGACTCCGTGCGGGTTTCGCGTGGGCTTGGCTATACACCGCCCGGCAGAATTGTATCCAGATCAGGCTTAGTATATCAGAAGCTTACTATGAAGAGTTAACTGTTTGCTTTATTGGAGGCTAAATATAAGAACAAAACATATAGGGCAGATGAGGGGGGTTCCACTGAGTCCACTGCTCGTGCATTGTATACCTGTGGAGATTGTGTCAGGTCTCGAGACTGGTGGTTCCGTACCAAAGAGAAAGACTATTGGTTATATTTATGGTAAATCTAGCAGTAGACTCTAGGAACACTGACCGATATCAAGCATAAATCAGAGAAACGCTGTCAAAAAATGAACATATGATTTTTGTAACAAATCAAGACAAGGGAAAGCCATCTAAAATAACAGACAAGATCCACAATTGACACTCAAAAGAAAGAAACAATGCGAATCTCAAGTCAAAACGCCGCAAACTGATCCTAAAAAAAGAAAGGGGGTATGATAAGACATTAAAGGGTGCTCGACTGTGAAACCGACAACAATCATGAGAGCCGTGCCGACAGGCTCGGATAGAGGATGCAGACCTCCAACCCAGAAAAAAGAGAAAAAAAAAAAAAGAAGAAAAGATTGGAGGCAAATCACACAGAGTAGCAGAAAAACACCATTGCAAGTGTAGCTCCGGACTGGCAGATAGAATTGAGATCAAGAATCAGCTGCCGCGGCATCCTTCTCGGAGAGAGGCTTGCGCATGACAGCGTCTTGGCTAGTCATTCTCCGGCCCAGAGCACGCTCGACCTTAGCGCCGAGAGCGAGCTTGTTCAAGTTGTCTGATTTCTCCTCGGTGGGCACGAAGCGCTGCTTGGTGAGGGGCTTGTTCTCGAGGCGCTCGAAGCCGTCGTGGAGGTGGGTGATGTCGGCGATTCTGGGGTCACCGCTGGGAAGGCTGCCAGTTGTGCGATCGGAAGCAGCCAGCGAGGGGTTTCCGCTGATGGTGGAGAAGCGCTTTGAGTTTCGGTTCTGCGAGAGTGTTAGACTGAGGAATGTCGCCCTGAGGGACAGGAGGGGTATAGGGGGCAAAGCGTGGAAGTGGTCACCTACCGACTGGGCCATGATGGGACGTTCCGAATCAAGAGACTGTTGGCGAGCCATTTCGAATAGAGTAGACGTTGTAAAAGGGGATGCGCCGGGAGATGGACACGGGTTGTGTAGACTAAACGCCTGTGCAGAAAAGCCTGGTTAGCGTCTTCTAAGCGGAAACAATTCTTCAGCAAGGGGCACATACGCAGGGGATGCAAAAGTCCGGGGAGCAAGAAGCTGAAAGTTGGGAAGTTCGGGCGCAAAGGGTTTCCTTCACTTCAAGCAAGTCTCAGGAGAGGCCAAACGGGGTGGGTCGTGTTAAAAGTGGTGGGGAATTAATTGTAAAGGGGGTCGGATGGATGGGAGGTGGCTTAAAAGGATCGCCGTTATGAAACTCGGTCTCCGACATTCACTCCTCTCTGATATCATGAGCTTCTTTGCCACTTTGCCACGTGCGGTCCACGCGAGCTCGGCTATAGTTTGGGCTTCTGAGGTCAACTAAGACATTTTTGTATTGACTTCATTAGAGTAATAATACATCTTGGAATACCTTGATGACCTATGATGCTTTCTCCATGCATATACATCCTAACAAGGAACACTTGCCATCTGATATGTATCCAAATGCCGGATTTGCCTGTGCAATGTATAGGCTACACGGCATACTGCACCCCTTTTCACACCATACCACAAAAGTACTGTATTGAAATCATACGACTGCGTCTCACAAAGAGTAGCGCTATAGCCTGGCCTATCGTAAGTTATAAGTTGTTCCGATAAGAGCATGAAAGAGCACAATTTACCTCATATGCTCCGTACATACAAGCGTCTATCCAAGCCATTCAAGCAATCCATATTAGAGTCTCGGAGTGGAGTTGGCCGTTAATGCCAAAGTCGGTCCTTAAATGGTACATGCTGTATTGTATAAGGGTATCTTGACTAGTTGAGCAACGAGTGACATTCCTAGACAAAGTCCTCCTCCTGTCTTTGGCACTTATAATTGGACCAAGAAACAAGAAATAATAGGCATCGGAGTCCAAGCAAGTTGTTCCAAATAAAGTAGGCGGTGTAGAAGCTATGTAATTTCCCACCCACCCCGCCTCACTCCGCGTAGATTTTGCCGGATCTAATTACACAATTGTGCAAAGCTCACCTCATACAGTCAATCTTCTTCCAAACACCAGTCAAAACCCCAGCTGAAGACAGACAAAGCCCGCAATAATGCCCAAGCACAAGTCTTTCCTCAAGGAGACAAAGTCCAAGAAGAAGTCCGCTTCGAAGCAGGTATGTTATATTGACATACCCACAACACAGTCCAATCATGATCTCATAACTCGACATAGGCTCCAGTGACGGCCGATGATTACCTTGCTGGTAAGTCCAACATAAGCCTCAATATAATACAACACAAATGATATCCATAGTAAATGCGAATAACGCTAACCAATACTAGCGGGCGTCGAGCTAGAAGAAGCAGGCGAGAAATGGCGAGCCGGCGATGCAGCCAAATCCATGCGATTTTTCATGCGAGCTATCACAAACTACGACGAAGGACTGCAGAAACACCCCGGGACATTCGATCTAGCCTATAACAAGTATGTGAAGGGAAAATGTTGGTCTGCATTTCTACCTAAACTATCTCTGACACTCCATCTAGAGCCCGAGTCCAATACGAAATCACCCAACATCCCAAGCTAGCAGCACAACTCCCAGCCCCACAGGGAGAGATTCTGCAGGTGGCACTGCAGTCGCACCGGGAGGCGCTGGTCCTGGAACAGGACAATGCTGACGTGTTGTTCAATTCGGGCCAGGTGCTGACGAGTCTAGCGGAGTCGATATCGAACTCTAAGCACCCTAGTGATGAGCAGCTTATGCAGGCTGGCACTTATTTGCAAGAGGCCATTGAGTTGTTCCAGCGGTGTTTGATGGTGCAGGAGATGAAGTATACCGAGAGGCAGGAGGAGATTGAGGCGATGGAGTCTGGGGTTATGCCGCCCCAGGCGCCGGAGCCCGTGGAGCAGACGCAACCGCAAGCCGAGGCTGCTGGTGAGGAGCCGGAGCAGGAACAGGAGCAGTGGGCTATGATTGTTGAGCCCATCACGAAGAATACCCTGGTTGATACTGCCGTGGCGCAATTGGAGACCTTGACCACGTTGTGCAACTTGTTGACATTCAACCCGGGTGCCGGTGGTGTTGGCTGGGTGCAGGAGTATTCATCAGAGCTGGTGGAGTCGCGGCTCCCTGCCTATGCCGAGGGCTCGGACAGGCAGTATGAGGCGGGTTTGGCGCGGGCCAAATTCATTTGTGCATTGAACGAGCTTCTGTACCGTGGTGGACACACCGATATCCAAACATACCAGCAGGAGGTTGGGCAGGTGTTTGGGCCGGACCTGGTCGTCTCCGCGGACCCTGAAGGACTTTGCGCTAAAGCGGATGCGCTTACATCACTCAATGCATCGCTCAACGACATTCCCCCATCTGAGGATGATGAGGCATTCGAGAACGCAGTGGCAGTCCGGTGGAAATCGCTCTCGACAGCCTTGGAAGCTTTGACAGTTGCATCCAAACACCCAGACGCCGACAACCTGCCCAAAATCCACATTGGACGGGGAGACGTGGAGATGCATCGCTGGCGACTGGGTCGCGCTCCTTGGAACCATGCCATGGCAAAACAGAATGGCGCCATGCTCCTGCGCAATGCGCAAACATACTACCGCGGCGCAGCTGCATTAGCCCGCCGCGACGGAGCCACCGACGAAGAAAGGGACGGATCATGCAAGGAAGCAATTGCCGCAGCACTGGAAGGTCAGGATACCAAGCTCGAGCAGCTCAAAAGAACCGTCCTCCAGCAACTGGTCGCCGTAGCACAAGATATGGTGGAAGACGGAATGGTGGACGGAAGAGAATTGAGTGCGCTGATCTCATGAAATGACTGAAATCACCTGAGCACACAAGCCCTCACAGACCCGAACGAGCATTTACCTCCTCATCCATCTGGACCGCATCCTGGCGAAGATGATGCTCCTTGCTGAACTGCGTGGCAGCAGAAGCAGCTCCCTCAATATCAGAAACCACATAACCAAGATGCGCCAGCAGTTGTTCGATTTCCTGTCTCTGCGACTGAACAGTCTGCGCCAGCTGCGTGTTCTCCGCATGCGTTACTTTAAGTCTGTCATTCAGGGTCGACTGCGCTTCCTGCAGATACGGCGTGAGGTGTGCCTTGTACAGGTCTTCTGCGCCGAGGGTATGTGGACTGTGAAACGAACGTCAGAAAAAAACCCCAAATTAAAAGCCACATCATCCATGGCCAAATGAGTGTTGTAGATCGTAATATTCAACGTACACAGTCCTCTCAGAATCCTCATCCTCCTCCTGGTCCCTCCTCGCCCTAGCCTCACCGACCAATCGATCCAATTCATTAAGATGCGGTACGACATCCCGCTCCGCAATGATCTCCTCAAACTCGGCTTTCGCGCTCTCTTCTAGCTTCGCGTTTAATTGTCGCCAAACACTCTCTAGACTGGCAGGAACATGGCGCGCCGGTGTAGGGAAGCAGCTTGCAAAATTCGCATATGAGTTTGCGCGAAGTGTGCGCGCCAAAGCTTGGTCGAAAACTTGGTGCAGACGTGAAGCGCGAGGGCCGGGAGCTTGGGGAACTTGGGCTGGCGGGGGAGGGGAGGGCGATGCTGCTGGTGGTTGGTGGGTGTTTGGTTCGGATTCGGCCATTGTGCGTGGTTGTATGAGTTGGATTATGTTGGTAAGTAGGATATTGAGGTGTAAGATGATCTTTGGATATGTCGAGAGGGTGTGTATAGGGTTGTTGACGTTCAGGAATTTGGTGATTCTTTCATTGACCGGATTCAACGCGACGCGACGGTCACGTGTTTTATAGGGTGGTTGGGACATTTAAGCGCAATTATTTGATTATACTTCTGCTGGAATTCAACTCAAGATCTCAAGAACGCTGAAAGGTATACATAGTACATAAGTCATAAAATTAGGGTGTGTTGCCAAAAATTGGGATAATCAAATGGATGCCAGCCAGCCCTAAGTAGATTCATGCAAACCAAAACAACAATATTGCACGTCAATGGTGCATACTATCATCCTCCAATATAACAGGAATTTTTGAGCTTGTGGAACCTTTTCGTATATGAGCAGGTTTCATCTTTGCCTTGAAACGGGATATATGGCATAAATCTATGTGTGCACGAATATCCTGCCAAAGCAATTTGAACGCCGGCCATGAAATCGAGACGTATATCAGACTATTCCAAAAGCCTTGAAGTGGAAGGACAAAAGCACCAACAAAGTTGAGACCGAATGAGACACTGTCTGGGTGAGCGAATGAGTAGGCTCTGTTGATCGTAGATGGGACCTGAAGTTGAGTAATTAGCATCCAATACATAAAGCAAATGTTGAATCCATAAGAACAAGTCTAACAATAGAAATACAACATACCCAAGTCACAAGCAAAGCAATAAAAAACAACATGGCATACTTAGTATACGCCCAAGCAGCCGAATTAGCCTCAGTAGCAATAGACCTCCGCTGCGAAACAGATTCCCTATTCGCTCGCCCAGCCCTAGCCTGACCATCGCTCTGAAGCGGACAAGGAGCTGGTCTCGAACTATGCTCCAAATCAAGCGGTACATCTCCAAACCTCCCACCCTGAATGGTAACAGAGTATGGCTTGAAAGCAGCGGACGGAAGACCGTGTGGTCCACCACTAGGAGTCCGCTGCTCAGGCGTGTAGCAGTCAATCTCCCTGGTAACCTGGATACCAGCCATTGTAGCAAAGGGGGAGACAGGAGGTACTAGATCAGGATCGAGAGAATCAATACAACCGAGGTTTCGAAGTTGGCGTCGTTTTTGGTAGATTACTGATCCTGCTCGGAGGTAGATGGCGAATGTTAGTGAGATGATGAACCAAACTGGTCCGTAGAAGAGGGCTATGCGGAGGAAGTCCCATGGTACTGCAACCCAGCACCATAGCTGTGAAGTGGGTTAGTCCACATTTTGTATCGAGAAGGTTGTTTAATATCTTACGATTGCAGAGCCATAGACCCGACCTCGAGCCTGGGTTTTGACGAAGAAGTATGCAAAAGCTGGGATGAAGGGTACGCCGTAGCAGAACAAGGCATATTTCCATTCTAGCTGGCGGAGTTGTTCGGAGCCATACTTGTGGAAGAAGGTTAGGTAGACGTTGCATGCCATCGCAAAGGTCCATAGGGCGTCGGCGGGCATGAACCTACACAGGATCATATCAGCGATGATCTGGAAAGAAAGACAAGAAAGTAAGCAGAAAGGTGGATACTTACCATTGAACTAAGAAGCCCTGGAACTGACATAGCGCACTATCATCACTTATATGAATTCCATCCTGGCTTATGATAGCGGCTACGTTGGCCATGATATTACCCCACGATGCATAAAACACGAGCCGGTTGATAGGTTTACGAAAAGAAGTCGACCAGATGAACGTGGAGACAATGACGAACGTGCCCATCAAGGAAATTGTCGAGCAGACCCGTTCTGTGACTGAGATTGCCCACATTTCCTGTTCTGACAGTCCCATGGTTTATCATGGTATAGCAAGCACGTAGCCGAGAAGAGGAGGTCTTCACCCCCAGGGTAGAAAATCTTATCAAAATACGGACCGAAGGATGAGAGGAAGAGAGAAGGTCAGACCCTCATGATCGATAGGGTATGTCGTAGATCTTCTCTACACTTGGGCTTACGGGCCGAGTCGATGGCATAGCCTGTTTATCATCCGCACAAGGATTCGGGATGAATGCTAATTGCTGTGGAGAGATCCGATTGGTATGTTTGATTTGGCTTTCAGGGACGTCTTTTAAATGGGCTCACAGTTTCAAACACACCGTATGGAGCCAGGTTGCGGCCGAGTGCCAGTGGGAAGACGTGAGCCTGGGATGCACGGGCAATCCAGGATTTGTTATTGGATCAGAAACCGGGAGACTGCAGAGAAATGGGAGGGGTGGCCTGTGTCACTGTACACGTAACTAGGTACTATCAAGACATGTAACGTTGGGCAGCGTTGAAAGAACAAGCCTCAAAGGGAGGTGACCTGACACAAATGGCACAAGCCAAGCAACTAAGTAAAGAAGAGCCGTATGTAAAACCAGTTATGTGTGACGGCCTATTACCTGCAGAGGTCTGAATTAGAAGAGACTTGTGGCCCTACGTCAGGAAAGACAGGAAGGCGAAAGGTGATGATGTATTCGATCTGAGCGTAGCTTGTAGCTCAGTGGCGTAGCAAAAGTATTTAACCTCGAGTACTTCGGGCCAGGACCCACTTTTTAAATACTGCCAGCAGAAACCTCGAAAATTGAATGCAATTTAATAGCTAGTATGGCACCCGTTATACTTAATAATATCAGCTACCATATGAGGCATTGTCCCCGATGAATGCTTAAATAGATCAATATCTAGACCTTTCCATGCTTTCTGCGCAGCTTCCAGTAGCAAATTTAGCGTAGATGCGCTATTAGGAAGCTGCATAAGATTAGGATAATGCTTAAGAATTTCGGCTTTTAGCAACGCCTAGAGGTTCCCGATTGGGTTTAAATCAAGCGAAAGGAAAACTTTTCTATGATATCGTATTCGAGCATATTTGAAGTGTCCCGTACGATATATGCCATGTGAATAGGCGTGTTATCTTGCTCGAAAAAAACTTTATGGTTGATACTATTAAGTAGCGCAGGCAAGATGCGTCTATAGAGCTCTTTGGTCGTACGTGAAGAAACGCCACCTCTTCGAGATTGGGAATCTCCGAACAGTGGAATATGGCCCGATCGACGCGGAAGACCGGAAAAAGCAGCCCGAAATATTTGCTTAACTTGCTTCACTCCTCGCAATAGAACCATTTGAACTTGATATCCTTCCCTTCTTTTGAATGCTGAAAAACTGATCTTTCGGATGTATAAAAGTATATCCTTGACGCTAGCCAATTCCACGTTTAACCGTATATTCATTAGACTATAGACGCGAGCCCAATCCTCCGACGTAAAATACTGATATTAAAGAGCCCAGCGTAGACGTTGTTTTTTTTTAGCGTGTAAAGGCACTAATGACAGATGCTGTATTTTCCTCTATTTTCGAAGACCTATTTCGTGGGTGAGATGCCAAATTGACGAACGGTGGACCCTAAAATCAACCTCTCGAAGTAGATCCTTGATCAAAATTGACGGGTTTTCTTGTATAGTATCGTAAGTATCGTAGTAATGGTCTCGGTCCGCTTCTGTGAACTTCCTAAAGGTGCCTAAGCGTGGAAGGCTTTTATATTTTTGACGTTTTGCTGGGTAAGCGTATACTGAATAGTTGAGCGTCGGGAAAGCGCTGTTCCTTGATAGTTGTAGCACCCCAACCGTTTGTAGCATGTAATTCGCAGATCTTAGCCCGAGTAAGGCAGTCATGTTCTGGGCTTCTGATTCCGCGTGTAGGAGGCAGTGTTATAGCAAGAGAGAGAGAGAGAAATGCATTGTAAATTATAGCGTATATACCGGCGCGTAATGCGAGTTTTGACGTACTGTTAAGTAGGCGGTAAAAGAAGCGGTTAGGTTAAAAATGGGTCCCGAAGTACTCGCGGTCAAATACTTTTGAGACGCCACTATCTGCATCACGTGGTATAAGGTCACGTGACTACTCCAGCTATGTAACAAGAATCGGGACATCATCCGAGGTTCAAGATAATAGTCCTACGCTTTTCTCTCTGCCCGGAGACATCTTCAAACCAACCCTATAGTATTTTTACTCCTCAATACAAGCATAAGCCGAGAAACCCTAACTGATTGCAAATCAAACGGGCAAGGCCAAAAGCTGTTCCTTAGGTAGTGTCCGGATTGAATGGCATTCGTTTTTTGAACAGAGCAGAAAATTGATAAGTTATCTGCCTCGGATCACAATATAGCATCTCCAAGCAGGCTCGTCTCCAACAAAGAATGCCCCCGCAATGTGAAAGGTAGAAAAAAGAAAAAAGCAAAACCACGATCATCGGGTATAACGCCGAATTCTCCCATGTCCATTGTTCTAATCGAGCTCGTCATCTCGTCATGCGTGGTCTAGACCATTAATACGCAGGTTGGGGTGGGATCATGCCCCCATACCCAGTCATCTGCTGCTGCTGTTGCTGCTGCTGCAACTTAGCCTGGATCTGGGGGAGATCGTGGAACCACGGGTGCTGTAGGGCCTCGTTTGCACTGATACGCATCTCTGGGCGAAGCTGGAGCATGCGGTTCAGCAGGTCCATGCCAATATGGTCCATTTGAGGGACGATCAGGGAGAGGTCCTGTGTGGCGTAGATATGGAAGTTGGGCTTGTACTCCGGAAGTTGAGAGATGCCTGGCCATGTGCGCTCCGATGGTGTACCCATCAGACGGAAGATCTTTGTCAATTGATCCTCGTTGGTTGTGCCTGGGAAGAGCGGCCGACCCGTGTACATCTCGGCCATGATACATCCGGCGGACCAGATGTCGATGCTGGTATTGTAGGTGCGACTACCCAGGAGAACATCCGGCGCCCGGTACCACAGAGTGACGACTTCATTAGAGAAGGTGTTGACTGGGATACCGAAAGCGCGGGCTAGACCAAAGTCACCCAGCTTGAGTTGTCCCTTCTTATTAATGAGCAGGTTCTGTGGCTTGAGATCGCGGTGAAGGACCCGGTTGTCATGACAGAAGGCGATGCCCTTGAGAAGCTGGTGCATAAAGGACTTGACGGTGGCGGGGTCCAGTTGGCCGCGATCACCGCGGGTGTCCATATATCTTTTGAGATCTCGGTCCATGAACTCGAAAACGAGCATGAGTTTGTTCTCGGTGTGGATGACATCGTATAGCGAGACAATACTCTCGTGTTTCAACTCCTTCATCAGGGAGATCTCACGAATAGCCGTGGAAGGGGTGCCTTCCTCCGAATCGAGATGGATTTCCTTCAGCGCTACCATCTCTCCAGTCTGGCGGTTACGACCTTTGAAGACCTATTACGTATCAGCGGTGAACGGCGTGCGATCACGGAAACCGAGGGATTATCGAGACATACGGTAGCATAGGTACCTTCACCGAGCTAAAGAGGGAGGACATAGTCAGCGAGAGTTGGGGATACGTATAGACCAGGACAAACCTTTTCCAGCTGCTGGAAGGAACTGGGCTGCTGGGACTTATCCATGACTTGTGGAATAGGAGCCGACGGCCCTGGCTTGGGTTTGGGTTTAGAGTGAAAAAGAAAAGAGCTTGGGGAGACAAGACTGGAGGCGATCTTAAAAGGATGTGCAGGATCCCTAAGCCGATCCATGCTGAGACGTGAGGGAGGAGCCCCGCGTCTCAGAACGGCCCGGGAGTCATCGACTTTGGCTGAGTGAGCATCTACAAGTATTTTCGTTATTTGGCAAAACATTCAATTTTGATATTTATTTCAGTTGTATTTCAGTTATATTTGAGTGTTTCTTTGAGTTTAATTTATAGTTCATTCACAGGGAGTTGTGATACAACGGTCGGTAGGATATTCTGCGACGGATGGCTGCATCGCACATGGGCACTGGGCTCATCCTCGATGTCGCCAAAGAGCATGGTTTCATTCCTCACTCCACCGACATTGACAATGCCAATTGGCATGCCTCGTTTGTGGGCTCGTTCCACCAAGCGCCACGCTGAGTAGGTTGCCAGGCTGCTGCCCAGTATGAGTAGCCGCCCAGCATCGTCGATCGCTTCTTCAGCCGCTGTCTTGACCAATGGGTCGATGTTTTCACCGAACATGATCACTGCAGGTTTCAAAATGCCAGCAGTTGAATTCGGTAACCACGCACCATCGCTCTCCACCTCTACATGTCCCTTGGTACCGTCTTTCTGCATAGGAGGGTTCTCCAAACAGGTTGGACACGAGGGATACCGGAAGGTAGAATATGGCGCCTTTGCAAGATCAACGTCACCATCCGGATTGAGCTTCAAGCCTTTCCGCCGCTGCTCTTCCGGGTTCTCGGTATCGAGTGCGCCCATCTCGACCATTTGCGCAAGGAACTCCGCCCACGCTGGGTTCAATCTCTCCAACGACGCCTGAAAATCAGCACGGGGAAGCTGACTCCGACAGCTCGTGCAGACGACCGATCGTAGGTATCCGTGTAGTTCGAGGGTATCGAGTTCCGGGTGCGCGAGGGAATGGAACGAGTCGACATTCTGCGTCACGACAGAACTAATGTATCCCTTGTCACTGAGACCTTTGATAGCCCAGTGAGTTGAGTTTGGCTTAGCTTTCACTAGTCCGGGCCACCCGACGAAGCTGCGAGCCCAATAACGCTTACGCGACTCATGACGTGAGATGAACTCGTGGAAGTAAATCGGTCGATAGGATTTGTTTCGTCGGTAAGTGCCCTGGTCACCTCGATAGTCTGACAGACCAGATGCGACAGAAATGCCTGCGCCGGTCAGTAGGACCGTTTGAGAATGTCTTCCCACATCGACGCCACGGAGATGGAGGGACGGTGGCGCCGTGAAGAAACGACCGACTGCATCAATGGCACCTGTCAATGTACGTGCAGACTGCGGCACTATAATTGCTGGGGGTAGCGGGCCCGTAAAAGGGATTCGAATCGCAGGCGTCGTCATTGAAGACGCATCCTCCGTCTCAGATGTCTTGGCAGAGGAATAAGAGCAGAGGTTCTCCAACGGATTGCGTAGTTCTTGGCTGCGGGTCGCTGCTTATACTTGGAAAAGGTAGGATTCGTCAAGGCTGACAAAGGAAGAGATTGATTAGGTAGGGTATATTGCTCTGTAGTTATTTTAGGATATTCAATAATTCAGATAAATCCCTAATTCCGCAACTAAGACTTAAGTGCGGAAAGCAGATCACTAATGCGAGCATTCAGATTGGAGAAGAAGTCAAGAATCTCCAGGGCAAAGGCGGATTACATGATCGGAGCCATTCCCCCATTCGTCCTGACTTGATGTTTCTTTGTAGACACCCTGTCCAGATACCCTTGTTGGCCGTGCTCGCGTGTCTACTAGAGCAATGCCGCTGACGCAGCCCCTGCGGTGCAGGCTTCGTCCATCCCTCCACTCTATCCGCATTTCCAGTCTCCGGTCCGCGCAGCGTCGCATACTTACCTCCGCTCCCTTTTTAAAAGACGCTTCCTCCTTTCTGTTCCATTCCAGACCTCGAGCTCTTCGTACACCCCTTGCCATGACACAAACTCGCGGACATGGCGGTCACGGCCACCACCACCACCACCACCATCATGACAACACCTACTTGACCTCTACGAACAAACGCGATGCTGGCGTTCGCATTACCCGCATTGGCTTGGTTGCCAACCTCTGCATGGCCATTGGAAAGTTCATTGGTGGCTACGTCTTTCACTCTCAATCCCTGATTGCCGATGCATACCACGCACTCACCGATCTCGTGTCCGACTTTTTGACCCTTGGAACTGTCGCCTGGTCCTTGAAGCCCCCAAGTGAACGGTTCCCCAATGGCTACGGAAAGGTCGAGAGCATTGGTGCTCTGGGGGTGAGCGGTCTCCTTCTTTGCGGTGGAGTGTTTATGGGTCTCAATGCGGGACAGGTCCTGCTGGCGCAGTTCTACCCAGACGTGGCTGAAACAATAGCTCACTCTGGGATGCTGGGACATGGTCACTCGCATAGTCACGGGCCCATTGGTCCCAGCATCCACGCTGCGTGGATTGCTGCTGGGTCGATTGTTGTTAAGGAGTGGCTTTACCGTGCTAGTAAGTCCAAGGACCTTGGGGGAAGTATTTATCCACCAATTGATTAACAACTCTATAGCTATGAAGGTTGCTGAAGAGCGCAAGTCCTCGGTCCTCGCATCTAACGCCATTCACCACCGGATCGATTCCCTCACGAGTATTGTCGCCCTGTTCACAATTGGAGGAAGCTATGTCTTCCAGGACGCCACCTGGCTGGATCCGGTTGGTGGACTCCTGATCTCTTTGATGGTAATCAAAGCTGGTTGGGGTAACACATGTACCTCTCTTTTGGAGTTGGCCGATACCACTGTCGATGAAGATGTGCGAACTTCGGTGGAGGACGCTACCATGAAGGCATTATCCGAGCTCGAGGGTGGTAATGATATCAAGGTCCGCGACGTGCAAGGCATGAAGTCTGGACAGAACTACCTGATGGATATTGAGTTGGCTGTCCCCGGCGCCTGGCCTATCAGCCGGTCTCAAACGATTGAACAGAGTGTCCGTCACACTGTTGGAACTGGAGTTCGTGGTGTGAAGCGGATCAAGGTCCGTTTCATTCCGGTGGAACAGCAGGAGCTCACCTTCTCTGATGAGTTTGTTGCACAAGATTCCAGTGCTGACCCTGAGCCTGAGAGTCACCATAAGCACCAATAGTGATGATACCCGAGAAGTCTGTGTGTATAGATATATAATATACTGGACTACTGTGCTCCGTTTAAGCCTTGTGATCTTATAGTGGAGACCTCAATTCAACCGAGAATTTAGCAGAACCCTATTTACCCGGTGTCTCGGGGTGAACTTGCTCTGATTATGCATGGGAAATCATTACAGCCCTACTTGGCGCTCGGTCTATCTTTCCCAGTATGAAAAAGTATGAAGTGTAGATATCAACCGGTGGCAGTTGGAAAGTCTCAACCGGCTATAGTTCATCCCTTGACATCATTGCGGGTTCACCCCAGGATCTCGCCGCTTTCACTCTGCTCTCTAATACATTTAACCCCTCCCTGATCTTTAGCCTACGAGTCTTTCTCATCTTACTTAAATTGTTAAATCGTTGTATTGATTCTGCGAGCCATTGCTGTCGCAGAGTAATTGTTTTCTGTCATTACGTCGTTCCCCACCATGGCGTCTGACAGCCCACTCTACATTGGCTTCGACCTCTCAACGCAGCAGTTGAAAGGTCTGGTTGTCAATTCTGACCTCAAGGTCGTTTACATCGCCAAATTTGACTTTGATGCCGACTCGCACGGCTTTCCGATCAAGAAAGGTGTTCTGAACAATGAAGCAGAGCACGAGGTGTTTGCTCCGGTCGCCCTGTGGCTGCAGGCACTGGACGGTGTCTTGGAAAGTCTGCGCAAGCAAGGTCTTGACTTCAACCGAGTGAAAGGAATCAGCGGCGCAGGACAGCAACACGGAAGTGTATACTGGGGTCAGGATGCGGAGAAGCTCCTTTGCAATCTAGACCCGAAGAAGTCCCTCGAAACACAGCTGGAGGGTGCTTTCTCCCACCCATACAGCCCCAATTGGCAGGATTCGAGCACGCAGAAGGAATGTGACGAGTTTGATGCGGCTCTTGGTGACCCTGAGCATTTGGCACTAGCCACAGGAAGCAAAGCACACCATGTAAGACCCCTGGAGTCTATCCAGAGTGACAAGCATGCTAACACTTCATCAGAGATTCACAGGTCCTCAGATCCTCCGCTTCACGAGGAAGCACCCAGAGGTTTATCAGAAAACATCGAGAATCTCCCTGGTTTCGTCCTTCCTGGCGTCGCTCTTCCTGGGTCATGTAGCCCCATTCGACATCTCCGACGTATGCGGCATGAATTTGTGGAACATCAAGAAGGGGGTTTACGATGACCGCCTGATCCAGCTCTGCTCGGGTGTCTTTGAAGTCGAGGAACTCAAGCGCAAGCTCGGGGAGGTACCGGAAGATGGAGGACTGCACCTTGGCCACGTCCATTCATACTTCGTGGAGCGCTTCGGCTTCAGTCCCGATTGTACAGTGATCCCAGCAACCGGAGACAACCCAGCGACTATTCTGTCGCTACCCCTGCGACCATCAGATGCCATGGTTTCCCTGGGCACATCGACCACCTTCCTGATGTCCACTCCTAGCTACGTACCCGATCCCGCCACACACTTCTTTAACCACCCAACGACCCCCGCATTGTACATGTTCATGCTGTGCTACAAGAACGGCGGCTTGGCCCGTGAACAAGTCCGAGACGCACTCAATGAGAGCCTAAAGGATACCCCTGCCCAACCCTGGGCCAACTTCGACAAGGTTGCGCTGCAGACTCCCCCGTTGGGCCAGCGGGATTCTACAGGCCCGATGAAGATGGGCCTGTTCTTCCCCCGACATGAAATTGTGCCCAACATCCGCAAAGGCCAGTGGCGCTTCACATATGATCCAAGCACAGAAAGTCTGCAAGAGACTACTGATGGATGGACTACCCAGGATGAAGCCAGGGCTATTGTTGAGAGTCAGATGATCTCACTGCGTCTGCGTTCTAAGGAGCTGACACAGAGCCCTGGTAATGGACTTCCTGCTCAGCCCCGACGGGTTTACCTCGTTGGTGGAGGATCCAAGAACAAGGCCATCGCTAAGATTGCTGGTGAGATTCTGGGTGGTGTTGAGGGTGTGTATCAGCTCGATGTTAGCGATAATGCCTGTGCCCTTGGTGCTGCATACAAGGCTGTCTGGGGTATTGAGAGACAGCCAGGTCAGACCTTTGAAAACCTGGTCGGCCAGCGGTGGAACGAGGACCAGTTCGTTGAGAGAATTGCCGAGGGTTACCAGAAGGGTGTCTTTGAGAAATATGGCCAAGCTGTTGAAGGGTTTGCGAAGATGGAGCAGCAGGTATTGAAGCAAGAGGCAGAGAAGGGCATCTAAAAGTAATCTAGACTGGATATAACACATAAAATAAGACATGAGGTATAAAATGTATGGAGTGAGCTATGACGAAAGATGGGGCACGGGGTTTTGTGCAGCCCCTTGCCCTAGTAGACACATTCACAAAGAACTGAGCAACCTCGACTCTCTACTCCGTACTACTATTTCTGCTTATTGAATCCCTTTGTCTACTTAATCTTCAATTCGACTAGCGAAGGCGGAAACCAGGCACGGAAACTCGATTACGGGATACCATGGATGATATCGTCCTCCACTGAAAAACAATTTTATCAACACACACACCCCTCCTCTCTCCGCTCCCCTTCCACGCTACAGGGAGACAGGGACGATGGAAGAACAGGTGAGTTTATTCAATCTCTGCTCAATTAAAATGCACAAAATTTCCCCTACACCTATCCCCATACCGCCCCTCCCCCACCCTACAGCCCTTCCCCTCAGCACGAGATGATTGACACCGCACAGGTAGCAAATGCCATTGAGATCGCCTGGAATCCGACCTCTGACCAAGCTCTAAAATCGCAAGCCTTCGACTACCTCAATCAACTTCGCTCCGACCCCTCCGGATGGCAGGTCTGCCTCGCCCTCTTCACCAAGTCCCCACAGCAGCCCGAGATCGTACGGCATGTAAGCTTGGAGATTGTCAATAGTGCCGCTCAGGTCGGTCTGATCGATCCAGCCTCGATGCTGGTCGTTCGTGATGGTCTGTTGGGTTACCTCCGCCAGGTGTACGGGCCCGAAGGCTCTGCTACGCCTGACGCTCCGTACATCCAAAACAAAATCGCACAGACGGTCACCTATCTCTTCTCCTCACTTTACGCTAATGGTTGGGAGACATGCATCGACGATCTTCTCTCTCTGACTTGCAAGTCTGCAGCGAGCTCGGGGCGGGACAACCAGCTAGGAATTATTTTCTACCTGCGCGTGCTCAACTCGATTCATGAGGAGATTGGCGATGTGCTGGTTTCGAGGTCTCGCGGTGAGCAGGACAAGGCGAACACGCTGAAGGACTTGATTCGTGAGAGGGACATGCAGAAAATTGCCAACTCGTGGCAGGAGATTATGGCGGTCTGGCGGGACGGCGATGATTTGATTGTTGAGATGTGCTTGAAGGCTGTTGGTACGTGGGTCAGCTGGATTGATATTGGCTTGGTCGTGAACCAAACCATGCTGGACCTGCTGTTCCAGCAGCTTGGACGGGCTGAAAAACAGGAACTCCGGGAAGGCGAGCAGCGGGTGCGCGATGCGGCTGTTGATGTTTTCACCGAGATCATTGGCAAGAAGATGAAGCCTTCAGACAAGATTGAGATGATTGTTTTCTTGAACCTCGACTCGATCATTACGCAGCTGTCGAACAGCCCTCCCCTACGAGAGAACCGCTTCACATTCAAGTACGATACCGATTTGGCCGAAACCGTTGCCAAGCTTGTCAACAACACTGTCGTGGATATTGTGCGGGTTTTGGAGAACGACAGCGGACCTATTAAGGAGAAAGCAGACAACCTTTTGCAGGTCTTCCTACCACACATTCTGCGATTCTTCTCGGACGAGTACGACGAAGTGTGCTCGACTGTTATTCCTTGCGTCAACGACACCCTCACCTACATTCGCAAACTTGCCAAGGCGAACCCATCCTTCGAAGCGCGCAACAAGTCCATTTTGCTTCCTATTCTCAAGGCTATTGTTGCGAAGATGCGCTACGATGAGACCTCCAACTGGGGTGACGAGGATGAGCAGACCGATGAGGCCGAGTTCCAGGACTTGCGCAAGAGACTGGGTGTTTTGCAGCAGATCATCGCCTCTGCTGATGAGCAGCTTTACATTGATGCCATCTCAGAGGTCGTTGGAACTACTTTCGAGAATCTGCGGGCTTCTGGAGGCCAGCTTGACTGGCGTGATCTTGACCTGGCGCTGCACGAGATGTTCTTGTTCGGTGATCTGGCCGTCAAGGGTGGCAGTCTGTACCTGAAGGGTGCTCCCACTGGTGTCGCTGCGAGCCGCCTCATCGAGATGATGCTCCGCATGGTTGAATCTGACATCCGATCCTTCACCCACCCCGCCACCCAACTTCAGTACATGGAAATCTGTGTTCGTTACAGCTCGTTCTTCACCCACCACACCCACCTTATCCCCGGTGTTTTGGAGAGCTTCCTTCAGCTTGTGCACCACCCTGTGCGCAAGGTCAAGACTCGTTCGTGGTACCTCTTCCAACGTCTCGCGAGACAGCTCCGTAGCCAGATTGGCAACGTTGCACAGACCGTTGTGGAGGCACTCGGTGACTTGTTGGTTATCCAGGCTGAGTTGCCCTCGGAGGGTGATGACGGTGATGAGATGTCCTCCGAGGATCACGAGGGCTCTGCAGATGCCGTCTTCAACAGCCAGCTGTATCTCTTCGAGTCCGTTGGAATAATCTGCTCGACTCCCGGTGTTGCTGCCGACAAGCAGGTTCTCTACGCCCAGTCTGTGCTGAACCCTGTCTTCGGAGACATGGAGCGCAACCTCGAAGCCGCCAAGGCCAACGACGAGCGCGCTTTGCTGCAGATCCACCACGATATCATGGCCCTGGGAACACTCGCCCGAGGCTTCTCCGACTGGCAGCCGGGCACCAGCTCGCCATCCGCCCTTCCTGCGCCAGAGGTGTCAGCAGCTTTCTCCCAGGTCGCTGAGGCTACCCTTGTTGCGCTCGAGTCCCTCAAGGCCTCGTTCAACATTCGAACCGCTGCTCGCTTTGCATTCTCCCGTCTCATCGGTGTTCTGGGTGCACAAATTCTCCCTCAGCTACCCCGCTGGATCGATGGACTATTGACACAAACGTCGTCACGCGATGAGATGGCCCTCTTCCTTCGCCTTTTGGACCAGGTTATCTTCGGGTTTAAGGGTGAAATATATAGCATCCTCGATACTCTCTTGACTCCATTCCTGCAGCGAGTTTTCTCCGGTATTGCTGATCCCACCACCGGTACTGATGACGAGATTCAGCTTGCCGAGTTGAAGCGGGAGTACCTGAACTTTTTGTTGGCTGTGCTGAACAATGATCTGGGAGCCGTGATTATTAGCGAGAGTGAGTGTTATTACATTCGCCCCATCTCCATCTAACAATACTAATTACCTATAGAAAACCAATCCATTTTCGAAACCGTCATTACCACACTGGAGCACTTCGCCAAAGATATCGACGACTTCACCACTGCCAAGATGGCATTCTCCGTGTTGGTCCGCATGGCTGGCTCCTGGGGCGGACCAGACATCGCCCCAGCCCCTACCAACGGCGCAGCACCGGCTGCAGTCGCACTCCCCGGCTTTGGCGGTTTCATGATTACTCGTTTCTCTCCTCTGTGCTGGGCGCTCCCAACCACCCCGTCCTTCAACTCGAAGGATGCACAGGCCAAGCAAGTCCTTGCCGAGGCCGGTGGTCTCCAGCGCACCATCTACAACAAGACAGGCATGGAGTACGCGGAATACCTGCGGGGCCAGGAACTACCCGGAATGGGCATGGGTGCTCCCCTCATTGAGGAGTTTTTGACTGCATTGAGCCAGTCGGACGTGAAAGGGTTCCGGCAATTCTTCCCAGTATGTTTCAACTCCTTCTCCTCTTCAGACCCCTACTAACTCCTCCCGCAGTCATTCATCCAACGATTGAGCGCATGAAGCTTCCTTGTCTCCTCTCTCTATCTGCTTTCTAGATTCCCCCATGCCATATTTATGTTTTGACGCGACGAGGTAATGTCTATCCTCCCACCGCATCCCAATCCCGCCCCCATTACAAACCCCAAACACCCCCTCCGAGTGCCTCCATCTCCGCCATCTTCTATACCATCTATCATCCAAGATAGCCGATCTACATGTGGGCACATGAACCCCGCAAGAAATATCAATAAGGCTAGATCAAAGACTCGCGGGAGCAACCCAAATCCAACCCAAAACCAAAACCAAAAACATTTGCCTGTCTTCAAAAGTTCCGAGTAAATAGCGCACTCCTCCACCATCCATCGTCGAATCCGGACCATCTATCTGCTTTTAGTTCTCGTTTCAGCATTCAGCATTCTGTCTGTCTCCTGCTGAGTTCTTGGTCATGGTGCATTCGCATTGTGGAGTTTCGTTCTCCGCCTTTTTCATGTCCATCCATATCCATATCCATATCCGTTTCGTATGAATATCAATATCAATATCCAATTTCATGTCATTACCCATCTTGGCGATTGATTTCGTTCTCTGGTTTTGCGATGTCTTGTCTTGCAGCACAGAAGGATAGGCCAAAAGGGTATCTTTTTTTTCTCATCCTAGGACTTGTGTTGCGTCAATGGTGTTGTTAGGAGGGTATCTATGTGCGTGGACTGGAGTGGACTGGAGTGGACTAGATAGATTATAAAATGAAGTGGTTAAATAGTCTTGGTGTTAATTGTTAGTGATCGTATTTAGGGTCGCATGGTTGTAAAGGAGACGCTCAATATCTCGAGACGGAAGCAGAAACTCGTTTGCTTAATTTGACAAATACATACAATGTCCTTTCTAAATACCCCACCTAAATGCTAACGACCATCATCTGACAAAATCCAATTACCATTACCTTTTCTATCGTCCATTCTCCCTATTGAATGACCCAAGTCATCCAATCCCCAATCCTAAATAACGGACCTAACACTAACACTCGGCCGCTCACTAACCAAACCCACAAATCAGAACCAGTTTACTATACTCAAAGCAAAGCAGGAAAGAGAATAGCATGATATATGTTCCATTGAAAAAGGGAAGAGGTGAAACACACTATGCAAAGAGATACTTAGCAGCATGCTCAACATGATCATCCGCAAACGAAGCCATGGTATAGTACGAGTGATCATAATCCGGCTGGTAGCGCACATTCAGACCCTTGTGTCCGGCGTCGTGGGCAGCAGCTTCGAAGTTTTCGGGGAGAAGCTGGCCTTGCTTGTAGAAGTTGTCGCCGGTGCCCTGGGAAGACAGATGTTAGATTGGAGGGAATAGACAGGACGGGGAGGGAGGTAGAACATACAACATCAATTAGGATATCCAATGGACCACCAGACCACTTCTTAATTAATTCAGTGGCATCGTGCTCCTTCCACTTATCCTGTTGGTCATCGCCAAAATAGCCGTTGAAAGCCTTCTGGCCCCAGGGGCAGTTGATTGGGTTTGTGATTGGTGCAAAGGCAGAGACGGATTTGTATTTGCCTGGGTTGCGGAGGAACTGGTACAGTATCCCGGTTAGAACCTACAGAAAAGCAAGCAAAGGTAGAGATAACATGACATACCAGAGTAAGAGCACCGTGACCACCCATACTGTGTCCGGTTATACTGACACGGCTCGAGTCCAACTGGGGGAAAGCAGCAAAGACGGTCTGGGGCAGTTCCTCGGTGACGTAGCTGTACATATTATAGCCGGCATTGTAGGGGGCCTTTGTGGCGTCAACGTAGAAGCCTGCGCCGGAGCCGAAGTCGTAGGCGTCGTCTTCGCCTTGGATGTTGAGGCCGCCTGTCCAATGTTAGTATACTTGTGTAGCTTAATTTCATCAACTTCAAGCTCCAGAGAGATTGACAGGTGCAATTGACGGAATGACGAAATGACGAAGAAAAAAGTTACATACGAGGGCTGGTATCGGGGTAAAGCACGGCAATGCCCTTCTTGCTAGCACCGTGCTGGAAGAAGCCCTTCTCAGAACAGTTCTCCGCAGTGCAAGTCAGACCGGAGAGGTAGATGAGGACGGGGACCTTCTGAGTCTGAGCCTGCGGGGGCAAGTAGAGGTTGAATTTCATCTCGCATTTTGTGGTAGTGGCGGCATGGCTGAGTTTGAGCAGCTTGCCGCCAAAAGAAGCGATGGTTGCGTTTGTGGTGACAGACATGATGGGTGAAGCAGGCGTGTAAAGGCGAAGAGAGGGCGCTGACGTTTTTATGGTGGGGGGAAATGGTGCCTCATGAGGGGAAAGGTCCACATCGGAACTATGAAAAGGGACAACTTATCCCGGATTGACTGCCATAGTGAAGAAACGAATAGGATTGCTGCCCACAGTGGGGAATGGTGTATATACAAGGGGTCAACTATCACATCATTCATTCCAAGAACACCGGAACGCCATATACAACAGGTGCTGCGCCGTTCAAATACTTCAGCACACACGCGCTCCGAGACCGCGCAATGGCCGTGTCAAGCCCGACATTCTCCTTTTCCTCCCGGTCCTTCTTGTCTTTCTTTTCTACAAGACCCCATGCGTCAAGCGTGGTGGTGGTAAACCGATCAATGTCCCGATCTGTGACATCCCACAGCGTAGCAACGAGCGCCGGACTGCCCGCATGAAGATAATTCATGGGTGTGCCGTAGGGTTCATACTCGCCGGCTTCGGTCAAGCTGCCACTGCTACAGCCCATAAGGAAAGTAACAGCGCATTGGGTCAATCGCTTGACAGTGCGCCCACGAATGTACTGAGCACCGCTTCCGTGACCGAAGTACAGGAATAGGTCTTTCTTCTCTAGCGAGTCCCGGAATTCATCCTCGGTCGGTTCGCGCTGCACGATCGCATTCCAAGACTTGAACTTTGCAAAGTCTTGCTCGAAGGTTGTTTGCGTTGAGCGCAGATCTCCGGTCGGGTTGAGGACATACGCGCCGGATTTGCGGTTCATGATAGCTCCAGATGATGAACTGCGGAATTGAAGAACTCGGTCGCGGAGACACTCCAGGGATGGAACACGGCAAACGGGGTATCCCTGAAGACAGGGAAGAGATTCCCAGGGGAACAAGTGTAGGGTTTTATCGAGAACGAGAACTGTATGCCTCGGGGGCCGTGATTCAAGCTCCTCACGGGCAGCTTCGTGATAGCATCGCAAGGCGTCGAGGGTGTCGACAACCATCATGTCAAAGTCGATCTCATCATAAGCATTGCGCTCACCCTGGAACTGTAGGATATCCACCACAAAGTAAAGAAGATCCATCAACGTGTCCTCGGGCTCTTCTTGTTGTTCAAGATCGCGAAGCCCAATGAACAAGTCCACCACGTTTTGATGCAAAGTAAGTCGGGGACCTGCGGCCTTGCCACCCTTCTGTCGAGAAGGAAGATGTTTGTCTAGGATTCCTTGGAAGGTACTTGCAAATCGAACCAGCGCAGTGGTCTCTCGCGAGAGAGGCGAGAATACACCCCTGAAGCCTCCAAACCAAATGTTTTCAATGTTCTGGAGGACGCTTTCCATACGACTGTCAAGCGCCTCGCGAGTCTTCCACCACTCCTTCTTCGATGCCTTGTCGGTTTGAGCCTTGGCAGCATGCGCACTCTTGTTCGCCAACTTGATGAGCTCCTGCATTTCCTGTTTACCATCCTCAAAGGTGAATTGCTCTTCTTCGTCGTCCTCTGAGTTTCCTCGGTGAAGAGGAAGGCGCAGGAGGAACGGAGAGCGATCTCTCTGCAGTCGCGAAACCACAAATTCGGTTTGATCTGCACTCAAAGACAAGGAGAGGACGTTCCAGCTTTCAGGTAGAATGTCCACATAGCCCTTGGAGAAGTTGGAGCACAAATCAGTGTCCAGCTCGACAGCCGATGAGAAAGAGGCCGGCCAGAGAAGGGGGTCGGCGAAGTCAGCGAGTTGTCGGTCAATATCAATCGCCATGCGTTCCCGGGCAAATGCGCCAACACGTCCAATTTCTGTTTAGAGGTTAGATATTTGAGGTTCAATGTACGTTGTGAAACTTACCATTCATGTTAGCTGGCGACTGAGTCAATGTAGCCGGTACACCAGAAGATGTGACATGCGAGAGCATAGAGATTCGGCTCATCAAGCGAGATGCAGCATGGCTATCAAGCGTTGAGCCAAGGACGGTCGCATCAGAGAATACACCGGCAAGGCAGTCGGTTGCTTTCGAAAGCATAATCGAGAAATCCTCACTAGCTTTTTGGGCCTTGGTGCGAGTAGTTTTAGCAGGAGCCTTGGTTTTCCGCGTGGAAGGCTTCCCTGCAGGCACACTGGGCTCATCGGCCGTCTTGCTTGGCGACATGAGCGACGGTAGAGATATTGTAGATTCAGGCAAGACGCAGTACACAGCATGGCTGGCAAAACGGCGGATTGCATCAGCGAGGAGATGCTCGCTTTCGCCGATCTCCAGAGTAATCCTGCTTTCAGGAGAAACGGCATACTGTCGGGCATCAGCGAGCATTTTCGCAGATCGTTCGAAATCGCGCAACTCCCGCAAACAATCAGCTTGTTGTCTTAGAACATCACCCTTGAGTTGTAGTAAGGTTTTCGACTGGGCTTCGGAGAGGTTAGGCTTTGGAGCTGGAGCTTTTCTGGTTGTTTTGGGCGCGGCAGCCTTGCGTGCAGCGGAGCCGGTCGAGCGCGTGCGTCGAGTGGTGACTGTGGTAGTAGGTGTAGGTGTTCGAGGTGTAGGTGCCCGGTGGCTGCTTGCCCTAACCTGCAGTTTGTCCATCTTGTCTTCAAGTTCTGCAACAGCCGATGCCTCCACGCTGGCAGGCTTGTCTGCGAATGTGATCGCTGTGATGACTTTGTCCGCCTCAAGAAGAACATGAAGTGCCTTATCGTGCTCTCCCCGCGTCTTGTACAAAGATGCAAGTGCCATATGGAATGACACAGTTTCAATGCTGTTCGATGTCTGCTTCGAAGACTCAGATGCTGCAGCAAGATGTTCCTGTCCTTCGCTCAGGTGGCCGCCGAGAATTGAATGGCAGCCAAGCTGGGTCTGTGCTGCGAGAAGTCGAGCATTTGCGTCGAGTGTCCTATCAATTTTCAGGGCTTGCTCTCCATAATAGATGGCATCCTGGAACAAGCCATGGTGGGCACACAACGTTGCCAGGTTCAGCAAACAGCTATGGTGAGAGCCCAGGTGTGGCCAGAATGGTGCACCTTGAATATAGCTGGCAGACACATCTGGGCTGGATCCGTTCTGGGATAGATCAAGTTTTGCAACACCGTCAGCAACGGCATCAACATCAGAAGGTCCCGCAGTAGGCAAGAATTTGTCTTGCTTCTTTTGGGCGATTCTTTCAACCTTAGCCCAGATTCGGCAGTTCAGCCTCACGGACAATTTCGCAAAGTAAAGAGCCTGAGTCGCTGAGCCCTGAGCAGATAATAACCGGGATTGAACAAATGCGGCGTCTGCTACCAATCTCTCCCAAGAGATCTTGGACAGGACACTCAGGTTTTCGAGTTCTGACTTCTGGCTCTTTTCATATAATGACCGAGCAGCGGAGAAAGCCAACGCGGCTTTATCGATTTCTCCAGTTTCCAGGAGATATTCCACCCGAGCAACTTTGTATGAGATGGCTGCAAGAGCGGAAACCTTGGCTTGGATAAGATACTGCTCACCACGCGAGAGTAAATTGCCAGCCCTTTGGCAATAGCCCAGACGGCAATTTTGCAGTACCAAGCGGGAGAGAATGACGATCGCATCGGAGACATCTCCTGATTTTTGGAGCTCTGTGGCACGCAAGATGAGCTCCAGGGTGGAGAGTTGAGCCTTCCAGAGACCGTGAATTTCTGTGTAATCGACCAGGGCCTTCAACTGCAAGATCCAGTACTCTGTATCATTAACACAAAGGCTTAGGGTCTTCAAATCAGGGCATTTTTGAGCCAAAGAAGTCCATGACCCAAGCGTGGCCTCCAGCTCACTGGCGTCAATCTTGCCATGGTGGAAACCGATAATAACGCGCAGTGAATTGCTGATGTGGATGGCAAAAGAAGCGAGATCGGTGTCTTTTCCGATTTGTAGACCTTGCTCCAAAACTTCCGTTCCTTCTTCCAGCAACTTTTCGATTAAAGACGGCTCTAGCGCAGAAGGGAGTTCGAGTAGAAGGCGTAAAGATGAGAAGATTACACGAATATGGCGGATTGGATGAAGTTTAGTGTCGTAAAGGTCGAGGAGGGAGGAAACAACAGAGCCCAGCATCAAGCGGAACTCTTCTTCGCTGGAGGAGTAGCTGTGCATGTCGACAAGCAAGTACATTTGCCACTCAAGAAGCATACCTCTTGATTCAAATTCAAGCTCGGTGTCGTCATAAACAGTAGATGACTGTGCGCTCTTTCTGCGCAGCTTCATCTTCAGTAGAGCAGAAAGCACGCGGCCAAGCATAAAGCCAGGACTTTTGGGGTCTTGATTTAGTGAACTGGGGTTAAGTCCCTCACTGCTCTTAGCAATCTGTTCCAGTGTGCCAGAGAGAATGTATTCCTCGATAGACTGTCGGAACATCTTCTCTGAATCATTGTACATATTGCCTTCGATGTACAGATGAGCCATTCGTTCGAACTTGAGGGCTGCAAATGCAGTGTTGCGCTGTGAAGGTGAGCAGCCCGAGAGCAATTGGGTAGACTGTTTGAGAAGAGGAAGGAGCTCTCGGTATCCCTGTCCAGCTTCCTTTTCTTTGATGTAGCGCGACCAGAACAGGTTCGAGAGCTTCACAAGTGCCATGCCCAGGCTTTCTGTTGTCGCTGTGTCCTGCTCATCAGGAGAGTGAATAGTTGAGAGCAGGCGATGGCAGTCACCAAGGATGGGGAGCATGTCTTCCCAGGGCGGTCTTTGGGACATGATAGATAGTTTCCCAACTGCGACTGCCGAGTCAACAGCGGCAAGAATGATGCTCCTGGCAATGGCAACGCGATTGTTGAACATTTCAATTTCCTTTCCGTCGCTGTCTTCGGTAGGTTGGCGACCGACGTAGCGTCTGAGGAACCTGAGGAATGCCTGCAGGTATTCCCTGATTTGGCTGGCAGCTTCATCTTTTTCTTTTTCGCTGCTGAGAATTTTGGAAATAGCTTCTCCAAACCAGGCAAGGGCCAGTTTCTTCAATCTCGCAGCTTCAACGAGAAGCTCATCCAAGTCATTCGCACTGCCTCTTAATTGCAACCCTAGTGATCCTGTTGCCTCAGAGATGGACTCCAAAGCTCCAGCCAAGATCTTTTTCGATGTCTTCAACGCCTGGAATTGGACGGACGCAATCTTACATCTAACCGTAGCTAGCGAAAGACTCTGTGTTTTCGAGAGGGGGCTGATGGCTTGTGTGAACAGTTTCATGGACTCGTCGAAGCAGCCCGCATCGAAAGCAAGCTGCCCTAAGAGATTCATGAGCTTAGCAGCTTGGGTGGCGTTTTGCGTTTCTGATGATTTCTTTTTGATTTCGGCAATGGACGTTTGTAGGCGTGTGACAGTCTTATAGATGACGGCGAACTCGGCCTTCTCAATTCCCTTGCTTCGATGGGAAAAGCTGCCGAAGTAACGAAGAAGAGGATCGAAAACTTCTTTGCTCTCATCACAAGTGTGACCTGATAACTTCCAGCTCAAAATTTTAATCTCGAGAGAAAGCAGTTGCAGTGTTAATGAAATGGCTGGTTTTAGATTATTCGAAGTCTCGTCTTTTGATAGCGATGCCCCTGAACAAAGGGAGAGAACAGTGTTAGATAATAGCTGAAGCTGAAGCGCAGCTTTGTCGGTTGATAGCTGCCCTGTCTTCAAAGCAGCCAGAATCACCTGAGCAGGGCTGCTAGAGTCGGATAACTGCAAAGCAGGACAGAGTTTCTGAATAGTAGAGGCACGTCGATCCGAAGCAAACAGTCGCATAACATTCGAGTGGAAAGGAACAATCAAGCCGTAGAGTGATTTCGCATTGGCGATATGGGCGAAAGTCAATAAATCGGACATCCGTTCCTTTCCTTCTTCGTCCGTCGAGTCCTTCGCTTCCGCGGCTTTCTTCCCAGCATTTTCACCGTCCAGATGTTGTTGAATTCTCCGCTTGAGGAATCGGAGCTCTTTGTATGCTATGTCGTTCAGACCCAGAGATATAAGCTTTCCAGCAAGAACACACAGTCCCTGCTCGAGCTGAACATTCGGGAATTCACCATTTCCAGCATCGGACTTGAGAGCACGCAATGTGGACAAAGCAAGCCTTGCACACTCCGCAGCCGAATTGATACCCACGTCGACGCCATCAGCCGATATATTCTGTCGTTTCACTGTCGAGATCTTCGAAGCCTCCGTCAAAGACTTCAAAGTCGCATTGAACACCTCCGTAGCAAGAACCAGCTTCTCCTGACACGACAAGCCAGCATCATGATCAACAAGCGATTGCAACGCAGTCTCACTCCCAGCCTTAGATTTAACCGTACGGGCAGTGCGAGTTCGACTCGTGGATGCGGGTTCGCGGGTGGATTTCGTTCGTCTCGTGGGATTTTCGGGTGCTTTGGGCGACCCGCGGAGGAGTGTTGTGAGGGACAAAACAGTAGCGTCGGAGCATGTAGTCGTAGAGCGGAGAGCCTGCTTAACAGACTCCGTCAAGGAGCTGGCCGGTAGGACGGTAACCGCCATTGTAAGGTGTGTCTCTCAGCTGCAGGACTGAGGTCATCGCGTCTGCGAGGCCTTTTGATGTGCAATCGCTATCGGGCCAAACGGGCGCGTTGTCGCAGCAACAATAGCGCCAGGCTGCTTTGGGGATAGTGGCCTTAGTGCCTTGGTGCCTGAGGCGTACAACGACTCTCGTCTTTTTCCCGCCTTCAACGCGGAGTAACGACTTGAACTACTAACGACGAACATGGCCGCATCTTTCGGATTGAGGTCCTTCCGGGCTGGACGACAGATCTTTTCTTCGCCCTCTACGTTAATTGCAACCAGGCAATCCGGCGCTCCCGCTGTGCGGTCATATTCAACCTCCGATCACCTCCCGAAGATCGCAGACACGTCAGTATGGACGGCGATGATTCCCAGATTTTTGCGGAACCGCTCGCGCAAAGATCCCACGAAGGAGAAATCTAAGGAGTGGAACCCGGCTACGTTCTACATTATTATCTTTACCCTGATCGGCTCGCAAGCCATTCGCATGATCACCTTGAAGAACAGCTATGCAGCGTATACCCGGTCGACGGATGCAAAGATTGAACTTCTGCGCGAGGTGATTGCGCGCACGAAGAATGGGGAGAAGGTTGATGTTGAGAAATTGCTTGGGACGGGCGATGAGGCGAAGGAGAGGGAGTGGGATGAGGGTATGTTGGCTGCTGTATAGCATTTCCATGCATGAATTATAGAGTGTCTGACTTTCCCTTGCTAGTCCTGCGCGAGATTGAAGCCGAGGATTCTTTATGGCATCAGAAATCTGCCGAGTCAAAGTCTGAGGAACCCAAGACCGAGAAGACCGAGAAAACGCCCAAGAGACCTGCACAGCGTACACCAGAGAAGGACTCTGAGACTACCAAAACGGAATCGACACGGAAGACCAGATTCTACTGAGGGCTTCCCATCATTGGTGTCTTTCAATGCAGCTTCCTCTGAACTTGCGGTCTATTGATGACCACAGCACATAGTGTCAACCAATATCCGACTGGTCTTTCGACTCCGACGGGACCACGTCCGCATCCTGTCTTGGGTCGTTTGACTCAACACCCGCTTATATGAGCGGGATCTATCCTTTGGATATGAATGTAACACCATCTGTACAGGGAATTTGTACTCATGTCGAATTCCGATACCCATTTGTCTACTTGCATATCCCATTCCATGTATATAGTCTCCTACTGGGATAAACAAAACCAATATTACAGCCTAACATATAAATCGGATGAATTTACAACTGTAATTGACTATGAGACACTGTAACTGTACATCACTTGGACGATGGGAACAACACAAATACAGAAGTGAAACAAGTCTAAGCTCATTTCCCCGAATCAAACGTAAGTTTGGGAACGAACCCCGGAACCGATCCATATGATATATATGATTCTGTATGATGTATAAAACCCGTCACCACAGTGAGGACCCTCTATAGCAACCCCCACCATCTTTCCAAATCTATCCGCTGTTGATACAATGCACATACAACACACACAACACACAATACACACAAGACGGTCACAGATCTCGAAAGAATCAGATAGACGGAGAAACAACGATGCAAAACCCACCCCTCTCAGCCTAACCGCACAACCCCCAAATATGAACAAGGGCGCGGTCAACGAAGAGAATCAGATCCGAAACAAAAGTGAGAAAACTCTCATGCTAAACCAAGGAAAAAGAAAAAGAAAAATGGCCGAAAGAAAGGTAAGTATCGCTATCAAAGATGAAACAAACTCAACTCAAATACAGAGATTGCCGCGTAAGGCTCTTAATGACACCGATATCCTTACTGCTTAGATCCCTTCATGAATTGGGGCCACTGCTCAGGCCGGGGAGCCTGCACCCGACCAATGTTCTGGTCCAAGTCCAGAATCAGCTTCAGGGCGTTCCGTGACCGGAGGTAAGGCAGAGGTGCCTTGGCCCCTTGGCCACCGACGCCAGGCTCGACGTGACCGGTGGGAGTGACTTCCTCACCGGAACCGGGCATGGGAAGCAACTTTTGCAGGACTTCGTAGGCGGCTAGGGTGAAACCAAATTGCGGGGAAGAACGCAGGATACGGGCGGGACCGCCCTTGAAGAAGGCTGCCAGACCTTCTTCCTTCCAGACGGTTGCGGCGCAGTGGCGGAGACCGGTGTACTTGGTGTCACCCTTGCGGGCTTCGACTTGCAGACGGGTCTTGATCACGTCGCAGGGCGTTGTCAGGTAGGCGGCGGGCATGCCGGCGATGGCACCGGCTGTCAGGAGCTGGACGACTCCGAGCTTGTTGGTGTGGGTTTCACCGAAGAAGTCGGACTTCAGGTGGGCGTATGTGGGGAAGTAGATGGCCGAGAAGGGGACTGAGGTGAAGGGTGAGATTCACGAACTGATTGAGGTGTGTGGATTGGGATATTGGCTTACCATCACGGAGGAGACAGGCACTGGCACCCTTGTACAGACCCATCAGACCCAGGTTCTTGACGATCCACAGGGCTGAGCGGCGAGGAGCACCCTCGACATTCTTTGCGATTTCACCCTGGACCTGCAGACGAATCTTGACAATCTCGAGGGGGTTGGTGAAGACCTGAAGTGAGTTAGAATCTGTCGTTTTCAGCATGGTTATGTTAACTTACAACTTGACAAGCACCAGCAGTACCACCGGCCAGAACCTCATGCATGTACTTGATGCGATGAGTATCCTTATCGGTGAAATGTCCACGAACAAGATCGTTGACAGTCAACTTGATAGCCTTCTCGGGGGCCACACCAATCAACTGAGGAATAACACCAGAGTACAGGCCGGTGAAACCCTCGTTGCGGATAACCTTCCTGGCGCAATCGATGGAGTTGTTGTACAGTCTCTCACCAGGGCGAGAAGAGCGCTGGTTCTGCATACGAGTCTTGACCAAATCAATAGGGTAAACCATGAAGGCACCAAAAGCACCAGCAATACTTCCCAAAGCGAAGTGGTGCACAGATTCCAAAATGCTATGCAGGACAGTCTTGGTCTTCTCAGCGGCTTCATGTCCAGCAGTGGAGATGGCCTGGCCAGCCACAGCCACAGGAATACGCCATGAAGCATCAATGACCTTGGCGAAGTCCTTTTGTGACAGGCGGCCGGAGGGGGCATCGAGACCGGCGAAGTGGAACAGAATATCGGCCTCCATGGGGGTGAACAGGGAGAAGCGGGTGATGCGAGCAGCCTCGTTCAGGAAGTCGGAGCGAGTGATCTTTCCGTCGGTGCTCTTCTTGGTAGCCTCGCGGACAACCATGTCGATGATGTCCATCTCACGCATGACGTTCTGGAAGGCCCGGACATTGGCGTAGGAGATGCGGTTGCTGGTCGAGATGTTGCACAGGGTAGGAAGGTTCTCCAGCACATGATCGGACAGCTTGTGTTTTGAGGTCTCGAGAATGATACGCTGGAAGTCCTCGGGCTTGATGAAACCATCGCCGTCCTTGTCAAAGGTGTGGAAGGCTTGACGGATGCGCTCACCCTGCAGACCGCGGAGCATCTGGGCGAATTGGGGGTAGGTCATGTCATGGCGGGTCTTGGAGCGGCCGCCGTACAGCGAGGCCCATTCTGAGTTCCAGTCAAAGGGGATGCTCTCGGCGCTCTTGTTCAGGTTGTACAGGCCCTGCACGGTCTCGAACTTGACGGCACCAGTGCCATCCAAGTCAAAGAGGCGGAACGCGATCTCGTACTCGGCATCGGGCTTTGCGAGGAGGTTTTCGAAGGTGGCCCAGTCGTTGACGTTCAGCTTGCCGACTCTCCGTCGGTCTGCGACGTTGAAGAGGATACCGTATTGTTCGCGCTTGATCTTGTGCTATTTTGGGAGACAATCGATCAGCAATTGCTCCAAGTTTAATTTGATCCATACTCACATAATCCTCCTGCTTGGGGGCGACGGCATTAATGAAGTTGTCCTCGTCCATGAACAGCTCGCCATTCTCGTCCTTCTGCGCATGGCGAATGAAGTTCGCACGCGCCTGGTGGGACAGCTGAGGCGCCTCATGGCTACCCAAGAGTTGTTCCTTGACGGCTTCCTTGACACTGGCCATTTTGTGTCACAATCCTGAATGAGTCCCAAAAGTCACAAAACACACAAAACTGGGGGAAGGGAGAGAGAGTGGAGAAGGGGAGGATTGAGTCAAAAGGAATGAATAATACAGGGCTCCGCCGAGAGCTGACTCCAATCTTTATTTTTTTTTTCCCCTTTAGATTTCTAATTCTTCTCAGATAGATTTAATATTCTACTTTAATCACCCGAATGTACCTTGAGCCACGCGGATCGAATTTTCACCAGGGCCTGCTATTTACCCGGGGGGAGATCGGGCTTGGGGCCGAATCACAGTTGCCGACTTCCCTCACTGGAGCACAGATCTTCGCATTACTGGCCCTACCGGACGACTTACTAAGGAACATTAAGGAACGGGTTGGCTACGCCTTAGAATGGAACACATTCTGATTGTTCGAGAATACTGGTACCCTGGCTCTGACGTTTGCCACCACTTAGGACCCGAGACCGGAGGGCGAAAAACAAACAGTCTGCTTTGAAAGAGTTCGCAGGGGGAAACCGGGATATGTCACACGTCACATGGCCTTTCGGACCGGTGAGTACGTGCGGAGAGTTGGAGACTCTCCGTTATGCAAGTCGGATTGGCTTTGTTCAGCCACCCGGTCACTCTCGGGTCTCATTCCGCTATGTCTTCTCCGCACCTCCTTATAGCTACAGTAGTAATGCACAATATATTGTCTTCTTTAGGAAGGGCAACTTTCATACAGAGTATCAAGTACACTATTTCAGCAACTTTCGCTTTGTTGTACTTCATAGCAAAAATCCCCGGTGTCGCATAAACTTACCTATTCGAGTAATCTCCATATTCCCCAGTGCACGTTCCCCCACAGCTTGCAATTGCCAAACTCAATTGCTGTTGGGGAGAGCTTCCAAGTCTTGCATAGACAGGAACCAGCACTTTAAAAATGTAAGTTGATACTTAGTTGCGGCCGAGAATGTTTTGGGGTAAGCTCTGGGGGAGTATATGGCAACTTTCACCCCTCACGTGTACATGTTGTACTCCATGTCTCGGCTGAGATCTCCCACCGACAAACTAGATTGTCCAGTCGCCTCAGGCAACCAGTCTAACCAAGAGCGTGAATGCCCTAGGGTCTGCTCTGCAAAGACATCTCGGCCAATTCGACTAGCGCGACCTAAAGGGATCGCTGGCTCAACTAAACTATGCACTTATCTGATAATCTCTTATCTATCCTATACTCACTTAAGATCAAGTATGGGGGAGATAAGCACCTCATCAGAGCCTGGTTTGCATTGAAGGTTAAGCTGGTATTTACCACAGCCTCACAACCATCCCCTCAACTATGGGTGTTGCCTGAAATGGAAGAATCAGATTGCGGAGTCATCGTCATCAATCGTTGGATTGAAACATGCTAAAGATGGTACGAGAATATAGATCTTGGTCACAGAACTCTATATTCATCGGTCACCCGCTCTACATCTTCATTATCCGATTACAACTAGGTTATACTGCCAGCTCAATATCTTCGTGGATATAGAATCGGCCTTGTTCGAAACATACAGGTGTCTATGAGACGAAGATGCAGCCATAAACATGTAGCGACTTCTGAAGATGAAATGGGGTGGTTCATAAAAGTATACACTTTTGCAAGTTGCGCTTGCTAATTTGATAGCTACTGCTCTGTACTAACATTCATGGTCAATGCATATTGAGGGTTCAACGTGCTATATATATTAATACAGAAAGGTATGTTTGCCCCCAAAACTGGAAAACCTAAATTTGCGAACACATCGATATTTGGTTAACAAGGACAGAATTCTAGCCTGTGCCATGGAAGTCGACAGATCTATTAACCTCCCCTGACCATCGTGTTTGGTTAGTGTCTAGTATTGACACCAACGGGCTGTTGACAGTGAGCCGGGTAGAGGATGTCTGCACTTGATGCTTTTTGTCTGTGTGACTCGGAAGTCGCCAAAAAAAAAAGAAAAGGGGGAAGAAAAAAGACGTACATCTAAAATGACTCGTGCTAGACTCTTCTGCCCTGCTTTCAATGTTCTTTCGCGCATTAGCGTTGGAACTATTGAACGTTCTGCCGAGTGGCGTACGGAGTACCTCAGGGCTAAGTAGGGCTTCTTGGGTCCCTGCAGACTAGTTAAAAGCCCGCCCGTGACTAGCATACCCGGACACCAAGATCGTCGGTTGTTTAACTCGTTTTAAGCTCATCAACGCAGGAACTTATCGTATCCACATCGTATCCCCCTATCGTATTCCGACCGTATAAATGTGTACTCCCTAGGTAGACCGAGGCCATTCTCAACTTCTTCACCCCCTCACCACGTGAAAAAGAAGAAGTATAGGGCTGTGCTCGAGTATTTAGATAAGGAAATTACCGCAGTTGAAGCCATCGACGCGACTCCCCCCCCCCCCCCCCCCCTATTGCAGGTTTCGCATCGTTTGGAATGTCCACCATGCTACCCTTCGCCATAGCCATAGCTGCCCTTTTTGGACCAATTGGTTCATATGCAACGGCTGCAGGCCCATCGGCTTGTTCCAACATTACTTCGCATCTGGGATCAGCCAAGGTCATCAGCAGTGAGATCAGTCTGAAGTATATCAACAGTATTGAGTACTACAATACTGTCCAAGACTCCTACAAACCATCCTGCATTGTCTACCCCAAGTCTTCTCAAGACGTCTCCGTGGCTCTCCAGGCCATCCGATCTGCGGACAGTCGCTTTGCAATCAAGGCTGGCGGCCACAACCCAAACACCTTCTATTCATCTGTCGACAATGGCGTCCTCATCGACTTGAGCAGCCTCAATGCAAAGTCATACGACCCAGAAACTACACTGGCTACATACGGACCAGGCGGTACATTTGGGGACATATATGACTACTACGTGAAATATGGCCGCACAGTAGTCGGCGCTAGACTTGCCGGCGTTGGCACTGGTCTGGCACTGGGTGGTGGTATGAGCTATCTCTCGCCCCAGTACGGAATGGCCAGCGATTCATTCCGGGAGCTGGAAATAGTTCTACCGGACGGCAAAATTGTGACGGCATCCAACACCTCCAACCCGGATCTCTTCTTCGCATCCCGAGGCGGCGGCGGGAATGCATACGGCGTCGTGACAAAGTATACAGTACAAAGTCGGCCAGCTGGCAACTTCTACGCTGGAAACGTCATCTACGCCTTCGAGCAGAAAGACACCGTTCTTGAGGCGATTCACAACTTCATCAAATACAACACCGACCCCAAAGCAAGTATCATCGGCACCTACGAGAAAATTCCCACCCCAGATCTGAACCTGAACCTCGACGAAATCACCATCATGTTCCTCGTCTACGATGGCGAGGACTCAGGCAGTGCATTCTCAAACTTTACCAGCATCCCACACCTACTCAACACCCTCAGCACCAAGACCTACCCAGAAGTAGTTAACATGCCAATCCCCTATTCCACCGAGATCTCCCGCGGCGCCAACATCTTCCGCGTTGGAGTGCACCGCGCCGACACGGACGAATACAAGACGGCAATGGACAAATGGCGCGACTGGGCCGAGTCAAACAAGAGCAAATACACCCTCCTCTCACTGGATTTCCAGCCCGTCCCCAAGAGCTTGACAGATGCCAGCAAGGCCCAGGGCGGAAATGCCATGCAGATGCCTGACGGCCCGTGGTTCTGGTTGAATTACTTGATTCAGACGCCGCCGTTGATGAGTGGGCCTGATTATGATGCTGTTCATTCTAGCTTCCGGGATATGGTTGCTTCGACTAGTAATGCTGAGGGTTTGCCGTTGTTTATTAATGATGCTAGTCATGATCAGAATCCGCTTTCGACTTTCTCCACTTATACTAAGTTGCAGGAGATTAAGAAGAAGTATGATCCTGATAACTTCTTTGCTGATCGGACTGGTGGTTGGTCTTTTGCTTAGTTCTGGTTTGTCTATATAAGAATAATGGTTCATTAATATGTTTATGCATATCTTGTTATATACTTGACTCTGTGTTATGGCTGTATAAAAATGGGGTGATCTAAGGCAGACTGTCTGGTGCAGCCATCGCTCTCTTCAAAAATAAAACCACTTCACGTTCATCTGAACCCTAAATTTGACACCTGAAAGCCGCCTCATATTTTGAAATGTCTCGCATATTTTTCTGTGCAAAATATTCTCCAACTGCAGTGCTGGGTTTCTATATCGTCAGTTGTTGAAAATCACACATCAGCGCCATGAATCTCAACCCCATGGAAGACCCCGGGGTCCCTGCACTTTGTCCAAACTGGGTCTACTCGAGCATTCTAAACTGCCAGTGAGTGTACACCCCGACCCAGAGCTGTGGGTCATCATGCTTTTTGGATACTCGACTAACTCAATTCCACCAAGGTAGTGTCGCCAGAGATCGCGAGTGGTTCAGTGACGACTACATACCCTTCTCAGCCCAGTTCAAAACCGACAATGAAGACAAAGTCCCATTCACTGGAATTGGAACTGTTATGCTGCGAACAAAGACTTCACCATATCTGATGGGACTGGCTTCCCATGGAAGGCTCCGCCTGGACAACGTCCTACACGCCCCAAATGCCCCATGCAGCGTCATTGGGAACCCTGTCATTGAGACCTATAGAGTGGGAGTCAATTTGATCCCCTCAATCATCTCTGGTCTTATCTGCGAATTGGACGGTCGCCCATGGCATACTTAAACCCTCTGAGCAATATCTTCAACCATTACGAACTCCAGCTGAGCGACCCGCCTTTTGGTCCGGCTGTTGGGCGTTCGAAGGTGTTGTGTATTCGATTCATGCCTTCTGGCCCATGGACGAACGGCTTAGATTTGAGATATTTTGCTTTCTCACATCAGATGAGGAGGCCTGGGTAGAGAAACACTACCAAAGCCAGACTCATTTCCTTGAAGCTCTTGGCTTATGCATTTGGAAGTCCGGGGATCCACAGCAAGGTCAACTGGTGCTGAGAGCTTTGATGTGTCATGACGATAACATTGTTGAACCGAAGACTTGAACCTAGGTTGATTGGCAAGAAAGGTCGAAATCAGCCGATAAGAGTTCAGTCCACATGGCTATGGTTCTGGGAAAATACAACTTGCCCAGAGCGCACATCCGTTTCGACTTTATGATATCTCCACCTCCTTTTATCCTGCTAACAACCACGCCATGAGCAGCACCTGCTATACCAGAGTGCCGTTGATACCAGTTTAACTACGGGGCTGTCTTTGACCAATGGAACACTCACACGGCAACTTCAGGTGTTCCTCTAAGTTAATCATATAGATTTTAGCTAAGTTAATGGCTTCGGCACCAGTCATTCCTATGCTCATGCACTTGGTCAGTAGTGGGTCTGGGCGCATCTGTACTATAGATTAAAGAGCATCACAACAAACCATTGAAACTCCTGCTCCTAGCCATAGTGTGAGACCACGCAACTCTTAGCTTCTATGTTAAGCATGGGAGCGGGGTTCGCTATTTTAAGCAGAGTGTTGCAGGTTCAGTAAATTTTGCCACTCAATGTGTGATACCGAAACTGTCACAATTCCGTCGCAGAAAGTACCGACTGTAATTTTTTTGCAGAGGCTTTTCTTGGAGTTTCAATTGGATTGTGTGTTTCAGTGTTCTTTAACTAAGGTTCTGTAGATTGTTCATAGTTCAACCCTGAGTGACGCTCCTAAAGCCCTGGACCCCTTGCTCTAAGTATACTGTATACTGTATACTCGAATAGCCTTATCTTTCAGCTGCAAGATATGCAATAATTCACTCAATGAACCTTGCGGCTGATCCAATAATTTACCAGCGATGCTAGTCACTGTGACGATGCGGGGATGTCACGCTGCCGGGGCATCACCTCGGACTTCTGCAAAGTTCACCCAAAATCTTCACTCGATAGTCCCAATTAGGCTCACCAAAGGGACAGGGTGTGGCCCTAGTGCAGTTGGCTGCAGGGCACACCAAGCACATTGGCCTGTGCCAGAGACCCGAACGCCCATCACATTGCACTAGAGCCCGCTCCATCCCCGCGGACAATATTATTGGCTGATACACGGAAGCTTTCCAAGTATAGAAACCAATGTGTGATGAGGTGGTGATTCGTGCGTCGTGCATGGAGTGGGCGCTTACGGCCCCCATATTCCCCTCTGGACTATATAGGCGCCGAATCCTCCAGGGGCAACATTCAATTTGTGTGTTTGAGATTTTCTTTTCTATTTTCGCTTCTTCTATTTTCGTCTCTTCGACTTGGCTGGCCCAAGCGAGTTCTTCATCTACACTGCTCCTTGCACGTCAATAATCTATTACCTCTCCTTGCATTCCGAGGGACCTTTGTTGATCAAAGTCGTCCTGTGAAAACAAGGAATCCATAACGTCATCGGTCTTATACTTCCTTCAAATATCATCTTCCTTTTCAACTTTTTATCTTCAATTTTTGCGTACCCCCTCTACCGTCACAATGCTTGCAGGCGGTGTCCGCTCCATGAAGCCAAAGCTTTCCCTGAGTATCTCTGCTGCGCAGAATACTACACGGCCAACACTGTCACTCAAGTCTCCAAGTGCTATTCCTCGCACACCGGTCTCGCCTATCTCAGCAGCGAGCCCCACAGCCATGAGGTTCTCAACTCTACAAGTGCCCAGCTGTTCATACACAAACTCTTGCTCCTCGAAGAGCATTCTCAAGAAGCAGTCCAACCCCCGCTCAGGAGCTGTTGACAAGCGCATCCAATTCAAAGTCACACCTACTGTCCACTGTGTAACGCCTATTGAGAATCCGGATGAGTACTATGGCAAGCACACGAAGATGTCTCGTGAAGAACGACGATGGACGGTCCGACAGTGAAATTAGCTTGGGCTGTTGTATCACTAATGACCGTCTACGATTGGATTGATGGCGATCAGCTGGACGCCTATGAATGATCTGTTGCTGCCATGGCGCTGCGTTCCGGCGCTATGAGTCTCTGGTTGATCACGACTCCTCGCATGCTTGAGAACTCTTAACTGCATCAGTGATGGATTATGCACATTGTTCTGGTGTACATTCAGCCTAGGACTTGAGACGGTTCTCCAGACAGGCAACGCTGCCTTTCACGCGTCTCGCTTTTCCCGAGTCTTGTCAAAGCTCTCTGAGCTAGCTCAGCGTCCGATACGCCATTGCTGCACATGCTGTCGCCGGGGGAATACCATTGTATCAGTGTTTTGGAAGAAATTATGTTTTATGACGTTATGATGGGAAATGGACCGAAGATTTTGACATGAGTATTGCTGTTTTTCTTTTTAACTTAGTCATTCGTTACTATGAATATATCAGTGTCTGTCGGGCACCTCTACACCGACAGATTGAAACATGTGTATAACCTTGCCAAGGATAGGCAGTAACCTGTAGATCAATCAACCACCGCATTTGTGACAATCTTAGGGCTTCAATCGAGGGCTTCCCGGTCCGTGCGGGACCAATCTTTTTCGCCCCTGGCGCCGCTCATCAAGTCAAGCAACTCAGCAATGCTATTCCCGACTCCTTTCACGCTGCGCAGATCCGCAGTAAGCATCTCAAGGAGATGTCACAGCTACCGCCGTGGCTTGCTCACCTTAGCGATCGAAACGTCATGGTAAGCCGAGATGATCGCCGACTCCAAAAAAAGACATGAAAGCTAACAGCGCGCCAACAATAGTGACGACACGTCGGTAGCCATCGTCGAGAAAACAAAGAAAGCAGCAGGAGACGCGGCCAAGATTCACTTCTTGGAGAATATCACTGCTGACACCCGCGCGCATCGAGGCATCCATCCTATCATTGCCCTCGAATCGCATCAACAACATCTTGCACACCTTGTACAGAAAGCGATCAAATACCTACCGGAGTCAAAGACTGGTGATGGGATCAAGCTAGCAGATGGGTCGCGTCGCCGCATACCCAATTTCATATCTGCTACGAGAGGCCCTGGAATGCGGTCTAATCTATCTGTCGGTCTAGATACTGGGAAGGCATTATCTGTCGCATGGCAAGTTCCCATGGTTGGTGTGCACCATATGCAAGCACATTTATTAACGCCTCGACTTGTTTCATGCATGGAGAATGCGAATGAGATTGAGACCAGCACCGAAATACAACGTACAGCGCCAATACCAACATCAACACCAGCCATGGCGCCGGAATTCCCCTTTCTATCTATCCTTGTGTCCGGAGGCCATACGATCCTGGTCCACTCCACCGGACTCACGGAGCATAAAATCATCGCAATAAGCGAGGATATAGCTATAGGAGAGGCGCTGGACAAATCAGCACGAGACATCCTCCCCGCAGAGCTATTACAAGAATCAAAAAGCACCATGTACGGCAAAACGCTAGAGAAATTCGTTTTCCCAAACGGACAAGCCGATTTTAGCGATTACAGAGCCCCCGAAACCCGCGGCCAAGAATTACCGACTCGCCAAAACAAATGGGGGTGGTATATCACCACGCCATTCGCGAATACGCGTACTCTCCAGTTCAGCTTTTCTTCAGTGTCAAGTATGGTTGGAAAGATCATCCAGAAGAAAAAAGATAGCGAGATGTCTGCTGAAGAACGGGTTGATCTCGGCCGGGAGACTATGCGCGTTGCTTTTGAGCATCTTGCTTCGCGGACCGTCATTGCTCTTGAGATGCTGAGGCCGCGTGGGACCTCTGACAGGGATCAGGTCAAGACGCTTGTCGTCAGTGGAGGCGTTGCGGCGAATCGATTCCTAATGGGAGTTCTTCGGTCGTTTTTGGATGTGCGTGGTTTTCAGGATATTCAGGTTGTTGCGCCGCCTGTTCAATTGTGTACTGATAATGCGGCTATGATTGGGTGGGCTGGGATTGAGATGTTCGAGGCTGGATGGCGTTCTGATTTAAGTGGTCGTCCTGTCAGGAAGTGGTCTCTTGATCCGCAAGCTGAGGATGGAGGTATTCTCGGTCCTGCTGGTTGGTACCAGGTTTGATCATTGCTGTTGGATACCTGTGCATATTAGTGATACCCGTGAGAACCTCTTGTATAATAGTGCTATGTAAGATAGGCCAAAGCCACCTGCAATACAACCTCCATGTCCATACTACCCCTTGACTTCCTGGACTGTAATTGAATGTAATTTTTGCAAGAGCCACTATGCATTATTGACATGTAAGACCCGGAATTTCAGAGACGCCAATGCCATGTAACCTCCATCTCATCACCCATGAATCCTTCTCCACAGTAGGGTATCGATGATGCGCCGTTGTAACCCATGAAAATGAACCAAGCTCGCGAACCGGCCGACTGTGCAACACTAAAACTGCTAGGAAAAGAAGTCACAAACCGTCATCGTTATGTTCAGCCACCGATAGGGGGCCCGCGCTGTAGCGATGTAATCTGTTTTCGAAGCTCGACGAAGAAGTCCTTCCCGTTTGCCATCAGGTGCGCTGCACTAAGGTTATTATATATCTAATTAGGCAATACAATATGGAGACGTACGCTTGGTGCCCCAAGCTCCGCTAGCTCGGTTGGGCGCGTCTTTGGTCGTAGGCTTGTATTGGTTTGGCTTCGATTCTGTAGCAAGGGCAATGAGTTAAGTATATGCAAATACGCACGCATATCATAGCATACCTTTGGGACCTAATGTACCAGAAAGCCCTGGTTAGCTTTGTATATTCTTGAGCAAGGTCAGATGGACAACTATACCTCTCTTCAAGACGTTCTTGGCCTCCGCGGCATTGAATCCCCGTACAGGGACATGTTGCTCTTGCGGGGCGCTTGATGCGTTCCAAGCAGCATTGGCATCACGCGCGCCACCCTGTCCGCCTGTCTTATCGCGATTTCCGCCGTTGCGCTGCGAGGACTGGCGACTGGGTCCACCCCGCCATCTAGGAAGACAGGAACAGTTAGTGAAGCTGCAGGGCGCAAAGTGTTTCCGGTGGCAAATGTGTACCTATTTTCGCCGGGGCCGCTCATGGTGTATGTGTGGAAATCAGAAGTGGGAACAAAATGCAAGAACTGCAAGTAGCTTAAGGAGCTTGATATGTCAAGTTGACGCGGAGGCGTAGAGTTCCGTTGACACCTGAGGCCACCAGACGACAGCTCGGGTGTCTCCGCCTTGGCCAGATAACCAAACACTCCCCATCGCGCCTCTCAGCTCTGACCGGCCTGGCGTCATTTGCGATTCTCCGTTGATCAAGTTAGCGCATGTGAATTAGCGCAATTTATATTTCGCCGCATAGCTTGAGTTGGTCGCTCAACGCGACTTGACCCGTCCGATTGACAACCCCCCCCCGGACGACGATCCGCACCCAGTCCCTTACGCTCGTGGTGTTATGGCGCCGTCGATCCGACACTCGATTTCCGGTCGCCCATCACGTAGTCGACCAAGATCCTCGTTAAAATCATCACAAAACGGGCTCCCCGATTCGCCTGAGGGCCCTCCTATGAAGAAGCGCAGGTACATTCCCGGCGGTCCTGGAGGCGGAGGAAGGTTTATCGATGCAGACGGCACTATTGTCGCCGAAGAAGAATCAGAAACACCGAAGAAACCCAGTGCCCCGCGCCGCCACTCTGCAAGTGCTCGAGGTCGTCCAGCTCCGCGTGAGACCGAAGAACCAATGCAGGCCCCTCCTCCGCCACCTCCCCTTGTGCCGACAACACCACCCTCAATGACGCGTCCGAGGCGCGATAAGACCCAGAATCGGGGTCGCTTTACCTCTTCCACGGCTGCTGCGCTTGCTCTTCAACAAGGTGATGGCTATAAGCCACGCGAAGAACGCGGATGGGAGGAGTTCCACCCCGATTTGGATATCGATGGCAAGCTTGCAGTCTTTACCTCACAGGAAGTCGATACTCCAGATGCTACAGAATCCTCGGGCCTGGGAGGTGGCGCAAATGTGCTGGATATCCCAGTAACACCAGGCTCTTATTCAGCCGACGCATCATCTCCATTCCCGATGAAACGGAGACCTGGTCGCCCTCCGCGTCGCCCTGAGGCTATCTTGAACGCCATGTTTTCCCATCAAGGACAAAAGATCATTCCGCCACCTGGTCCTAATCCTCGAGAGAAGTTGACATTACCAAAACCGTCCTTCAGGCTGCGTGATCCCTTCACATTCTATGAGAAGAAGGGCGTGGGCCACCAGAACTATGTTGATCGTACTATGGCAGCTGTTGGCTACCAGGAGAGCGATCTGTTCCTCCGTCATGACCGTCGTTTTATTCGTATGACTGAAGGCACACAAGAAGATGACCTAGATGTCATTCAGCCAGCTATGACAGATGATGTTAACACAACGACTGGACGGGTGGAATATGACATGGACGAACAGGACGAGAAATGGTTAGAAGAATACAATGCCAAACGTCGCGAGGATCAGCTTGAACCCATCAAACCGGCTGTGTTTGAAATCACCATGACCAAGATTGAGAGGGAGTGGCACGCTCTTGAGAAGCGCATCCCGAAGCCAAACCCCAAACCACCACAGACCGGGCGGCCTCGCTCCAGCTCAGCTGCTGCCGTCAATGGCGAAACTGCTGGACCCGGCGAAGAGCAGGATAGCAAATGTGCTATTTGCGATGATGGCGATTGTGAAAACGCGAATGCCATTGTTTTCTGTGACGGTTGTGACCTCGCAGTACATCAAGAGTGTTATGGTGTTCCTTTCATTCCTGAGGGCCAGTGGCTTTGCCGCAAGTGCCAGCTACTAGGGAGAGGTGCCACGAATTGTATCTTCTGTCCAAACACCGAAGGTGCATTCAAGCAGACTACTTCATCCAAATGGGCCCATTTACTTTGTTCCTTCTGGATTCCAGAAGTCTCCATTGGTAACCCGTCTCTCATGGAGCCAGTTACCGATGTTGAAAAAGTCCCTCGCAGTCGCTGGAAGTTGAACTGCTACATCTGCAAGCAGCGAATGGGTGCTTCCATCCAGTGCAGCAACAAAAATTGCTTCGTCGCTTTCCACGTCTCATGTGCACGCAGAGCGCAGCTGTATCTCAAGATGAAAATTGGCCATGGCCTCATGGACTCTCACCTTCTCAAGGCTTTCTGTGACAAACATGTTCCGCCTGATTGGCGCCTGGAGCACGGAACTGACATGGCAACTGCCGATGCCATGGAATACTACCGCAATACAATGAGCGGCCGACGGTGGGGAGACAGTCAGGCAGCGGCACTTTCAACCGGTCCGTCGCATCCCATCATTGAGGGAGCTGAAGACGATCTCTCTCAAGCTCCTCGCATTACTTTGACCATTGGTGGCAATAAACGCAAGCGCGTACCTCGGACGATCTGGAAACTACCCTCTGGTGCTCCAGTGATTCCTCAGGTTGTTCTGAACTCAGTCGTTGCCTCCCTCCAGCGATTCACAGTCCGTCAAAGAAAACAGTATGCCGAGGATGCATCCAAGTATTGGACGCTGAAGCGTGAGGCGAGACGCGGAGCAGCATTGCTCAAAAGACTTCAGTTGCAGCTCGAGACCTTCTCTTCTATGGAGATGACACGAAGAGACTACGTTGCCATGGGTGTTCCCGGTTATAAACGCCTAGAACGTCGCATTGAATTTGGTGAACGACTTTACACAGATCTTGACCGATTACGGATGCTATGTGACGAAGTGAAAAAACGAGAGAGGGAGAAGTTGAAGGATGCAGAGATGCTACGGAACATTGTAGATCTTGTCTACTTCCCTATGTTCCCACTGCTCTGGCCGATCCTTGAGAAAGCTCAACTGTAAGTCACTCTTTTGGGATGTTGGCGTAATTTTACTGACTTCAAACCAGACTTGATGGAAAGGGTGTCTTTGCTGCTGGCTTGATGTCAATACGACAGAGATTGAACGAGCGTTTCTACCCATCTGTTGCTACTTTCTCTGCCGACCTGGCAAGCCTTTTCACATCAGAAATCGGAGTGGAGCCTGCTGGCGACACTGCTGAACTGCAAGCACAAATCAGTGGTCGTGCCCCAGAACTCAGCTTGGAGCAACGTGAGAAGAGAAAATTGGCCAAGCGTATTATCAAGGTTATTCAGCCATCCCTGGAAGACGCAATCAAGAAAGAAAGCGAATTGAACCGAAAACCCTTCGAGAAAGAATTGAAAGAACTGGATGTGATCCTTGATCACAGTGTTATGTCTCGCGATTCCCCCGAGCCGGAGGGTGATACTGAGCTGTCTGCCCACCCTGATGCCATGGAGGGTGTCGAAGAAACCACAGAAGCTCCATCTGAGGCCCAACCTGCTCCAGACCAACAAGCCCCCGATGAGCCTGGCGCAGAAGGGGCACCTGCAGAAGACCCTATGAACAATATCTATGCCTATCATCGACACCCAACGCCTATCCTGACCGAGCAGGACCAACAGTTGCCACTGGCTCAAGGTGGCATCCAGTGGTACATGCAACCATTCGATCCTGTTGGTACCACCGTCCACGAAGAACGATGGACAGGACGGGATGTCATGCGCGGTATGAGCGAGGAGCTCAGTGAATTGGACGAGGACGAACTTGAAGGATTGAAGGACTTGGTGGATGATGAAGAGCTTGGAGGCTCAGGCACTGCCAACACCAATGGCGCTCCAGCTGCTTCCCAAAAGAATAACCGTCGGACTCGACGTTTGCGCGGCTCGAAATAATTTCTTACCCATGAGCGCGAGGCGTACGGTGTCCAGGATTTTAATATTTAGCGAGACGTTGTATTTGTATTTCCACAGTTTTAGCTACAGCTAATAAGACCATGGCGATGGAGTCTTGGCGCATTTCAGCTGTTTGTTTTAGCGTGAAGCCCCCTGCTTAGACTAAGGCCATTTTCCAATTCTCCCAATTTCCCTTTTTTTCTTCTCTTTATCGAAAGTCTTTGCCGATAATTCGTAAACTTTGGTGAGGCGCCTGTTCTGCCTGAATTCTCGGGTGTTAATCGTTCGATTTTCCGGGCTCTTATCGTTCAACCTCACTTGCTTTCTTCCTCCTTCCATCTCACACCTTTCGGTCTTTCACTCATCATGGCTGACTACGAGAATGACAACGGCCGTTACGCCGGTAAGTACTTTAGTTTGATGCTATACAGATGATTGCTCATTATGGGATAGACGAGCCCCGATACGACCGCGACCGCAGCGCTTCTCCTCGCGATGAGCCTCGAGCCGACCGCGACCGCGCTCGCAGCCGTTCCCCCAACGGCCGCTCCGACGACAGGTACGTTATATCTGAACAAGATATGTTCTTCTTCTCTAATACATTCCATGCAGAGCTCCTATTTCCCGCAAGCCCGTTGAGGAAGAGGATGAGGGCGCCATCAACTCCGGCTCCAACCTTTTCGTCACTGGCATTCACCCCCGTCTGACCGAGTCCGACATTTCGCGTCTCTTCGAGAAGTACGGTGATGTTGACAACTGCTCGATCATGCTGGATCCCCACACCAAGGAGTCTCGCGGATTCGGTTTCGTCAACATGGTTACCGCGGAGCAGGCAGATGCCGCCAAGGAAGGTCTGCAGGGCGAGGTCATCGAGGGTCGCACCTTGAGCATCGAGAAGGCTCGTCGCGCCCGTCCTCGCACTCCTACTCCCGGAAAGTACTTCGGACCTCCCAAGCGTGGTAAGTTTATTCCTGTCCCACTCCATTCCTTTTTCCTATGCCGAAACTTACACACTTTCTTTGTTAGAGGGTGGTGGTCCTGGTGGTGGCCGTGGAGGTGGTCCCCGCCGTGACCGTTACGATGACCGCCGTGGACCCTACGGTGGTGGTGGCTGGCGCCGTCGCGACGACGACTACTCCCGCTACGGTCGCTATGACTCTTACAACGACCGCCGTGAATATGGCCGCAGCGACTACGGCCGCGATTACCCCCGCCGTGACTACGGTGGCGGCGGTGGCGGTCGCGACTATGGTGGTCGCCGTGAGTCTCGCGATGATTACGGTTACCGTGGAGGTGCTGATCGCTACGGAGGTGGCCGTGAGGATCGTTACAGCCGCGATGACCGTCGTGGCGGTGGTGATGAGCCCCGTGGTGGAGGAGGAGGAGGAGGTGGTGGTGGTGGTGGCTACTACGACCGTGATGCTAACCCTCCTTCTTTCGATGCTGCTGGCCCTCCTCGTGAGGCTCGCGACCCTTACGCCGGTGGTGGTGGCAGCCGTTCCTACGAAGGTCAGGCACGCAGCGGTGGCGGCGAGGACCGCTACGCTGGCAGGTAAAGTATCTTTCCTAGTTTCTTAACCAGGAGACCGGCCCATGAAATGTCTCGCTGGGGTTCATGTTTCTTTGCCCATTTCTCTCCCCAAATTTTCTCTTTTTTGTTCTGAAATTGCTTTTAATGCGGGATTTGGGCGACGGGTCACGGGGCGTCGTCTTGTTTTGTCAATTGCTTTTTCGCCTCTCGTCTCAGCAAAACGGACCATCGGCCTCTTACTGCGACCGACTCGTCAATACTTCATCGGCTAGTCACACTTCGGTCGCTTGATGATGTGTCTCTTTATGTCTGTTCGCGACGCGACTTCGGGAATTCTTCTAGCGGCAAAAAGGGAACAAAACAATTATCGCTGTAATTCGGATTTCTCATGGCTCAGCATTTTCGTCACTCACACCTTCACCTCTTCACCTTCAACATCTCCAGTAACCGGCTCGATTGTATTCGACTCTCTAAACAACTTTGAATGAACAACCATTCGCCCAATTTCGCCAAAGCCGTCGACTTTGCACTTGTAGTACCAGCCCTTTACCTGCAGGCGTTAAACCTTTGGATGTTCTATCAGCTTGGAATTTGGTCAAGCTGAAGGTGAGATTTGTGCAAGCTAACGTGCAGATTTATATTTTTCTACTTTGTCCTTTTTTGTTGATCCTTTTTGGTGGACTTGAATATGCTTACCTTCCACAGTTATATTATGTGTCTTATGAAGCTTTTCTACACAGGTATGACATATACTAGTCATTCAATCACTGCGCCATATGCAGTCTGATAAAGGTTGCTGGCATCAACATGAACTGATTTTTGTGTCAAAAATGGAAAGCGTCTCGTAATCTGCCATCACAGCCCTAGAGCCCGTGCATAGATGTATGTCTGTCCTGTGGACTAGACAAGCAGGGTTGTCTGATTCGTAACTTGATAGATAGGTGCCCTTGTAGGGAGTCTTGAGTCCTTGTCCCTAGCATATCTTGAGCAGTTACAGTTAGTTCACAACTAACTTCCAAAGCCATGCAAGGCAATTGTTGATATTGAAGTGGGTATCAAACAGTGAGCACCGGGACAAAGCTAAGTCATACCTCGACACATACACCCGAAGTATACGAAAGCCAAAGCAATGTCTCCAAGAGCAAAAATAAAACTATAAATCAGACAGAGAAAACATAACCAAATTCCAGAATCAAAACGTCCACGCCAGCACCATGAAAGTCAAAACGCCCAGCAACAAAAAAGCATCCTACCCTACCGTCGCGTTGACTCTACTCCGACTCCTTCTTGCCCTCACCTTCAACCTCATTACTCCTCTGCAGCAAGAATTCACCGAGAACCCGCAAAGGATCAACAGGCCTAAGAGAAACAAATATCAACACTCCATTATACAGGTGGAAAGGAACAAGGTTCACTCACTGCTCTGTCGCAACAGACTTCATCCCTTCAAGCAAATGTGGCACAATCTTCTCGTTAAGATAGACCCGTGCAGGCGCACCACCAGGCCGGACCTGCGCGCTAAATAGACCAGATGTATCTCCCATAGGGGTGTTCGATCCGTTTTGCTCGCCCATTGCAGAGATTTCTTTTGGTTGTGGTGTGGGAGTGGGATCGGAGTTGGTCGTATTGTTCGGCGGTGTTGGAGCTATTGGAGCTGTAGCTGTGGAAATTGGAGGCTGATGAGGTCAATTGGTCTTGTCTTTGGGTTTGTTTGGGTGGCTGAAGGGTGTGGTATGTTGTGATGTCTGTTTGTTGGAGGTGGAGGTGTAAATGTAGGTGGGCTTGCGGAGCGGAAGCTGTGGAGCGGAGCTCCGTTTTCTTTGCTTTCTCTCCGTGAGGGTACATGGGTTGTTCGGCTTACTTGTATATTGGACTCTTTTATATAGATGGGGGTTCTATAGCTACGTTCTGAAATGGGTTCTTGTTACTTTCACCTTTTTTTCGTGCCAGCTCGCAGGCTGATGCTTGTTGGCTAGGCTGCAAACGCGACAAACACTCTACGGTGATATCTGCACGTGATCTCGTGTTTCCAGGTTTCGCGAGACACCGTCTGTCCTCGTGTTCGACACATCGAGGGTTTTGGTCGTTTGAGACTGAGTGCTATGGAATCGAGACACCATGTCCCTATTGGACTTTTGGGAGACGCAGCGGCCTGAGAAAAGGCGGCGGACTTCTGAGAAGCTGAGTGAGAGTCACCATGCAGAGAAGGTGGAACCTGAGATCAAGCAGCCGCCTAGTCCGAGTCCTTCGGTCGATTTAAGAGATACACCTGCGCCTGCTGCTGAAGATTTGGGATATATTCCTAGCAGCCAGACGGATCTCGAGACTTCGCTTCCTGCCATCAAGACTGATGAGGATGCCATTGAGGAGTATGAGACGTCTAAAGATGATGCTGAGCCTGGGTTACATGTGAGACTACGGGATGGAGTCTGGCAGAGAGGCAAAAGTTCCATCTATGTTGATGCGTTCAATCTGGCACTGGGGACTGTGCTGGATGAGGAATCGCATCTGTTCGATGAGGCTGAAATGGAAATCTTCAGGCACTGGCGGGAGCTATCCTATGAATCCCAATACCTGTATGTTCTCTTGTAAACCCATTTTGCTGTTCGTTAATCTCATTGCTATCTAGCTATGTGCGGCTATTCCTACGCAAGACCTCTGCATGGCATCGTATCACCCGACTGAACTATTACTCCGACATCTCGGATTTATTCTCAGTCGCCGAAGACCTGCAAATGAAGCGAAGTCTACCCGACTTGAATCTCGAAGAGACATTCAGATTCGCCGAGAGCATAGAAGAGATAACAACGCTGGAAGAAGCGGCATCCCTTCTGCTACTCGAGGAGCTAAAAGTATTCGCAAAAGAAGCCAAGGTGCAAGGCAAAAGCAAGAAGGAGCTGCTGGCAGGCCTTCGCGAAACAAGTCAAACACAGACAGGACTCAAAGACACGAACAACAGAGATGGCCACTTCACCCAGAAAATACTGGACTACACGGGTGGATGTATCCGGCTCTCATCCGTCCCCCGTGCACTCTTCGAGCGAGTACATCTAGTCTTTTACAGATCAACCGAGTGGACGGAGAAATCCCTTACAACAATAATCCTGGCAAAAATGTCCAAGAGAAACTTCCCCGAGTACATCGTCTGCCGCTCAAACTCGATATTCGCATCTAGAGAAGCACTACTAGAATTCGAAGCCGCCATTCAAACCCAATTTGCGATAGACAACATCCTTGAATTCAACGGACCACCTACAACCGAATCCTTACAGCACATCATCGACCTAGCAAATAAGTATCACCCCCGATGGAAAGAATTAGTCAACCAAGAACAACAAAAAGAAGACAGCATCTATGAAAGCGGCGAAGGCGCCTATCTACGCCGATTCTCGCCAGCATGGGTATTCACACGAATAATCCACAAAAGCCTACACCCGCTCGGCCGATTCAAGGAACATAAACGCGAGCACGAAGTCCTTGAAGAACTCCTCGCTCAACGACTCTTCCATGCTGCACGGCGGGGCGCATGGTATCAGCGTAAAGCTTTGCTGGAAGAACATTACATGGCTGCTCTGACGCCGACCCAGGATCGCAGTGAGGAGAATCAGCGGAAGCATTGGAAGAGGATTGCGTTGAAGACGTGTGAGACGGGGTTGGAAGACCCATTATGTCATTTGATCTTTCATTATGATTTGCAGAAGCGGATTACGAAGCTTGAGAAGGCTCTGAGGGTTGTTAAGCGTGAGCAGCATGATTTCGGTCATGTCATGCTTGGGAAACCGGCTGAGCGGGTTGTTGAGGGGATCCGGATTGATAGTGATGATGGGCCGAAGAAGGGGAAGGCGACTGTTTGGGTTGATGAGAGGGAAGGGGGCGAGTGTCGCGTTGAGACTATGTGTTTGAGTTGGTACCGCGACCATGGCTGGAAGGGGTATCACTCTGAGGGTGGTATTGTTCGGACTTTGGTCAGTCTTTGAGAATGAGAACCTGAAGGAAGACTCTAGGGTCTGTCAGCTAACTCCAAAACTGCAGTTTGGTTACCTCTTCTACGATATCCTGTTTACATATGTGCCCAACGTCTTCCAGACGGCGTTTCAGACATGTCCGCTGGATCTACACACGGATGTCTTTTATCCATCTCGTGCATCTGAAATCAATCATCGACTTGTTGAAATTACTAATGGTGACGCAGAGCGTATCATTCGTGAGATCCATGCTCGGGAGGGAGAAGCGCAACCCTGTGCTGTTGGTCTTGATTGGTCCTTCGATCTGGAGGACTTGGTTGAGATCGTGCAATGTTTCCGCGGGGAAGCTCTTGCTACCATTTGCAAGGTGATGGCGCAGGAGTATCAGCAGCGTGGCGGGGGGATCCCAGACTTGTTCCTTTGGAATCATGAGACGCGGACAGTGCTGTTTTCCGAGGTCAAGTCGGAGAATGACCGGCTGAGTGATACTCAACGCCTTTGGATTCATATCCTGCTGTCTGCAGGTGTTAAGGTTGAGCTTTGTAATGCTGTTGCTAGGGAAGTTAGAACGGAGTGAATGGTCATCTTTGTTGATTGCTGAGGGCGCAATGTCGAAAAATATACATAAAAGGCGCGATGGTCAACAACAATAACTATACAAAAACATGACCGAGTTCCTCAGAAAATCTGATATGAAGTCAGTACCTGTACTCACTTGGATGCATTGAAGATGGGGAGGGCAGATAGACGCCCGGTGAACCTTTTCTTAAATATTGGTACCCGATACTTCATTGGGTAGACCTAGATAACATGTCTTACCCGTTCCGTTGACCATGGGAGTCATTTTGGAATAATTTGACCAACTGGTGACAAGAGAACAATTTAATTTAATTGCAGGATTACAGTCATTACACTACTGGGCAGCTGCTCTGTAGGCAAGAGTGGTTTAAACAGGAAGTCAAGATTTTGAGCCTCATCACGAGGCTTCCCCAGTGGTCTACTCGTCCATTTTCTACTAGAAATCATCGCTGAACTAATCCTTGAAGTGATGCTTGAAGTGATACTGACACTGATGCTTAATATCAGTCTGCAGCATTTTTAACATTCCCTTCTTTGGCTCTTTTTTGGGCTCTTTTCTTGATGGATTTCTAAATACTTTACTAATAATTAGACTGGAAAGTCATGTCGTTTGTCCTGGGGCTTAAAAGGTAATCAGGAGTGTACCTGTTGAATAGCAAACTCAGACTCTTTCAAGTGCCCAAGGACTAGAGAGGTGCCAGGTTTTGAAGGCAATGTCGACAACGGGATGTAAGAGAAGGTCAGGTGTCATGCCCGGGGGATTGAATTTGGCAGAAATGTTACTTACTATAGAATAGTGTCAACTGGGAGAAGGATAATCCCAGAAAGGCGCCCTAGAAGACGTTTGAGAAGATGCATGGAACCACGGTGAATAGTGATTTGTATCAAGATTTATCAACTAGGCCCCATCGTGAACAGACAAAGAAGGAAGCAAAGTAGGAAGCAAAGTAGGAAGCAAAGTAGGAAGCAAAGTAGGAAGCAAAGTAGGAAACAAAGTAGGAAACACACAAAGATCATCACAGGGGTGAGAGCGAGGCATGTGATAATTATCTGGCACCGAGACATGTTCGTGAGAACTGCCTTGTGACCGATGACCATCTTTCCGCCCTTGAAGCTGAATGTCAAGTAGTAAATGGGCTGTCGAATCAACTCAAACGGGCTATTCCCAATCCTAGGAAATATGCCAAAGGGGGGTAACCCCCAAATGGAAGCTCTACAGAGCGTGTCAAAGTAGGGAGTAGACAGATTGAGGTTGAAAGCCGAGTGACCAACCTTCTTTTGAGCTTCAGTAAGGCCTGTTGTTGACATGCGAGCTTTGCAGCATTCACATTCATCCGTACAGTGCCCAACCCCAAGCTTGCGTCCCTCGGGGATCTTGCGAGTGATGCAACACCCGCAGCTGAAACCACAGCACCCGCCTCGTGCAGCACAGCAATCAACAATGGTACGATGCAGGTACCATTTGGAGTGGGACCTCCATAATTCGAACGCTCTGCGTACTGCCCCAGTGCATTCATATCGATACTTCCGCCATTCGCGTTCCAGAAGCCAATATTTCTTGCTCAAATCTTGGAGCTCAGTCTGAATTGTTTCTTTTCGTGTTTGACTTCTATTGTCCTCTGTCTTGGACTCTTTTTGTGAAGACATCCAGTTTTCCACAGACAGCTCTCTTTGAACTACCTCTCGGAGTGCTAATTCGGTTTGGAGAAGCGGGCGTAGAGGTAGTTCCATCCACTGAGGCGAGATACTCCATCGATGCTTCTGGACCTCAGTGTATGAACCCTGTCGTTCCAATTGGCTCTCGCACACTCTACGGTCGGTAGATACCATGATCGCGGCAAGTCAAAACTTCGAGGCTTAGGTTGTTATTGCAAGGTACCTGGTACAACACCGTGTGAGTCTCTTGATACAGGCATGTAGTAGGATGTGACAAGACTTACTGACTCAAGTCTGTGTTATCGTTGTATTTCTCTCAAATGTTTGAAAGTGGTGGGATGAGACGGGAGAATTGGAATCATCTTTCCAGAGTTGATATGACAACGGCTCATGCTGATGCAATCTCCTGTCCATGGATGAGAGTGAACTTCAAGAGATAATGAGTTAAGTTTGCAAGCCCGTATAAAGATGTTGGCGGCGACCTTAGGCCCCAGTGTATGTTTCATTAGAATACCCAGCGTTTTGTCAATATTGAAGGAAACGGCGATGAAGTTTGCTTGAAACTTCCAAGTCAGCCAAGCCCTAAAAAGGACCAAAGCCACCCAAGGAGTGCTAAGAGAATGCAGACTGACTGTAATTTGTTGCCCAGTGCATCTAAGTACTGGTTCTAGATGCGAATAGATCTAATGTCTATGCTCATACGGAATAATCTACATCTACTCAAAAATCTAGAACTTCATGAACGGGGTATCAAATGGTAATCGTAATCCTTTTTTGTATCTAATAGAAGATAAACCCCCAGATACGACCATTACGACGTTCCGATGGGTTCCCTCCGTCAACCACACATCCTCCCAAAATTCGCTTATGCGACAAGGGTGGAAGCGGTAGCGCTCTCGTAGCGCCAGGTGGGGGGCAGGACACCGACGGTCTTGTAGTAACGGGACAGACGGTGAATGCGGGACTCGATCAGAATGAGGCGGAACTTGGAGTCCTTGTCCTTGCGGTTGCGCTCGAGGTGCTTGCGGACAGCGACGGCCTAGAGAGTAAGCAGTTAGCCTGTTATGCGTGGAATCAGACGAAAAGATGGGAGAGAAAAAGTTTTTACCTTCTTGATCAGGAAGTAAAGGTCCTCGGGGAGTTCGGGAGCGAGGCCTGTATTCCAATCTCTCTGTCAGTCAAGATATTCTAAACCAAGCAGAGGCTTAATTGCTGGTGCATTTCTGCGACCAGTGTCAGGGAGAGAGTCGAGCATTGCGGTTCGAAAGTGGTATTTCATGGAATCACCCATAAAGTCTTCTTCACACACAAATATTCGCTCTCTTCACCCGACGGATGTGATTATGCGGGCGGAGGGAGTCGTACCGCTGGACTTCAAGATACGGAGGATCTTGTTACCTGTCGCGAAATGTTAGCGAACCCGATTCCTTTACTCGAACTTTTTCCAGAACTCCATACCAGTAACAATCTTGACCTGGGCGACACCGTGGGAGTCACGGAGGACAACACCGATCTGGGAGGGGGTGGCACCCTTCTTGGCCAGCTTGCAGATGTGGTCAACAACCTGGTCGGGGGTGGTCTTGAGCCACGCGGGAGCGGTGCGGGAGTAGGGGATGGCGGAGGAGGCAATGCCCTTGCCCTTGCTGTGAAGACGACCCATTTTGGTTGGTGATGTGTCCGGCGGAGGAAATCTGGTCGGTTGTCGGCGTGGATGAAGAGATCGAAATCCGAGGAGAAGGTGTGGACGGGAAGACGGCCTGTGTGGGGTCACGTGTCTCGCTTATTTTCTTCTGCGGGAAAACTTCATCTCTTCGCTCTTCCGCTTTTCTTGCAACTTCAACTCTCAGCAATTCTGTTTTAGCGTTCGAGTTGACTGGAATTGATGATTTCCATGTCAACTCGAGCAATAATTCACTATTTTCACGTCGACCAACCTCCCGTTCGCCCATCATCGCCAATATCAGGTCAGTTTCCACTTTTTTTCCCCCTCAGCCAACCCAATTTTTTCATGATGATACAACGCATTTGTTATACTATTTTTTCTGGTACCTCTTATGTCAGAGATGGTGTTTTCGGATGCCATCTCGATGATCTAACTGGACTTCTGATCAAACTCTTTCCACAACACTTTTGTCATTGAGTTGTTTGACCGTTGTACTAACTACGGTTATAGGCGCTGATCGATTAGCTTTAATAAATGAAGAAACCTTTTATCTTGATCGAATCATTTTTCTATTGTACAAACATCCCTGAAACCAGGCATGATGTATAACTTCATCACTTTGTAGTCTGCAAATAATAGTCTACAGATATGTCCATGTGACAAAGCTGAATCCAACAGGTTTGGTCACTGGCAAGCTCAGCGCCGTAAACGTTTGGAAATTCTCCGAGTGTCTGTCGTATGAGCAGCATGGACTATGCCGTCTGATTCCTTGCGCTTCTTGCCCTTGGGTGTCTTGACAGCTTCATCTATATCCTCGACCTTGACCTCAACGTCCACAATTTCTTCCTTTGGCTCTTTCACAGCGAGGGCAGTCAAGACATCGGTCTCGATCTTCACCTCAGACTTGGTCTCTTCCAGCTTAATGTCGACCTTCTTTGTAGCGGCAAGTTTGTCTGCAAATGTCCGCAAGTCCGCTGTGAAGAGCACACTGTGAGCCCATCCGGCCTCTTTGCCCCAGAGCTTGCGGAAGTGGTTTGCAACAGCGTCGTAAGTAGTCTTGTTCAAGGTCTTGCTGGAGCTTTTGCCAAAACGGTAGTCTCGCTGAGCGATTTGCCACACTGTCGCAATCAGAAAGAAATCAAACTGTGAATTGAGACCACTTACCATGAGTATCAACCGGCACCGACTCCCCCCAGCCTAGACCCATCAGACTTACACAGTCTGCCACTTTAGGTCCCACTCCCTTGAGCTCTAGGAGCTTCTCATGTGCCTCTCGATATCCATCTCGACCTTCTGGTTTCATTTCGCTGCTGGGTTGGGCTTCCACGCCGAATGCCGGACACTCGGGGTTGCTAAGACCATCCAGCCAACCCTTATCCCGCATCTCAGCTATTGTCTGAGCAGTTTCATGGATGTATTTAGCCCGATACCCAAATCCTAACTTGCGGAGCTCGCTTTCCGTATTTGGACCGGTCAACCGCTCGGGCTTTGGGAAGTCGTAATACGTGCGGCCGTCAACTTCTGCCACGCTTTGTCCGTATATCGTGCATAGCTTTTCAACCATCTGGGATATGCGAGCAATATTATTGTTGCTGCTGCAAATGAATGAGACCAATGCCTCCCAAGCATCCTGGCGCAAGATTCGGATGCCGGTAAACTGCGAGGCCTTCTTCTTGAAATTTGGGTCGCTCAGTGACCATTGGGAGTATAGGCCAGTTAAACTAGGCGTCAGGTTGAAATAATGGTTGATAATGCGGACAAGCGGATCTTCGCCGTCTTTATGGGGGGTTTGCAAAGCGGGATGGGTGTGAGAATCGGGAGGGGAGGTTGAGCGATAGTACAGACATTCAGAGTCCTGTTTTAGGGAGAGGAAGCGGCCATAGAGAACACATCGCCATTCGTTATTGTCGGGGAGATGTTGCCATCTAACAGGGTTAGTCGGGGTTTGGCAGCAAATTGGTTACGACAAACCTAAATGACTGGCCGCATCTTAAAGTTGTATTGATACAAAGCTCCCCCAAGCTCAAAGGAAGCTTGCGCCATTCGGATAAACTTGTTGAATGCATCTTTGCGACTCGAAAGAGACCCTTTAGATTCGTCGATCTCGAAGGGGTTGTTTCTGCCCGTCGAGCTTGCGGGCGGTGAATCCCCGACCGCCTGCAGCTCCGGGACAGTGAGTTTTCCCCTTCGCAATCGACAGAGCTCCAATTCCGTAACACAGCTCAACATGAACGGCGATACCTATTCTTCCAGGGGTAAGATATAATGATTTTTCTTTATTTAAACAATCTTCTAACATACTTTTTATAGACTCTGGACGCTCTCGCGATTATTATGTAAGTGCTAACAAGTCATTGATCGCAACCCCGGCGATTAACTCAATTCTAGCGCGACGAGCGACGAGACCGAGACCGAGGTGACCGTGCCGAACGGGGTGACCGTGCCGAACGAGGAGACCGTGCCGAACGAGGAGACCGTGCTGATCGCGGCGAAAGAAGACGCTCACGATCGCCTCACCACGGCTCCCGTGGTGATTCCCGCCGCGAGCGCGAGCCTAACTCCTACTCATCCAGCCGCGACTACCGTGCCCGTGAACGTGAAGACCGCTACTCCGGTCGACGTGATGACAGAGATTGGGACCGTGGTGACCGTGCTGAGCGTGGCGAACGGGGCGAACGCGGCGAACGTGGAGGTGACCGGGGCGATCGCCGGCGCCGGGACTTTGACGACAGACCCCGTCGGGACTTGTTTGATGACCGACGAGGTGGTGGCCGAGGTGGAGACCGTGGAGATCGAGGAGACCGTGGAGACCGTGAGAGAAGAGAGCGAAAGAGAAGCGCCACACCTCCGCGGCGCAAGGAGCCTACTCCCGACCTGACAGATGTGCCTTCTGTGCTGGTCCGGCAACGTCGTTTGACTCAATGGGACATCAAGCCTCCTGGATATGAGAATGTCACGGCCGAGCAAGCAAAGATCTCAGGTATATCCCCAGCAATATCTTCCCATGTGTTTGACTAACAGCCGTAGGAATGTTCCCTCTTCCCGGAGCTCCTCGCCAGCAGCCTATGGACCCCAGCCGCATGAAGGACTTCCTGAACCCTCCCACTGGCGAGAGTGAAAACGCTGCCCTCAAGCCTTCCAACTCCCGCCAATCTAAGCGTCTCTTCGTGTACAATCTCCCTCCCAGTGCCTCGGGCGAAAGCATCATTTCCTTTTTCAATCTTCAGCTCAACGGTCTCAATGTGATCTCAAATGTCGATCCTTGCATCTCAGCTCAAGTCTCCGAGGACAGGGCATTTGCTCTCTTGGAGTTCAAGGATCCCAATGATGCCACAGTTGCATTGGCTTTCGATGGAATCACCATGGCAGACAGCGGCGAGAAGGGTCTTGATGTAAAGAGGCCCAAGGATTACATTGTTCCCACTGGCGCAGAACAGCCCTACCAGGAGGGTGTGCTGTTGAACGAAGTCCCCGATTCACCCAACAAAATCTGCGTTTCTAATATCCCCGTCTACATCCCCGAGGAGCCCGTCACAATGCTACTTAAGTCATTCGGCGAGCTCAAGTCATTCGTCCTGGTCAAGGATGCCTCAACCGAGGAGTCTCGGGTAAGTTCGAAGTATTCCCAGTCATGTATATCAAAACTAACCTCGCTAGGGCATTGCTTTCTGTGAATATGCCGACCCAGCTGCCACTCCCATTGCCGTGGAAGGATTGAACGGCATGGAACTAGGCGATCGCCGCCTCAAGGTCGTTCGCGCCAGCATCGGAACCACCCAAGCTTCCGGCCTGGATATGGGCGTCAACGCCATGCAGATGTTCGCCAAGACCACATCCCAAGACCTGGAGACGACCCGCGTCCTGCAACTCCTCAACATGGTCACACTCGATGAGCTCCTCAACGACGAGGACTATGAAGAAATCCGCGAAGACGTAGGCGAGGAATGCTCCAAGTTCGGAACAGTCCTCGCCCTCAAGGTCCCCCGCCGCGGCCACGGCGCCGGAAAGATCTACGTCAAGTTCGACAAGGCCGAGTCGGCCACCGCCGCCCTGAAGGCTCTGGCCGGACGGAAGTTCTCAGACCGTACGGTTGTTGCCTCTTACTTTGGCGAGGAGAACTTTGATACCGAGGCCTGGTAATCTGGGACCGTTGTGCTTTTTCTAAATGTGATTTCCTTTGATGCAGGCGTGTTTTCTTTTTCTCGGGGCCAGTCGCTTTAGGAGCAGGGTGGATCTCGTATGTGTACCATATCAAAAATGCTCACATCATACTCGGGTCAATGAATGGTTGCTCTTCTGAGTTACCTATTGAACATGACTATATTCACATTGTAGTTTAACTTAGTTTCCTAGATCTTATCATTGTAGCAAGTAGCAAGGCAGAATTTAGATGTTAGAAGCGTAGGTCTCTATTATATAATTGTACTGGGGTGATAACCTGTCAAGCTTAACGTCATAGGTTTCACACTAAGAATGACTCCAAAGCTCAGTTTCGCAGGGCTGCATGCGCTCTCAGAATGGCAATCCCTCCCGTTAGGTTGGTTAGCGTCGGCGCGACTTACCCGCATCCGCCAGCCCTAATTCCCCAAGTTGAGAAAGTTTGAGCTACTCACATCAACATCTACCCCCCATTCACCCTTCTGTAAAATGACATAGCTGTAATCCTCCGATGTGAAGTCTACTCTGCAGTATAATCATCCACCACGCGGGCATAATCATCCACCACGCGGGCATAATCATCCACCACGCGGGCATAATCATCCACCACGCGGGCATAATCATCCACCACGCGGGGGAAAATGAAGAAGACAATATCACTCTACAGTAACCAAACAATTCACACTCTACACGCGTACAGCCACAACACTTCATATAAAGCAATATTATACAGTATATTGTTAAGTCATACCTCATAAATCACAACAAATCCGCTCATTCACAATCCGACCTCCATCTCCATCCCATCCCCCTCCCACCCCCAAGCCAACCCCAGCTGCTCCCTCATACTAGACGTACGATACCCATAATCATCCTCAAGCATAACAAGAACCCCAAGCAGCGCAACCTGCTCCTCTTTCTTTGAAAAGCGATCTCCACACATCCCAATAGCAACACTAGCAGTGACAAGGCCGGGCGGACTATGTAAATTAGACAAGGCAATTCCACAAAGCCTAAGCACAATCGCGCGGATCTCTTCATCAACTGATCTCATTGCTGTGCGCTGGCCTAGCCCTAGCCGTGGCAGGCGTGGGTTGTATACCGCTAGTAGGATCTGCGCTAGTTCTAGATGTTGGAGCCCGGCGACGTGGCAGTTATTCAGATACCAGAGTTCTGGGAAGATTTTGCCGGTTGCTGGGTCTGCAGCGCGGGTGTAGATTGGTTCGAAGGATTGGGGGCCGAGGGTTTTCCAGAGGGTTGAAAATGCTACTAGGGTGTCGTAGTGGGCGAGGCGGGTTTCTGTTTCTGTTGTTGAGGGACTGCGGTGGCTGGGGGTATTGTTGAAGGGTGGGTGGTAGTGGAAGGAGGTTGGGGAGTTGGGTTCTACTTCTTCGGAGCCGAAGCAGAACTGGAGGACGTCTGCGCAGTGGATTACTAGTCTGTCGGCCCAGACGTAGTCGTCTGCTGGTTCGAAGCTGCGGTATGGATCGCAGGGTCCGAGGGGGAGGCGGAAGGGCCGTTGTTTCGAGAAACAGGTGATTATTTCTTGTCGGAGGGCTATCCAGTAGGCGGCATGGCGGAGGCCTGTTCCTGATACTGCTGGGATTGCTTGGGCGTCGAGGAAAATTTGGATTCCGCGGAGGGCTGATTCGGTGTCTTCGCCCATTGAGGGAACTACTAAGGTTGTGTTAGTTTTATGGGGGGATCATATGGATATGTGATTACTGACTGTCCACTTCTTCGTAGAATCGTAAGATCACTGCTGCTGCAAGGAGGTTCTCATCTTGGGCTTCCCGTGGGTGATCGGATATAGAGACGAAATGTGATATACATCGGTTGTGGTATTCAATGGCCGTGGCAGGGTTTAGTTTGGGGAGAGGTTTCCCTCCATATACCACCTGATTGCCGACGTAGTACTTTTTGATTCGGCTCAGGTGTCTGGCTGCAACTGTACAAATTGCGTTGAGTAAGGGTGGACATGTGCGTGCTCGCATTGGGACGGTACAAGCAAAATGCCTTTGCCCATCGCATATGTCGAACTATAGAGTCAGTCAACAGTTTACATATGTTTCAACCATTTCTGCTCACCCAATGCCCGAGTTGAACCGCGAAATACCGCATGAGGCATGCCTCATGCTCGTTGAAATAGATCTGCGGTATGTCCGCGGGGATATGATCTATTGAGTTGATCGATGCATGACTATGATGACTGCTGTGGGACACATGTGGGGATTTCGATGAGAGAGAAGAGTTATTCGCCGGCGAATGTTGTAGATTGTATGGCGAGTAAGTCGTAAGGGTATCATCCTTCGGTTGAGGAATGAAATGCTCAGACGAATGAGATTCCACTGCGACACTCAAAATAGATGATTCTGCGATGGGAGGCTCAGGCTCTGTTACAACTGTATGTAGCTGCTCAGTTGCAGAGAACTGACTTCGGTGTCTCTTGACTGTCCAAGGCGGCACTTCACCTAAGTCGAGATAGCCCCGTGCGATCTCAGCCGTTTCATCGACATACTTGTCATCGACTTTTTTCATCAGCAATGTAATTACAGTGATAGTAGATCATGAAGCAGGGTATCGTCCACGACCATGTTCACAACAGCAGATCACAACGCACCTTGAGCAATCGGCACCCAGACCTGATCATCGGCAAAGTCGGCATCATATCGGGCACTAGAGCCATGGCGAAAGCCGGACGGGATAGCCAGCCAGACGCACGACGAACCTGAACGCTCACAACGCCGACATACCGGCTTCGTACCGTCACCTGTACCATGCCGAGTGGTCAATAAGAGTTTCGGAATTGAACCCGACACACATCGTTCGTGTACGGTGACAGTGATCGGAGACTTACACTTGACATGACGGTCTGTGAAGAGTGATTAGTCAATATTCAGATGCATGTCAAGGGCAGGGACTTACGACGGCATTCCTGGCTGTTCGGGCGCAATGTTAGTGATTGGCCAAGGTGTGGATATTCAGTTCAAGGGTCCTCACCAGGGCACTGCCTTACGCATCATATAATTTCTGAATGAAGTTGGAATGGGAGCAGAGAGATGTTGACAGGTCAAGGCAATTTTCGGCGCCACCAACCCCGGACCCTCGAGCGCGGGGAATCCGGGGTTGCTTCGTCTACGCTTCAGCCTTTCACACTTTTCTGCTGTGACATTTCGATCAAGTTCTTCTAATTTGATAGTTGATTCGGCTGAGGTATAGCCATCTTGTCCTCTCAACCAGATTAGGTCATGATTTCTTGACGCTCGAGACGTCAACAACTATGACCCTACCCTAATCTTGACAGCATCGAGGACAGAATAGTCATTTCGTGCTTATTGATTTCTTGAACTTTTTCTGAACATGTGGTCGCATTGTTCTCGTCTACGGCCGAGTCGTTTCGAGCCGAGAGAATCGAATCGAGGATCTGAAGGCTCTATGTCGGGAAGGCTCACTTTTCCAAAAGAGATCTTGGCTATGTGCTAATTGTTATTGTTCTCCTAAAGTGTCGTCAAACAGGGCTGCCGCGTAAGATACAGTCGGCCATTGAAGATGGAGCAGCAGGTCTAGGCAAATCGAGCAGCGAGCAAGTATATAGATATACATATGGACACGAATGTTTGCACTTAAGACTCGGATTTCATAGCAGACTAAATCAGACCCAACATTGAAGAAGAGACCGATGCAAAGAAACCCGAATTCTAGGTCCTTCCTTGGCACATGCAGAAGAGGATAGTAACCTGATCAGGCAACCCTCGCCTATTGGTCCAGGATAAGCCACTTAAGCCCAAATACCCCAGGATTTGTCCACAAAAAGGCAAATGAAGTTGCTCCAAAAGGCAAAGGCCGTAAATGCGGGGGAAATGTGGAGCAAAGACCGAAGTAAGCGTCGCCGAAGAACTACCAATTCCGGCGTGATCGACACTACATACACAGCTTGGGAGAGCTCAGAAAATAATTGAGGGGTCCAGGACCAACCCTTGTCATTGAACAAGTTCTCAATCCTCAATTGCTCTCTACTTTCTCTATCGATCGTCTATCTCGTATCTCCATCTCCATCCACCTACACACAATGTCCGAAAAGCTCCAAGTAGCAGTCGCAGGTATCGGCCGCATGGGCATGCGCCATGCCCGCCACTTCGCAACCCTCACACCACGCGCCGAGCTCATCGCCGTCGCCTCGCCCGTACAGGCTGAGCTAGACGCTGCAAAGAAGGAGTTTGGCTGCCGCACATACCTCTCCTTCGCCGACATGCTAGCCAAGGAGAAGACTCTGCAAGCCGTTGTCGTTGCATCCGCTACGACTGTTCATGCCGAGCAAGCTATCAAGGCCATCGAAGCGGGCAAGCATGTTCTCTGTGAGAAGCCATTGAGTACCAGTCCCGAGGTGGTGAGTATACTTCTTATACATTCTATAAACCGAACAGCAGGATAACCAGAAGCTGACATGTCCCACCAAAAGTCCCAATCCGTCGTCGATGCCTACCGCAAATCCCAGAAGAAGAACCCCAATCAAAAAGTAATCTGCGGCTTCTCCCGCCGCTTCGACGCCTCCTACCGCGACGCCTACAAGCGCATGGCCAACGGCGACATCGGCACACCCTCCGTCTTCCGCTCACAGACCTGCGACAAGCTCGATCCAAGCGGGTTCTTCGTTGCCTATGCCGAGTTTTCCGGTGGAATCTTTGTCGACTGCTCGATTCACGATATCGATCTTGCGCTTTGGTTCTTTGGTGAGGAGAGTCGTGTGAAGTCTGTTACTGCTGTTGGTATCACGGCTGTGCAGCCTGATCTCCGGAAGCATAATGATCGCGATAATGCTGTTGGTATTGTTGAGTTTTATGTATGTCCCTTCCATCCTTCCCCAACCTTCTCTCTCTCTACATATATCTCTATCAATATCCATGAGACTGACTGATATAGGGCGGCAAAATCGCCCAACTATACTGCTCACGCATGATGGCTGCGGGCCAAATGGATTGCACAGAAGTATTCGGCACAACCGGACAAATCGCCATAAACACACAGCCGCAGTCGAACTTGGTGAACCTGTTCGAGTCGACGGGTGTTCGTCGCGAGATCCCCCCTGATTACTATGGCCGATTCCGCGAGGCGTTTATCACCGAGGCTAATGAGTTTACTGCATCTTGTCTTGATAACCTGCCTGCGCCTATGTCACTCGAGGGGGCTGTTGCTGCTGTACGGGTTGGCTGTGCGTTGCAGGAGAGTTTGATCTCTGGGAAGAAGATTGAGTTCGATGAGAGTGGGAAGAGGGTTGAGGTTTCTAAGCTTTAGATTTTAGATTGGGGTTGTTTTGTCTGGTAGATCTGTCAGTATATAGATAGCTCTACATGGTTAAAAAACACCACTTTCGGCCTACGGTTCTCTATGTACTTGTAATCTCGAGTCAGCAAGCCCAACTCCCGGTAACTCTACCACCGATGCGAGTGGGTCAAAGCCGTCCGTGCGGGACTAAGCGACGCTAGAGCCTCACGCTCGTGCCAATAGGACTTGCTTGTTTGGTCCACGTTGCTGGGGAAAATGTATAAGCCCAGGATGTTTCTGACAGCTCGATACCGGGTTATAGCGCGGTATCCTGCTTGCGTTCTCGATATAAGCAAGACTGGTTCTTGACGCAAAGGAAGACACAGCCTATCATAATTTCTACCTGTTTTCTCTGCAGCACCACTATGAGAATTGCGAGAATGTGATGTATCGGCTCTTTTACTAGAAGAAAAAGCGCGTTGATGATCTTTCATTCAATCAGAAGATTTATTAAAGCCGCGCAGAGTCAAAGTCGCCCTACGAAGATGGGAAATCACTCGATACTATATATAGATATATATATGAATGTACATCGTTTACTTGAACTCTCAGGAATGATTGAGCATAATTCTTTTGTAAAGGACCTCTTTTCTCGAGGCCCGATGAGACTACAAAATCCCTAAATGGCAAATCTTAGTAATATTACGATATTTACATAAACGCCGGGGCGCCTGCAAGGGTGCGAAGCAGTGCATGGGCCCTTAAGTCTCATCCGCAAAGAAGTCATTCCAGTCGCGTTCCTCAACCGAGAGCAAAAGAAGCTGCCCTCTTCCCTCGCCGTTTTCACGCCAATAGTTGAAGATCATTCAGCCCATTTTCTTAGCCATGGGGTCTACATGGTCGCAGTTTCTCCCACCCACGCCTTCTTTGACTGAAGCTAATCTGCCTAGCCAGAAGGGCAAGGTTTTTATCGTGCCCGGCGGATATTCCGGCATCGGTCTAGGACTATGCATAATGCTTTACCAAGCTGGAGGGAAAGTATATCTTGCGGGTCGCTCAGAGGAAAAAGCCATGGAAGCGATCGCCAATATCAAAGCCGCGAGACCCTCCCCTGATGGAGCGATCTTATTCCTTCCTCTCCAGCTTGATGACCTGACGACTACAAACCGGTAGTGAATGCTTCACCGCGGTCGAGACCAGGCTCGATGTCCTTTTCAACAACGCCGGTGTCTCCAACCCCCCCCCCCCCCCGCGGCGCGGCTCGATCTCGTCGCAGGGCCATGAGCTCCAAATCGCGACGAACTGCTTGGGGCCTCATCTTCTGACCCAACTTCTAGTACCAATACTTAAGCACACTGCCGCAAGCGAGCCGCCAGCTTCGGTGCGTGTTATCTGGACGGCCTCAATAGTCGTCGACATGTCAGCTCCAAACAGGGCTATGGATCTGGAGGAGCTTCTGTGTCGAAATAAAAACCCGCAACGGAATTATGAAAACAGCAAGGTCGGTAACTGATTTCTCGCCAGCGCACTTGCCGCTCAAGCTGGACCTAGCGGCATCTTGAGTCTAGTTGTGAATCCGGGGAATTTGAAGACGGCCCTGACCCGTCATTTTTCTCCGCTGGTACCGTGTCTAGCAGCCCCTCTGCTTTATCCTACTCGGATGGGCGCTTACACTGCGCTCTGGGCTGGGCTATCGAACGAACCCACTCTCTCAGATGGGGGGGGGGGTTAGATTGTGCCCTGGGGGCGATTTCATCCGAACCCAAGCAAAGAGTTGTTGCACGCGATGAAGAGGAAAGAGGATGGAGGAACAGGAGCTGCAATGCATTTCCTTCAATATTGTGATCATCACATATTGCAATTCAAGTAACAAGTGAATACAGAAACCATTGGACTAACTGGCGGAGCGTGGGAATAAATCGAATGATACAACCATATAGATACCCGCTGCATATTAAGCAAATTACTTTTCCTATAAATAGTTATTAAGATAAGACTAGCAAGGCGAGTAGTCAAGCAAGGGCCAAAACGACGTGTGATCCATTTCAAGCGAATTTGCAATTTTTATAACTGATTTCTCGTAATCAGTCTTTTGAAACTCAAACTTGAGTCTTTGCCTCGATAATCACATACGAATTTTATTGCTTTTCAAGCCGAGAGGACAATGATATGGTGCCCGCAGTGCAAAGGGGTGATTGAGGCCTTAATATTGACCTTGCTCTCCCTCTTAACAATTCCTTTGCTCCCGGTGATATAATTACTGGTAGCGTCGTTCGCTCTTCACACATTGTCACCCCTGAGGCCATCACTACGTTAACATTGGCGGGGAGATCGAAACCCAAGTTTTTATAGGTCGTGGCCAATGTAGCAGTGAGGAATGCCGTGCGAGATGGCCCTTTGAGAACCTGTGTACCAGGTCCTCTTTCAAAGGGCCTTTGCATCTTCAGAAGCACGCGGCCAATTTGATCACTTTCCCTTTCGCAGTCACGAATATTAACCACCTGGAGTCGGTGGTGAATGGCCATTTTGAAGAAAGTTTTCTACTTGCCAGTCATTTTCTTCAATTACAACTTTCCGTCTGCCCCCATCGCTTTCAGGCAGGAAGAACTGCCCTGTGCACCACATCTTGATTCTTGATCTGGAAGAACACATACTGTATCAAATGTTCACCGAGCCACTCCATTAGTTTCAGGTCCACTTCACTTTCTTGAATAACGCGGACTTTTCGTAGTTAATCGAAGAGGTTCAATTACTCAATGCATAGTCTTTCGACAAGATTTTGATATTTCGAAAAGTATCCACTATCGATTCCACTCACGACTCACTAAGGATCTAAGAAGACTATCAATAATCAGAAAACGTCGAGTCGCTGGTCATACAAGCCCCAATTGCTGAACCGTCCAGCTTGAGCGGCCCGATTGTAGTCTACATCGGATGTGAAGACTGAGAAGCGTCCTGACCCAGTATAAATTCTATCCGTCATCTTCTTTAATCCATTATCAAATAAACACACAAGAATACAATGTCCGGGATGAAGAGATATCGGGACACTTCCTCGACTGAAATAAAGCAAACACTAAAAGTTAACCGTTTGACATGTTGACATGTACCAACTTCCCATTCAAGTCTGATGTAGGTAAGTAATGACTTGGAGTGGACTGATGAAGTGAGACTCATAAATTGGGACTGAGGAACGGAAGCGATGAGGAGAGCCGCCGGGAGTATGGATTGATAGTAGTGCATTTCATTGAGGTCGCTTCGTGGACTGCTTACCCGGACGCTCAGGTTCTGCTCGGTGAGCAAGAAGTGGCAGAGATAATCCAGTTCGTAGGTAAATGTAGATTGGTTTGGCTTACTTCTTTTGTTCGCTGATATTCAGTAGCTGTAGACAGTCGCTGCTCGGTTCGATTTTTTTCTGGAATCGAGTCTAAATTCACTCTGGACGATAAGATACCTCAGTCTACATCTATATTCGTGCACGTTTGTCTACTGATCATATTAAGCTGAAGCGCTGAATTGACTAACACACGGACAAGCGGCGAACAACCAAATGTCCCAAAAGGTAAGAGAAAAAAAAAACGAAATGAGCGGGTAATAGGGCACACAGAAAAGCGGCAAGACAAGATATGGCGTAGCAAAAAGTACATCACAAGAAGTGAAAAGGTCCCAGGCCGACCCTCGCAGGGTCGTATTATCAATCAATCAGAAGAAAAAAACCATTCTTTTCGGTGCGTGGGCCCATCCAGTGAGAAAGCAGTTGCGTTAGTGGATAAGGGAATGTGATGGACAAGTTAAGGAAATAAAAAGGGAATGAGTGGGGGTCTCAGTGTGTGTGTGTGTGTGGAATATAGGCCAGACAAAAGCAGAGACAGAGACTGAAGCAGCGTGGGAGTAATAGACATGGACATTAACGAAGAGAGAAACCCTTGCGTTTGCCTCCCTTCTCTTCGATGGGGCGTCCGCTTTCGAGGCGATTCTTTTTCTCCTCGAGTTCTCCCCGCTGGCGATCTAGCTGATCCTTCATCTCGCGATGTCGGGCGTAGAGTTCGTCTTCGCTCTGTTTGAGCTTGCTTTCTTTTTCGGCGACCTTCTGCTGGAAGACCATCTTCATTTCGGCTTCCATCTTGGCCAGCTTCTGCTCGTGGAGGGCGCGCTCCTCCTCCTGCTTCACGGCAGGGTTGACCTCCTTGAAAACGCTGGGGTCCTGAGCAACACCCATCTGGGTGAGCTTGTCGGAACGGTAGTTCTCGTACAAGAAGTTGTTAGTGTGCTCCTTAAGCTCCTCCATGTGGGTGCGGATCAGCATCTGGCGCAGCTTGACGAAGTCGCAGTGCTCCTCGTTGTCGACTTCGATGATACCCCAGGGGTAGCTACGGCCACGGACTTTGCGACCGTCAGCAGTGGAAACCTCAGAGTTGGCACCAACAACGGCGAAGGGAACCTTGGACATGATCTCCTGGTTCTCGGCAATGGTCTCCTCATCGTCGAGCTCGTAGCGGGGACCCTCGAAGATCTGAATGGAGTGTTGTTCAATATCGGCAAGGATCTAGACGAATTAGCTCATATACTTCCAATTGGCTTGAATCCAACATACACGCTGCTTGAAAGCGGCAACCTCCTCATCGGTCAAGGTATCAGCCTTGGCAATGACGGGAATCAGGTTAACTTTGGTGTGGAGACGGCGCATGACCTCAATGTCCAGGGGCTTCAGGGAGTGACCGGTGGGCTGAATGAAGTAGACACAGGCGTGGATGCGGTTGTCGACAATGTTGCTCCGGTTGACCTTGTTCTCGGCCTCGAGGTAGGTGTCGTAGCGCTGCTCGATGTTCTCGACAATTGGGCGCCACGAGTCATCGTTGTTGACAAAGTCACCGAATCCGGGAGTATCGATCACGCTGAGGCGGAGGCGGACACCGTTCTCCTCAATGTCGGCGCTAGTCGACTGGATCGAGACGGTCTTGGGGATGATATCGGCGTTGGGGCCAGTGCGCTCCTTAGGGGGGTAGAGGGAGGTGTTGAACAGGGTGTTCACGAGGGTGGACTTTCCGAGACCGGATTCACCTGGTTGTTTGTGAGCATTGGATGGTTTGGTTGATCGTATGATTCTCCCACTTACCAACAACCATCACATTGAAGTTGAAGCCCTTGCGAACACTCTTGCGGTGCCACTGGTTGGGCAGGTTGGCAAAACCGACGTATCCAGTCAGCTTGCGGCGAACAACGTTCTTCATGTCGGTGGCAGCCTGGGCCACGGCCTTGGGGTCGCGGGAGGTGACGGTCTGGGCATTGCCGGAGCCCATGGGGTTGCTGCGCTCGACGAAAGGCGAATCCATGCTGTTGCTGGGGGTGGGCGAGTCCCGAGACGCGACCGGAGACGCGACGGGGGAACCGTTCGCAACCGGCGAAGCTTGAGAACCGATCAGCATATTGTCTGGAGGGAGCCTGTCCGGGATGGATTGTTTCTCCCGATCACGGCTCCAGCGGCAGGAAATCTTACACATTGCGAGAATCTGGGGTATTGAAGAAACCGGAAACTGCGTATTAAAATCCCCTGACTGATGTCAACTTCTGAATTGTTCAACTTGTCCAGTGGGGTCGAAATGTCGCGATAGGAGGAAAAAATCGGGGAGAATGGGAGGATACCAGGGGGATCGTACCTGAAATCAAAAAGGGGGTAACAAATCAGGTAAGCGAAGGACCAAAGAAGCTCAAGAATTCAAGCGAAGGACAAAAGAGAAAGAGAAGAGAAGGTTGGAGGGAGAGTGACTAGGGAAAGAAAGGGGGGAGATGAGAGGTCGGGCCCAGCTATTCTGCAGTTGGTTTGGATCCGCGTCCCCCCCGTTATAAGTTAACTATACTAGTACATGTACACGTACGGACAGGTCTGATTTAGAGTAGACTCGTCTAATATGCATTGTTCGAATGCTATTTGCTTTATTGATTGTCTATTGCGTTGACATTGAGGACACGCTACACCGTCAATTCCTCGACATTTGGACTACAGCCTGCAGGAAACAAAAGGAGGCACAGAATATGTTGTTCCAAGCCCAATTCCTGTAGAATAGCCATGTGACTACTAAGTGTCTGAGTTGCCAGATAGCAGTTTCTCCTGAGATCAGGGGTTGAGATGGCTCCACTATTCACGTGAGATCCACCAAATCTTATACTTCGGATGTTTCCTCTGTACTGAACAAGAACGAATTGGTATTTTGATGCTATACAAAGACCCCTACTTCTCAGTCTTGCTCTTCTTGGCTGGTCGCTGATCTTCACCATCCGAAGCATCCCCCATTTCGGCGTCACTGCCACCGCTGCTCTCGTGGTCCGAGTCGAACTCCTCGGCAACATCAGAGTCAGACGAAGCATCAAAGTCCTCGTCGACGGACTCCTCATCTTCATCGGCAGAGCCACGGTCAGGCCGGGCCTCTTCGTCACTTGATCCCATCATTTCATCATTTTCAAGGGCGGCAGCAATAAGCCCAGAAGCCTGAATGTATAATTAGCATGGGTCATACGACGAGAAGGGACAAAACATACCTCTTCAGCCATCTCGTTCTTAATGCGAATGTTCTTGGCCTTGAAGAAGTCCTCGAGCGATTTCTGCTCCTCACGGTTGATGTTGCTGAACTGGTGCTCACCCAAGCCACCCTTCAGGCTGACTGTGATATCAAAGGTGCGGCTCGCAGAGACAGCACCTCCAACACGAGACATCGTGACAATGGCGATATTCTCCATCTGAATGTAAGTAGCGGGCTTGGGGACGAACATGAGGCTCTTGTCCAAGAAGTACAGAAGGCCTTCGTTGGCCTTGATTGAGCACTTGACCCCATGGTGGCCGTGGTGGCTGACAAAGTCCTTGGAGGGCATGATGACCTTCTTTCCGGACAGACCGCGGAAGACCTTGGTCACGACCTGGTGAATGGGCTCTTCGTAGTGGGCCTGCAACTTGTCCTTGTACTGGTTTTGCATGAGGTCTCTATAGACTTGTTAGCGCATGTCAGACAAATTGAGCAGAATACTGACTCTGTCATGTTAATTTCAAGGCTGATCTCCTCGTCTAGCTTCAGCTGCATGACCAGGAATGGATAACGGGTCTGACCCTGACGCAGGGGAGGATCAAGGCCGAGCACGATAAGTGTGTGGGTATCATCGTTCTTGGGGAGGAGGAAGAACTTCTTAATGGCCGAGTATTGGATCTTGTAGTCGTATGTCTTTCCCCGTAGCCGGAAGGACGATTCGTACATGTCGATATCGAAACGACCTCTGGGGGTAAGGTGCAGAACATCCAGGAAGGTAGCAAAGGTATCTCCAGCGACGTCGCCAATCTCAGCCTTGTCCATAAGAGTCTCGTAGAAGAGATTGGCAGCGTTCTGTTCCTCAACCTCTTCATCGTTCTCCTCTTCTTCGCCCTCAGCGCCTTCGGTCTTCTCTTTCTTTGTAGCCGTTCCGGGAATGTAGAATCGCATCTCCACCAACTCGTCAGGACCCGCAGCGGCCTTGCGGCCCCGGTTCTTTGTGCTTCCAGGCTTCTCAGTAGCCTCGGCTCCTTCACCAGCACCAAGCGCAAATTCAATGGCGACCTCGTTTCGTCCGGCCAAGTTGGTGTTTGAGATTTCGGAGTAAGGGACTTCGAAGGCGGGTCGGTTTTGCACGTTGAAGGCAAGCTCTGCTTTTGTGAACTCTGCCTTACCCCAATTCCATCCTCGGATTGCGTGCTCGCGGGTCTCCACGTTGATACCATACCAGACCTTGAAGGCCTTACTCACACGGTCAAAGTCCTTTGGGCAGTCAGTCACCTAATTATGGACCCGAGCGATCAGTCTGACATACCTCCTGGTCGAAACCATCCAGCTGGATGACTCCTGATGATCGCGACAGGATCTTCAGCTCGAATCCTTTCGCCGCTCGACTCCAGTGAGCCGCGCCAATGTTGTTGCTGTCGAGAGTGAAGGTATCACCCCCGCCGGAAGGACGCCATCCCAGACCACTATCGGCAAGCTTGCACTTTCCAGGAAGCTTGGAGAGGTCAAGGAAGATGTTGTCGAAGCTCTCCCTGTGGATTAGTTAGTGTCGGTCCCGAAGCAAGACTTCTGCGCAAGGATCTTACATGATGGAGAATGCGGATTTCGTGAAGTTGCGTCAGTTAAATTAGTAAAGTATAAATGTTGCGGGTACAATGGTCAGGAGATGCGATGAGAATGGGTGGTGGGAGATGAGAAGGAGCTGGGTTGAAAGCTTTAGAATTTCAGTTTCTGGAGTTCGCGTTGCGGCGCGCTGTAGGGAGGCGGCCACTTCAAGCCAAAAATGGTTTGGTGTTTATGCCTGAGGCATCAATCGTATATCTGCCTTGAAGCTCTTTTTAATCCCGTTATTTTAAGGGAAAAATGAATGTGGAATTGTCAGTTATCTCCATGTTGGAAGAACTTTAATGGTTGTATAAGGAATTACTTCAAATTTCCACATCTTTGTGGTTGGGTGTGGTCATGAATTTGACCTGGCACAAATATTCAAACAGAACGCAATCGAAATACCAAACGACAAACTCAAGTTCCTTATATCTGGACCATTACTCAATGCCCAGTGATAGCTTTAGCAAGACTGATATCATTTGACCGACCAGGGCCGAGTACCTTATCGATGCTCAGCTCATGCATTTCGGTGTTGACCGCTGCTAAGACAGCTTCTTGACAGAACCAGAAATCCAATGGATCTTACGTTGGACCTTGAAATTAGAGACAACAAAGATAATATTGCTACCTAGATGCTTGTGTATATGCATAGAGCGTAAATGCAGCCAGTCACGGGTATATATATCTCGGGAATTGGAACTGTACGGTGAGACAGTATATGTCAAAGGATAAGCCACGATCTAGCCTGCATGTGGATTTTAGACAGACCAATCAAGAATATAAGCCCCATACGAGTGCGTGTGTATTGCGCAAACTGAACGAGCTCGCGGGCCTCAGTTCTATATTAAGCGAAACGAACGCGGGGCTGGATCAAGTCGGATCAAGTCTGAGACAGATCCACATGATGTTTTAGCGCAACGTTTGGGGTGGTAATGGTTGATAGATTTATCCAGTTAGTATAGGGATGTCAATATATCATGTTACAGTATATGTATGATAACATTGCAGATGATCAAAGCTGGGACATGACTTCACAGGGGAATGGCAGTGCTGATACCACGTCATTACCGGCAAATTAGTATTGTAATGTAGATCGTCATTCTACTCCGAGTCCCCTGTCCTGGTAGGGTTGAGTAGGGCGAGATGGCAATTGTCAGTTTCAAATAGAACTGTTCTCTTCAATTGCTATTTACTCTCAGCTATCATCAACAGCTCTATACTTGATCACAACATTTCCAAGGTTGATAATGGTGGACTGATAGAGCATCATCCACAGTTCAGTAGTCCCCACCCACGGTAGGCAACGACCCGCTCCTCTGATTGGCTGCAGCGCGTACACTACCTTGGGTCGAGCCGGGAATCCCGTAAAATTGGTAAGTTTGAGTACGTTTGGGTAATTCAAGTGTTTCATTTGGCAAAAACACGCCCCCCTGGGTCCTGTCTTCTCTTCACCTCTAGTCATTCGTTGATTCCCTTGGGCAGAGAGACTTCTGGTCTCGATACATTCATTTACATTCCTTTGGATCTGTTCTATGCCGCATTCTTTACATTCCTTTCTTTCCACGCGTTGCGGCCTGACGGCCCTGGATTCTTAATCCCTGCCCTTCCCACACTCGCTTCCAACCATTTCAACTAGACTACACTTCTGCCCGTCGTCGCTCCCACAATGAGGTTCTCTTCATTGTTTGGGCCGGCGACTGGCTTGCTCCTTGCGGGTTTACCAACCCTTTACGCCCTGTCATTCGAGACGGTATCAGTTCCGGAACTAGACCTCAGCTCGCTGGGACGGGTGTCAATCACCGGTGACTTCGATGGCGTTTCGCTCTACCAGTACAAGGGACAGTCCGAACAGATTCCTCAAAATGGCTCGCAATCCCTTCTAACTCCGCTACCGAACGGTATCCTCACGACTCTCGAATCGTCCGACGCACACATCCTGGCAATGTGCCCCTTTACGCAAAAAGATGGAACCTTTGCAGGAATCTTTGTCGGAGGTAACTTCACCAGTCTGGGCGGCGTTGAGTCCCCCGGTGCTGCGCTTTTCAACCCGAATACCACCAAGATCACTGCTCTACCAGGTCTTTCGGGCTCGGTTCATGCTGTGACTTGCGACCAGAGCACCAATCGCGTTTACGTCGGAGGAAACTTTACATACGAAAACACAACCAACGTCGTTGCCTGGGCGCCTGGCGACGGCTGGAAGGATCTTTCGTTCAATGGTCTTAACGGACCCGTCAAGTCGATCTTGAAGGCAGATAATGGTCACATCATCTTTGGAGGATCTTTCGATTCCCTCGGCAACAGCACCAGCTCATCCAATGAACGCCAAGTTCTTAACCTGCAAAATGCGACCATCACCTCCGACACAGATTCCTCTCTGAGTGGTTACTCTGACCCCCGTAACATCATCTGTTCGACAAGTGGAAAGGCAGCTAAAGGTAGCACCTATCTGCTTCATGATTACGCCCCTGGATTTTGGAGAGCGGACCTTGGATTTGACTTTTACCCCACCAAAATTCGCCTCTACAACACTCATCTGGATGGACGTGGTACTAAGGATTTCTTGCTCCGAGCGCTCCCCGACAATGGTATTATGAACCTGACTTACACCGACGAGTCAGGTAAAAAGGCCAATTGTGACTCTTCCTGCCCGCTTTCCAGCAGCACCGACGAGAAGTACCGTGAATTTACCATGGTTAACCCCGTCGGTATGCAGGGCCTCCAGATCGAAATCTTGGATTGGTATGGACAGGGAGCCGGTCTTAACGGAATCGAAGTCTTCCAGGATCAGATCCTGACATACGCCGTTGACCAATACAATGAACCGACCTGCGCAGGCATTGAATACCCAGCCAAGTCAACACGTACCGGCTCATGGACCGTCGAGTCTGGGTATGTGTCCGCACAGGTGACCGACTCTGATGCCTCTTCCACTGCTGTCACATTCAAGCCTGATATCAAGAAATCCGGAAATTACACCGTTAAGGTCTACACTCCCGGTTGTACCCAGGACGACAGCTGCAGCTCCAGAGGAATTGTCAATGTTACGGCCACTCTTACGAGCGGCTCTAGTTCCGACCAGCCCGATCCTGCCTACTTCTACCAGACCAACAACCACGACAAGTATGACACTTTCTACACTGGCTACGTCGACGCCAGCAGTGACTCTTTTCGACCGGAAGTCACCGTCAAGGCCAAGGATGGTCAAGGAGACATCACCATTGTTGCATCACGCGTCCGTTTCGAATTACTTTCAAGCACCGGTGGCAGCGGTGATCTCAATGGACTTTACGACTACGACCCAGCTTCCGAGACCGATACTACCGATGTGACCAAGTCAGACGTCAACAAGGCGGGTACATCTCTTGATCATGATGCCTTGGTATCTTGTATTGAGGAGTATGACGACGTAATCTACGTTGCCGGCAATTTCTCCGACAGTAAGGTCCGCAACATCATGTCGATCACAGACGGAAATGTCACTGCAATGTCTGGCTCTGGCTTGAACTCCCCAGTGCTGGCAATGACCACTCTTGATAAGACCATGTACGTCGGAGGCCGCTTCACTGATACTTCCGATGGAGGAGAAGATGGCCTCGCGCATGTGGCATCTTACTCTTTCTCCTCGAAGAAGTGGTCCGCCCTAGGTGCCGGTTTGAATGGCCCTGTCACCTCGATTTGGCCCGTTGAACTTAACGCATCAAGTTCGATTAATGAGACTATTGTCGCTGTTAGCGGTGACTTTGACCAAATTATTGCCACTGATGGAAACTCCGCGGTCTTTGTGGCTGGTTTCGCCATCTGGGTCCCATCCAAGAAGGACTGGCTTCAGAACCTTAATGTCACCCAGATGCAGTTTGGTGGTCAATTGTCGGCCTTTGCATCGCACAACAACACTCTTATTCTGGCTGGCAGCCTTTCTACCGACGGTACCACCGCTGGAAGTGCAGTATCGCTCCTGGAATCGGATGGCGCCGAACTTATCCCCCTGTCAATGAAGATTGACCACCGAAACTCAAGCACCGGTCTGTACTTCGGTGCCTATGATACCGGTGATGATCGAAATCTCACCATCTACGGTGGACACTTCACCGCTACTGGTAGCAATGGATCGACCATTCAGAACATTGCCATCCTGAACGGTACCGATGAGACCATCTCAGGCCTACCCTCGGGTATCGATAGCAACTCAACAATCGCTTCAATGCTCGTGTACAACAACACCCTCTATGCAGGTGGAAACTTGACCGGCAAGATTGGCGACGAGGACTTGAGTGGATTTGTGATCTACGACCTCAGCAAGAACGAATTTGCATCAAGTCAATCCTCCGTGGAAGGCTCCAATGTCACCGTAAACTCCATTGTCAACCGACCCAGTTCATCTGAAGTCTGGATTGGAGGCAAATTTGAACAGGTCGGGACATTCCCTTGCCCCTCTGTCTGCTACGTCGATTCGTCCAGCGGGGAATGGGGCCGTCCCGGTGTATCCCTCGATGGCACTGTGACTGACCTCCAGTGGGCAAGCAAGACCAAGCTCATGGCGGTGGGTGATCTCTTAGTGGATGGCAACAAAACCTCAATTGCTACCTACGAAACTAAATCCCAAGCGTGGACTTCTCTGACTGGTGCATCCCAGTCAGATCTTCCTGGAAACATCACTGCGTTCGCCCCTGCCAGTGAAGACCTGTCCAAGTTCTGGATTGGAGGTACTGCTACTAATGGATCTGCCTTCTTTTTGAGCTACTATGATTCTAAATTCCACTCTCCTGGTGATCTCTTCTCCCAGGGCTCCGTCATCCGTGGTCTGGAGTTGCTTCCCGTTACCAAGGATCACTCCGAGGCCTCCTTGTTGAACAACTATCAGACACTGCTGATCATGGGCTCCCTTGTAATCCCAGACTTTGGAAATGCATCCGCAGCACTCTACAACGGAACCACCATCACACCCTTCATTCTTTCCTCGAAGTCTGATGGGTCGTCAGGCAGCATGTCAAGTTTCATCTCTGAGAACAAGAATACCTTCAGCAGCAACGAGAAGCACCACTCTAACGGCATTGCCGTCCTGGTCGCCTTCTGTTGCGCCCTTGGTTGCGTCTTCCTTATCGTCCTGGCCGGTGTCATTCTGAACAAGGTGCAGCGCCGCCGCCAGGGCTACGCAGCTGCTCCACAAACATTTGGTACCGACCGCCCATCCGACATGCAGCGTCTTCCCCCAGAATATCTCTTCAACTCGCTGCGCCAGCCCAACCCCACTGCCCCAGTCCTTTAATGCCCCTTCCCCCCAAAAACCCTTACACCTCTGATCGTATTCAGTGTTGGCGTTTTTGTTTTGTTTATCGAAAGCAACGTTGCTATACCCAGCTCTCATTAATGTTTTATTCTGTTCGCCTGTGTTCTCGCGCCGGCCATGACGCGATCTCATCTTTTTTTTTTTCTCTGGCACATGTGGCCGATGCAGTTTCTGTCGATTCCTTTGTGAATATGTGTCTGATTTGTGATTTGATGTACCATATGCCGCTTTTTTGTCACCTGGATGTATGTCGCGAGGGACATTGGAGAGGCATGTAGATAGCCACGCTTGCGTGGACAATGACACGATTAATACAATAAATACCCTTTTGCGAGACCCTTCAGATCCTATAGATTTATAAATGCCTCAAGTGCATGAAGAATAGTAGATCGGACATTTCTCCGTGTAAATCCGTAAATGCTTTGGGGGGAACAATTCTGTGGGGGCCGTCCCCAGGTCACCTGCCCGCCCCCCGCAAGTCGATCTCCAGGTTTTTGTCTCCCCCATCTTTCCTTCGAATGTCGCTCCGCATACCATTTCGGTATGAGATCAAGAACTGGATGGTAAGTCTGACTCAACATGCCCAGCCGTTTATACTAACAAATAATAGCTTAACGTGTCGAACTCGAAAGCTGAAATGTAGGACCTGTTATCTTTGCGCCCTGTCTGCGCTTCGTATCCCATGTTTCCCTTTGAACCCCGACTAAATCATCGCTAGGCGACGAGCAAAAGCCCGAATGTTCCCAGTGTCGCAAGGGCGGCCGAGAATGCCGCCCGAGCGAGGGTGTCGTTTTTCGTCACCAGCAGAACGCGTCGATGAATCGAAGTTCTGATCAATCACCTGAAGGTCGTGGGAGTTTGAACGGATTCTATTCGTATAAGAATACTTTTGATAAGGATAGTGTGTGGTTAGATGTCCCGAAACATGGTAAGAGACCAAGAGGATGATTGTTTTGACAAGTTGTGGATCTTTTGGATGGATGCTCATCTTATACCCCTGCAGTCATATTCGTCGATAACTCCGACCCATACGCCGACGACCTCGAAGCCTCGCTGGGAGGCGCTGGTAGTTCAACGCTGGCACCCTCGCCAAATCACAGATGGGGCAGTAGTGGCTCTCGAACAAGCGATGCCGAGACACAAAGATTGGAAGCGTTGTCGGCGGTCGCATCACACGACCGATTCCCTTATTCTCCTTTAGAACACTCCGTCTCGGATAGTGCCTCTTATTCCTCTCCTCACGGTGGGCGGAGCATCGCTCTGCCCCCGGCTTCTCCTGCCATGTCGCTGTCGTCCACCAGCAACAATACCAATATCAACTTCCTCCTCAACCCTTCCCATTCGATGTCGCCCCCCATCGATCCAAGCATTCAACTCGCTGATAGGAGTACGACACTGCCATCGCGGCCGGCACTCTCACAGAGAAGCATGTCTCATGCACCAGATGATAATGCAGAAACGGATTTCGAGACTGCTTTCCTCCTTCGACATTATTCCGAAGGCCCGGGATTATGGTGAGTCTTTTGTCCTCTGCTTCGATGAATGAAGAGTAACAGATCCCAGGATGGACCTCTTCGATCTAGGAACGTATTTTGCATCATACGTCCCAGTGCGAGCAAGATCCAACCCGCTGTTAAAGTTCGCAGCATGCGCATACTCAGCCAAGCAACTAGGCCGTGTGAAAGGCGCAAAAGCCCCCATGGGTGGTGTATGCACACAGCAAGCCGCCATGGAACTGTGGCCTGATAAAGACCCCGATTTTGCATGGTATGGGGCCAAGTATTATGAAAAAGCAATCCAGCTGTTAATGAAGGAGCTTCAACCCGATGAAGGCCCACCTCCACTGAGTACGCCCGAGGCGTTTGGTCAATGGCAGGCTTCAGAGTTGTGTGGTGATGCAGGTAACCCGCGTAAACGCCGGAGAAGGGGTTCTGATAGTCGGCTTTCGCATGGAGTTCATTCGGACGAGGTACTTGCCGCAACGGCCATTTTGTCAGTATATGAGTTTCTCGATGCAGCGGGACCAGCGTGGAATCGGCATTTGAGTGGTGTGAAGTCGCTGCTTGATGTCGCTGAGGTGGGTATGATGCCACTTGAGCAACGTCCGTCGCCTGGAGACGGCCCGTATCAGACGGCCAAGAAGTCAGGGCTTTCCAAAGCGCGACGGGCGACGTTTTGGAATTTCGCCAGACAGGACTATCTGGCAGCCTGTGAGTGATAATCTTTAATGGGTCGTGTTCAACAACTAATAAACGCAGTCATCAATGAAGGCCACACAAGGCTAAACACAGACGACACAGTTCTCTGGACAGAAGCAGGCCTGCTCCTCGATAATATGGGCTTCATCCGCCCAAGCAACACAGGCGCCGCAGGATACCCCGAAGGCGAAGACATAATGAAAGAAGACCTAATAAGCAACGGCCTAGTCTGGATCCTATCCAAAATCGTCAACTTCATAAGCTCAGGCGACAACATGCATCTAACAGATAACCACACCGTGCCAGGCCCACTAGGGGTAACCCAACAAGTCCTCCTAGAACGCTGGCACAGACTCGAATCCGAACTGGACGCCTGGATCAACGGTGTCCCAGAAACATTCAAGCCCTGCGCGCGAATCGACTCCGCCCGCCTCTCCCACCACCGTCCACCAGCTGAAAACGAAGACACCTCCACCCTGCAAGAAATCTGGTTCAGTTTGCCCATGTGCGCGTCGACCATGCAGCATTATCATATGGCGCGCATCCTGCTGCTCATTAATAAACCGCACGAGTCGACTAGTCGTCGCAGCACGATCACCCTGCGTCTTCAATCGTACCGCTCTATCGAGTCGGAGATTGCATTCCATAGTCGGGAGATTGTTGGCATAGGACTCTCGCGTCCAGATGGTAGTGTGCGAATCAATTCGCTGCAGCCGCTGTTCGTTAGTGGACAGTGTTTGACTGATCCGCGTGAACGCCAGACCACTGTGAGATTGCTTCGGAGTATTGAGACTGATTTGGGCTGGGCGACTGAGTATCGGGTTCAGCAGTTGTTGAAGGAGTGGGGGTGGGAGGAGAGTTCGACCCGGTCGCCTGGTTCTTGAGAGAGTCTTGTTTGAAGACTAGCTTGAGTCCATCTTGACTATCTGAGACCAGCCAAGAGTTGAGAAATGAGGATATGAGGTGAAGTGCACGGCATCCGCATAGATAGCCGAACACCAGCCCTCTCTCCACCTCAACCTCCACACCCACCAGCCACGCCAAGAAGTGGCATATACGTGAAACCGCGTGCAGACATCGCGACCATGATATGTATGGCCAGCGACACGAGTGATGAACCACATGTTTAGTATAAGTTATAGTATTAGTATTAGTATTAGTAGTACCCAGGGACAGAAAACAGAAGAATAAGAAAAAGAACAAAACCCGCTCTCGAAAAAAAAAAGACTCAAAAGTCAGACACTAAACACATTTCTGCAACGTTCGGGTCAGTTTCCAGTCCCAAATCTTGTTTTCGCACACCCGAGCCCGACCCGTCGATCAGCGGGGGGGGGGGGGGGGGGGTAGGGCTGCCCTTGAGAGTCTACCCGAAGGGTGTCCCCGGGTGCCTAGGACTTAGTTACCTAGTTACCCAGTCTAAGTGTACTTTTGCTTAACATTTCTTCACACTTCCACAGCCCAATGTAAATAGACACCCATCATACCTGCAATACCCATACCTCCAAGCTAATGTACTTCGAGGCAGGTTTCCCGTTAAATCACTACACTATACTACACTACAATGTATGTTGTCACCGAATCCACTCGCCCCCACTGATTTACCATCTCGGGGGGCAACTTATCCGAACACTTTCTTTTTCGTCCTTGTCTACAGTTGTTTCCGTGTATTTCCTTCGGTGTCAGGTCCCGCGGCTTACTTTGTTTGACTTGCCGGGGTTGTGGGGTGTGGGGTTTACTGCTGTACTGCTGCTGTGCAAGCAAGGTAAGGTGCGAGATGCCTTGCCTACTTGCCTACTTGCTTGGGGGGCTAGCACATGTAAATGGATATTGGTATAGAAGGTGAGAGAATGGAAAGTATAGCGATGTTTCATCAACTAATGGTCTGGTCTGGTCTGGTCTTGATACTTGGGTGGTGGTTCTAGGCTGAGTGTGATGTGATATGAATAAATGAAACCGATGAAATGCAGTCGGGATAGACCGAGCTGTCGGATAGATGAACTTGTATGAATTCTTTCTTGCAGCGTCATGTGAATTACTGGAGAGCACGTGGGGCCGTCTAGATTCTTGAGGGAGTGTCCTGGACTAGCAGCGGTGTTCGTCGGTGTTGGCTGCTAGCCCTGCACGCTCCATCACGGCTCTAGACTGTTGTTGCACTCTAGCAACGGCATTTATTGGTATCCGCTATGTTTCAAGCTTGAGTCTGAATGGGAGTTGGCTCGATATCACTCTCACTGTTAGCGTGGATGTTGATGGGTTTGCCTCTGGATGCAAAGCCTGATATTTCGCTTGCTGGATGGGTTGTGGCGAAATGACTGAATGGCTGTGATGAGATGGGATGTGATAAATGCTGTAGTGACATCCTCCGCCCTGAATTTGACCGGGCAAGTCGATCTTTGCTCGCTATGGTGGTAATGCTATCGTCTACTCACATTTCCGCGGGTACAGGGTGAACAAGTATAGTTCGGACAATAATCTTCCGGTGACAGTGTGTATTCGAATAGTATAAAACTAATCGCTTGTCTTCGCATGGAGGGTCAGTCTCAGGCTATTAAATACAAAGTGTGTTTACTAATGCCAGCAAGAAAAGATGATAGCTCACAATGTCCCTCGGGGGCTTCGCACTGCAAATGTCTGAGGCATGATAGTCCGGGCCCTCACAGCTGACAGTGTTGCCTAGTTAAACCGGATGATATGAATACGGCTAAAATGTATAGAACAAGAACTTGTATTCCTCTGGTCAGTGTTTGCATCCGTTTGTTTGTCTGAATGTCTGAATTCCCCTGGCATCAGACTACGTATATCAGATGCGTCTTGCTCTGGAATGGTCTCTTAATGAGCTACCTCTGGGTGCGGGATTAGAACATCTCTTGAGCGCTGATACCAAGTATATGATGTACTTGTATGGGGCTCGCACGTCTGGATGACTATGACGACATTTCAAAGTATGAAAGCGAGGGGGAGCGGGTTGACTCACTTCTGTATGCAGCTCACGATGCTTCTACCGGCATTGGCCCATTCACCTCCGACAACATGTTCGTGCACATATCACTCTGCAAGAAAATCATCCGTGCATCTCTTCTGCCGCCAACCGATCTGGATGCAGCTGTTTGCACAACATGCCCACCACGGACTGTCCAGATTAACAGTCAAACAATTAAACAAGCAGTCTACATATCTCCAGATAACTTCAAAAAAAAAAAAAAAAAAATAAGGGGTCCCAGGGAGACTGGGGTGATTCACAGCGTATGCGTTGAACACACACCTCAGACAGGCAAGCGATGGAGCTGCATCTTCCAGACAGCGCCAGCCAGATTAGTATCCAGATTCCCAGTTGGAGTGTAGCTGCAGCATTTGACAACACCGCCAGTAGGAATTTGTTAGAGTATACTTGCCCGGAGCAGTCGATCGCAGGTGGTTACCATGTTTACTTGTCCCGATGGGGAAATTGATGCCTTGTGTTGATGCCTGACCAACTAGGCACCCGACCCCCCTGGCACTGCCTGATAATCCAGGGAACATTCCCAAGGTACATTCTGCTTGTTTCCAGCCCTCTCCGTGTATTCTGTGTCGATCGAAGTGAATAATGACCAGATGAAAAAGGGGAAAAGGGGTGCTAACGCAAGAGGTCCAACATTGGTGGCGGGGTCACCTAGCGCGGGCGTTGGGGCTGTACAAACCGAAATGTGAGCGTTGGATGAAGAACACAACTGGACACGATGGAAATGAGCGATCACGATAATGAGGGAAAAGCACTGCGCCAAATCGACGATTGTACTCTACGTCGAGTGTTTGGCTGGCCAGAGTCACGGGGGCTGAGTGGCCGGCGCTAAACAAAGGAAGAAGTCGATGTGATCTGCGTATGGGATCCTGAGATAGCGTTTTGGCACTCGAATCCGATGCGAGTGGTGGATAGAGAGAGCAGTCGTGAACCAACACGAGCACTGGGATGCTGTGGCACGCCGTAAGTAGAATCAGCTTATGGGCGATAGATCGCATCTTGTGTGCCTTGACATGGATTCTCCGATTGGTCTTGTTTAGGGGGCGAATGTTGGAGACGATCACAGCGGGAGGCGGGTTGGTGGGCGTGATTGGGTGGCTTGACGCGACCATGGATGAGGTATTGTGATACTCTATGTCCTGGAGATGGAATTCCGTGTCCAGACTGGGGAGACGAGACTGGCATTGGAATGTCGGGACATAACCCTTTGGCAGGGGGGATATGCATGTCCAGCTTTGACTCAAACCTATACCTGTCAGCTGTCAGCTGTATAGCCTCGCGAAGAAACGAAGAATCGAAATGCAGAACTGTGGAGGCGAGAATACTTGTAAATGATGTACAGGCCGGTACATGTATGTAAGTATAAGCTAATTAGGTGCAATTGTATGGCACACTAACGCTAAACCAGTATAGTCCCGGGGCAAGTTAACAGGGGGCACTTAGATCTAGACCAGATACACCAGTGGCGCCAGACATGGCCATTCCTACAGTTGCAATTATACAACCTCCACGGGTGAAGTGCAATGTTCACATATTTCCACCAGGTTGGTTGAAATCCCGGTCACTTCTTCACGTTCCTCGAGTTCCAGAATGTTGGTTCAAGAATGTAGATCGTTGCCCCCCCTGCATGTTCGCTTCCAGGTAATATTACCATTGCCAAGGGCTCGGAATTGAGTTTGATCCAATTGCCCTCGTGTGAGAACAGACCGTGGACCGGTCTGTCCCCACCGGCTCTATATACTACGTGCCGTTCCCACACTTAGCCTCCCTATCTTGATCTTTTTGACTGCGCGACCCTCTCGCGCTGGCGCGTTTTCTCAATAGGATCATGCTGCTTTGCCCATCATGGCTATGAACGGAGACTGTCCAGCTCCTTTCCTACAGGAGTCCCTCTTCCCTAACACCGGCGGGTTCGTCGATGGTCGTTACTGTGAGAATCTCTCTTATGGCAACAGTAGTTTCTCATGTTGTCTGCCATGTCCGCTGGCTGAATGGAGATATGACACTGGTGAGTAGGAGATGCTAGGTATATGGTCAGTGTCTAATGCGCTACAGATTTGGATAAGAAGATCAGTGTCGCGAGCTGGATCAGTGTCGCCATTCTCCCGCTCTGTATATTCTTGCTGATTTCCTACGCTGCGTTACCGGTCAAGTGGACTCATCGCCACTATTTGAGTATCTGCTTTACACTGGGCATCTGTTGCATGGAGGTGAGTGATTGCGCACACTATCATAGTCCCATACTCACCATGACTAGATTGCCTTCATCATTCCCCTCGGTGCTAAGCCAGAACAATGCTACAATGCCATCACCCCCAATGACATGCACTCCAATCTCTCCTGCGCCTTCTCCGGCTCGTTCTTACTATTCGGCGGATGGATGGTCGTGATATGGAGTTTCATTCGCACGATCGCCTTCCACCTGCAAGTCTGCTGGGAAGTCGTACTCGGTCCCAAGTTCATGTGGGGAGCCTTCGTCTGCGGCTTCGGTATCCCAGCAGTTGGCCTAACAGTGATGCTCATCCTAACGGGTGTATCCTTCCGGTTCGGCGGGATCTGCCATATCAACGTCACCCACGCTCTCCAAGACTACTGGATCCCAATCATGGTCTTCGCCGCCGCAGCGCTCTTTTTCCAACTATCAACAATGGCCTACTGCACCCACATCTACCTCCGCTCTCTCTTCGACAGATCAACCTCGACCACAAACAGCTCCGGCCTGCCCTCCTACAATTCCAGCGTGCGCACAGTCACAGCCCGCCAGGCCTATCGCCGAATCCGCCGCATCCTCCAACTCCAATGGCGCGGCATCGCCCTTGTCGTCATAATCATCGCCAACGTCATCTACTTCGCAGTAGTATTCATCGAACTGGACAACGCCACAGCCCCAACCGCCCAAAACGTCGAAAACGCCACTCCCTGGCTCCTCTGCCTAGTGAAAACAAAAGGCGACAGAGTCGGCTGCCGCCCCGAAGCAGCAGCAATAGGACCCAACGAAGCAACCCTGTTAGCAGTGGTCATCCTCCTCTCACTAGTGGGCTTCTGGAACTTCATTCTCTTCGCCAGACCATCAATGTTCGCCGGCTGGCTAGACCTCTTCAAGCGCGCCTCACGCCGCAACGAATTCGTCTCGGCAGACGCACACACCCGCTTCGCCGATAACAAGGGGTTCGAAATGCTTACTGCATCAGTTAAGAGCCCCGATACGTTTATGCGTTCGCCCAGCCCCGTCGAGCACAACCATATCCAAGAACAAGAGCTTTCCCGGAGTCCGATCGCAAGTCCTAGTCCGACCTTCGATCGGAGAGCCCACTTCGGCCAGGAGGCTCGCTATATTCGTCCATCCATGAGCTTTTCTGGGCCCAGACCTCCTGAAAGTCCGACTCCTGGCCGTGAGTGGGATCCTCAGGCGACTTTTGCGCCGGGCCATGCACGAGATTAATGTTTTTTTTTATTACTGTATTTGTTACGTTTACATGAGTTTATTATTATTATTATTATTATTTAACTAAAAGAATTACTTATTGAGGCTGCTTTGCTATCCTTGATTGCGACACTGGTGTTACAGGGCGTGTGTGTATGTCTCACTTGCGTTTGCCATGGAGGCGTCAGGCTAGGAAAATTTCCCACGTGTGTCTAGTCGTTTCATCTTCGTCTCTAACCTTGAATGGATAACAGTAACTAGAATGGTGGTTCCCACACTTATTTTTAATACATCTTCTCCGTAATGTCCACTGTATACGTCAATGAAACACCAAACATGCTATGATTGCATCCCGTACTCGATGCTCCACTGTGACTCCAGTTTCGTCCCCACTCATCTCTGAAAAGCAATTTAAATCTCAATTTAAATCTCGATTGAATCTGTGCTGTCTTGCCTTGTCTATACTACTCTACAATCTACTCTAACCTAGAATTGAACCCCGCATCGGAATGTCCCTTGAAATAGAGTAGATAGCATAGTGGTAGTGTGATAGTGATAGGAATGGAACACGATACTGTCTACCCTGAACCCTGTCCAGCACTGCATACTGCATCGAACTCCTGATCCAACGTTCCAGGAGTGGGTTCTTTATGTAGTTTTAGCGGGTGAATCCACTGTTGATAGTACTGATCACCACAACCCACGAGGCTGTATCGTATATGCACGCATGCTGTACTCTACACTGTATCCAAAGTCTGCCAGACTGGATGGAATGGCGACAGTGGATACCCAATCCACTCCCAGGATACTGTAAAGATAGCCCAACCCCTAAGCTAACAAAAGAACTTAGCAACGCAACGCAACACACGTACCACGCCCACCAATACGAGTACAGTCCCACAGAAGTGCACCAAACCCCAAGAACCAAGTAACAGAAGATTGACATAACACTCCACTACCATAAACTCTACTCAACACCAAAACCCGGTAACTACCCGTCGCTCAAACAATCTAGAACCCTTCCACAGCCATCCCCAAACCCAAACCTCAAGGCCAAGACCATGATAGTGTAACCTAACCACGGGCTATGCAAGCAAATCCGGAGCCCGTCCCAAAAGGCCCTCCCAACACTAAAAAGATAGAAGGCTGAAACTAACCAGCCCCAACGCGGCAGGAGACCCGTTCCTGCATTGACTCCTGGTGGAGTCGGGAAGTCGTGCGCCCCGTTGGAGTATAGACTCCGGTGCCCTGTGGCGCTAGTATTTAGCAGTATTAGGCTAGTTTGGTGGTAATTTTGATTCGGTGAGATTTCTAAGCGATTTACTTTACTTTACTTGAGTCCATATCGTAAGGTAGATTCATCTGGTACTGGTTTTTGAAGGCTACTGAGGGTAGGGTCTGGGGTTCGGGGAGTTTATTAGATTGCTTTTTGGTGGGATTGGGATGTAATGGCGAGAGGGATTTCTGGGCTTCCTTGGGGGGTTACCTTTGGGGGGTCTAGATTTGGGGTGGTAGACGTCAAGAGTTTGAGATTGACCCTGTGCGACGGTTAACTGTCAGATGTTTCCGAGGATGGAGCTGGCTTGTTGTTGGGTCGCGGATGGGGAGTTTTCGGGGAAATGCTAGGCTTCATGGTTAGTTGGCTTACTTGGCTGGTCTGTGTTCTATTGTTGTATGCACTTGTCTGGTAGTCAGATTGATTGCTTCAATGCATGTTAACGGGCTGGATAGTTCAATGGTACGAGATTGAAGAGAGACCATACTGTACAGTCCCAAAGAGGCAAACAGTGCCCCGCATCCAAACCTCGGCAGAACCACACCCCGAACCCCGTTCACATTCAGTTCATTCACAGTCCATCGACATCAGTATCCAAAGAACGAACCACACCGATCGGCGCGATCAAGCCTCCACTACCCCAACCCGCCAAAGTCACATCGTCGACATACCAAATGAGCATTAGCCCCCTTCCCCCACACACGCCCTAGGTTCTAGTTCTAGTTCTGGGTCTGGTACAGGGATTGGAAGTCGAGCACCCGACATTTTACCACGCCGGGCCTAAGACCCAGGAGTGCGGCATTTACGGAGTACCGGGATCCATGTTCATCGCGTGGTGTACTTTTAGTGGCAAATAGCACATGGCACATGGTAGGCAGATGAGATGGCATGTGTTTAGCGGGGAATGTCGTGTCCACGCGTTGTCAATTCAAAATCCGGGGGTTGGATCCGGGGTAGACGGCAATTGACTGCGAACGCTTTTTCATAATGGGGGGCATGGGGTGGAATGGGGAGGATCTACAGGGATTGATTTCGCGCTAGGGAGCCTCATGGCGCCGAGGTACATGTGATTTCTATAGGCTCGTTAAGGGGTTTTTTTTTTGGTTGTTAAGTTTGTTGAATTGGTTGCTAATGGCGATAAAATAGGTTTGTGGTAGCGCATACTCTAGTTAACTTGTAGCCCTAATATCTTCTCCATACGGAGGATATACAAGTCTACAATACGGAAATTTCACAGTGTCTGAACATCCGCTGGGATGGTAAAATAAGTACGAAACTAAGAATCAAGACAAATCTACGGAGTATATCACGAGCCTGACAACACAACGACAAACACAGGACTCGATCTAGAAACCAAAACACAATTCAAATCTTGCAAACAATATCAAATCAAAAGCAACCACAAGCGATTGTCTACAAACCACCAGCAGCACAAATCTTCTCAGCCTCATCGACACGTCCCGCATATCGAGTGGGATAAGCCGAACCCTGCACCTTCTGGCAAAGCTTCCCAACCTCCATAGTCTTCCACCCACTGACACCCTTCATACCCTTAAAGAACTGCGCAGCCGATTTGGCCGGATCCATATCGGCAGCAATACTGGGATAGTACTTGGCGCGCTGCTGGAAGATGCCAACACTATCATAGTCCGAGCCCACGGCATCGTGGGGGTAGTTAAGTGAAGAGGGGACTTTTTTGTTGGCATAGATGAGAATATTTGACTAGAATGTGTTAAGAATGATTCAAGGAACTGCAGAATTAGACTAGACCTCACCTCAACAAGAGCAGTTGCAATACCAGCAAGACAGCCCTGGCGACCTAGATCCTCCTTCTTCGCTTCTCCGATGATAGCTTTGGCATGCTTGGACTGAGTGGATGTAAGGCCAGGTAGATTTCCGCTGCTGCTGCCACCACCACCACCGCTGCCACTGTTGCATTTCTTCGTCACGTAGCTGGAGCTACCTGTTTTCACGTAGAAGTCCGCGACATAGCAGCCATCGGCGGTCTTGTCCCAGATGCTATCGCCTTTGATGTCTGTGCCGGATGCTTGGCAGGTAATTGCAACATCTGCGCCCTTTTTGTAGGACTTGACTACTGAGTAGGATGTTCCTGGACCGGAGCGGCAGTTGACGGTGTCACCGGTGATGGGGTAGGCGTTGATAAACGGGGAGAGCAAGGCAACGGAGAGAGTCACGAGTTGGAAATGCATCGTAAAGATTTGAATATTGAAAATATGTTTATTGTAGGTTGCCGATTGCTGAACCGTTCAGAGTAGTCACTTCTGCGATGTTATGAGCCGATGAATGAGAAGAATTCAGGAACTCAACAATGCCTTTATACTGTGACAATCCTTAATCACTATCCTCAGAATGTTCACCTTGAAGAATGTGACACCCCGATCTCCCATTTTGGACCCCACGGATCTCGTATAGGGTATCCATCGCAACGGCAGTTATAATTCGTATTCGCAAATTACCCCCCGAATCCCGTGTCAGGGCGAGCAGTGTATGGGGCTGAAAAGGAGAGTCTGCAGGGCCAAATCTATTTTCGAATAGTAGATCTCGTATATCCCCGTGAAGAGTTCAATGGTATGCAGGTGCTTGTTATTGACAGGCTTAATCGGAGCATGGCTGATGCTTGGCAGTCGTGTTCCTGGGTCCTGTCTGTCAGGGCACAACGGATAGACCCTAAATATAGAGGAGATTCTTGCAGATCACCCGTATTCGATCTCGCGCTTTACTAGGGATTGGGGGTCTTGGGATGGGCGTTTTAGTGTATGCTGCGTTGGAAAGCTGTTGCTTTTCAAGAGGCCGTTGTGATAATTTTAGAGATTAGCGTTCTCAGTAATTTGATTCTCCTGTATTTCTGTTAGTCTCTCTTTTCATGGCGTGATGGATAAAATAATAAACTAGGATACCATCTTTTCTCGTCCCAAGGTATACTTTGCCTTCTTGTAAATGCACACGGCCGAGTCTTCGAGTGGGCAAATACATGTGTGATAGTCTAAGTACGGAGACACTGAAATGATTTTGTTTTCTCCATGGAAGACCTTAGGTCTATATATGCCGGTGAGTAGTTGAGAATGGGACTACCAAGCCGGAACTCCTGGCAGAGCAGACTGAAGGACAGGAGCAATATCTGAGACATAAGCTATCGACCCTATGCATTAGGCAGGCTGCATATCTTAACGAAAGGTCTTATCGAGTAACAAATCGAAGTGCCATGATGTGATCTTTTCAAAGATAGGCTAGATAAATATATGCTAACTGTCTCTCTATAAAATGATACTCCATTACCCTTCGCTGGTGCGGGGTTTATATGAACATCCTTTGGCAGTAGTAAGAAGTTTGCCGATGACATTTGGCCCCAGTACATGTCAACCCATCTTAGCCAATTGGGCGTAGCAATTGATTTACAACGAAACTAACAGGCCAATGTCACAATGCTTCTTTTTTTGCGGATCCCCCTTCTCTCAAGTGCATTCTCTATTTGTTAGATCGGTGTCCTCGGGAATTGTAGTCTACGTCTCCATGGCCGTTTTGTATACGATTCCGGAAGAGCTCGGATCGAGCTTGAAAACTCCGAGATCCCTCGTCTATTTAGATTAAACCCAAAAGATAAAGATCTAAGCATGATCTCTATCCACAATTAATCCATGATCTGCCATAATCTAGCGGGTTTACGAACTATTGGAGAACCCTGCAGGTGGATGCAAAAAGCCTTAGTGCATTGGAGCGGATCTGTCACACCGACTGTCGAAGAGGCCAGATACTCGACAACCAAAAGACTCAAAAGTGAGCGTCTTACTCTGTACATGCCTATAGACAAACCTGAATAAATTTCTCGTATAGTTGCATCATCCCGAATACCCGACGTCACTACGGCAGAAGGCGGAGAGTCGAAGCTCCCTGTTGTGTGTTACTTGTCTCCCCGCTCTCCCCAGCCACCTTCTTATCTCCCACAACTCTTCGCGTTTTCGCTTTTCGCCTCTTCATCTCACCTGGAGCATCTCTGATCTCTACTTTTTGCTTAAAAGTCCCTATGGCTCCTCCTCCTCCCGCGACCTTGCCTCTGGGCGAGAGACTCAAGGCTCTCGCGCAGACCCTGCAGTACGTCTCCTTTGCTTTTTGTCAACCTAGAACACTTCAATGCTTTGTGTATCAATACTAATGAGATGATTGTTGCAGGTTTGCTTGGTTTGTTGGGTAGGTCGACCTGCTAAGAACACGACGACGGCCCGAATTCGGGATCACTAACAATCTCTAGACATGTGACACTGTTGCTCTCGGTCTTCCGCTACACCCTGTCTTGCATCTTCTTCAACTACTACTCCTCCTCCGCCCAGATCGCCTACCGCTTGACCTTCATCTCGGCCGCCGTCACCTATGGAATCGTGGTGTACAAGGGACACTTCGCTCGGGGTGTCCAGGGCACTCCCGTCCAGATTTTCACCAAGCTTCTCTCCGATGAGAATGTGCAATACCTTGGTGAGTGCTTGTGATGCGACGGTGATAATTGGAGCTAACAAGGACATCAGGAATGGCCCTTGTCTGGCTGTACTCCCGCCAGCTCATCCTGGCTCTCCTCCCCTTCAGCGTGTACTCGGTCTTCCACGTCGCGACCTACAGCCGCATGTACCTGATTCCGACCTTGCAGCCCGCTGCTCCTGGCTCCGCTGGCCCTGCTTCTCCCTCCTCCCCCTCCAAGCCTGCTGCTAAGCAGTCCCCTCTCGCTGAGACTATTGGCCGATTCATCAAGCAGTACTACGATGCCAGCATGGGTGTTGTCGCTACCCTCGAGATCGCCCTTCTGTTCCGCCTGGTCCTGTCCGCCATCACCTTCTCCAAGGGCAGTTGGGTCCTCCTGATTGTCTACCTGTCTTTCTTCCGTGCCCGCTACGCCCAGAGCTCCTTCGTTCAGCAGGCTGTCCGTCAGCTCACCGCCCGTGCTGACGCCTCTATCTCCCACCAGAGCACTCCTCCTCAGGCTCGCCAGGCCTGGGAGGCCATCAAGGGTGTTGTTCGTCAGGCTTACGAGGTCACCGATATTAGCCGCTACATTGGTGGATCTACCGCTGCCAAGAAGCCCCAGTAAATGTCGCAAAGACATGTGCTAACTACCTTGCTTTCAAACCCGGAAGCTCCTTCCACAACGTGTAGCTTTGGACAATTGCTAAAGGTGCTGATGCAAATTACGATATTCAGGGAACAATCTTCCCGCTGTAATGTTCTCTCATAAGTGATGAACATGGGGATGCAGGTGTATGGGACTTCATGTCTCAGCTATAGAAAAGATGCGGACGAGGAGGTCTACCGCCATGATGATGCAATACGCAACGACATGTGTTTATTATTCTCTAGAAATTTGCGATGCATAGTTTCTGTACTTGCTTTTCGCTTGCCAACATACCTTGTCTCGGATTCAATTTACTATTTCAAGTGCGCAGTGATTTTAAACATCTGTTCCTTCAACTCTTTACCTATGGCCCATTCACTATGAGTCACTGGACCGGGTATACTCCAGGTACACGGGATCCCTTGCCATATATTTTGTGCTGAATAGCCATGGCACATGTGAGCCAGAACCCTAAGCTTTCGGATGATACTGATAGTATCTGACTTGTGATATATGCCATGCTGCTGGTGTTTTGATATGTAAGGTGGTCAACCGACAAATCCCCAAAGGAATATCTGAAACCATACTGCACTATCTCAATAACCAGCAGCAAAGACAGCATCTGAAAGAATAACTCGATGAATTATTTGTCAAGGGTACAAACAGTCTTTGGATGCTGTTCGTAGTTCAGCGCGAGACAGCTCAACTGTTCTTTCAACGCGCGAAAGTGGATAAGGAAACCTGAGAATACGAGATTGGTAGTTTGTATTTTGTTATCCTCTAGTTTGATTTCAAGTCTATGCTCGTTCAAATAAAATCAAAAGAACCACCAATGCCACTCATTTGACGGAGTAGATAAAGACTGACACCTCAGGCTCCAACACCAAGTACAATGACGAAACCCCGTGATTGATGCCTCAGGCGGCATATCGGGCTTGGCGGCGAGAAGCCGATCAGAATTTTGGCTGATCAACCAACTTGCAACCAAAATAATCAACACTCTCCTGATTTCTTGTCGCTCTTTTCTATTACCCTTATCTCCCAGGGGTGCTACCCTTCCAGTCAATCTCTCAGCACCCCCGATTTCCCGCCTGGTCCCGATCAACGCCGCCCGGGGCTGCAGTTTGGCGTAAAATTGCCATGAGCTTGACCTCGCGAGTGGCCGGTCTGTTCACGACAACGCCGCCTTCGGACACATCCGCAACGCCGTCGGGTGATTCCTCTGCTTCGAAATGGGCACATGCCGGTCTCAATGAAATAGGTCACGCACAGGATAGCGCTATGGCGCTGGTGGAAGAGGAGGAGCCCCGGCCGCCATATCTACATGTATGATTGTTTCCCACGGCGTTTTGCTTTGCGCGAGGCTAAACTGATATCGAGACATAGGCTATGTTGGCTGGTGGTACCGGAGGAACATGCGGTGACATGTTGATGCACTCGTTAGATACCGTCAAGACACGACAACAAGGCGATCCGACCTTCCCCCCCAAATACACATCGATGGGCCAGTCTTATGCAACCATCTACCGCCAAGAAGGATTCTGTCGTGGTTTATATGGAGGTGTGACGCCCGCCCTCCTCGGCTCATTTCCCGGCACTGTGATTTTCTTTGGTGTATACGAGTACACGAAGCGCCTCATGATCGACTCAGGCATCAATCCTAGCCTTGCATATCTATCCGGTGGGTTCCTGGCAGACTTGGCTGCGTCGATTGTCTATGTACCATCCGAGGTACTGAAAACACGACTGCAGTTGCAAGGTCGATTCAACAACCCGCATTTCAACTCGGGCTATAACTACCGCAATATGAGAGATGGGTTCCGTTCGATAGTCCGCCAGGAAGGATTTTCAGCATTGTTCCACGGATATAAGGCTACGATTTTCCGCGACCTTCCGTTCTCCGCGCTTCAATTCGCATTCTACGAGAAAGAACAGTCAATGGCTAAAGAATGGGTTGGAAAGCGGGATATTGGACTAGGCTTGGAGATCCTGACAGCTGCCACTGCTGGTGGTATGGCTGGTGTTATCACCTGTCCAATGGACGTCGTCAAGACCCGCATTCAAACCCAGAAGAACGTCCCAGAGAGCCCCTCCGGTTCTGGCAAGAAACACCATGTCGAGCATATTCCTAAAGAAAGCCCACGCCCACATGCACCCGCATCCTCACATTCGCATACCTCACGAGCACACTCGCGCCCTATTTCCACATCGGGAGCCTCCACATCAATCCCACCGCCCGGCACACCGCGTCTCGACACGTCATCTGTGTTCACCGGGCTGAAGATGATCTACCGCACGGAAGGACTTGCGGGGTGGTTCCGTGGCGTGGGCCCACGCGGTGTATGGACTAGCATTCAAAGCGGGACTATGCTGGTCATGTACCAGTACCTGCTCAAGCAACTCGAACACCACCAGATCCTGGAAGAGCGAGGACATTGAGACATTTCATCTGCATTTCCACGGCATTTTTCTTTCTTTTCGGGAATGGGGGCGTTTGGATTTACATGTTATGACCCCAGGTGCATTGGGCACCTTGTATACTGTGTACCTGATAGAATAGACTGGGCTTATAGTCCGCTGTACAATAAATTCTCATTCAACTCTCATTACTCTAATAATGTTTACAATGTACGAAAGAGAGGAAAAAAGCGCTTAACAAAGAGGACGCGCTAGCGTGTTTTGTTTTGATCGGCGGTAAACAACCTTGGAATTACTGCACCTCCCCTCCTTGCATCCTCTCCTCTCCCCCTCTAACTTCTTTATTTACTTACTCTTATTTGATGCGCATTGGTCCAATATCCTCCCTCGCATTTTGATTCATTGCCATCATGTCATCCGCTCTTCCTTATCTGAAGTCGCTGAAAAAGGGCGATCTCGTCGAGTTCGCCGAGACAACCGACCTAGATGGGTGAGTTTATACCTGTCGCGCAATCGCGAACGTGGTCGCATGGGCCAATTTTACTGACTTCTGACTTGTCGGGGTTACAGAGCGAATGGATACAACAAGATGGACCTTGCCGTTGCGCTTGATAACCACCTGCAAGAGAACTCGTCCATCTTCGGAGGTGTCAAGTCGCTTTCTGAATACTACTCGCGCTTGGCCTCGCCGCCGCGCCGGGGATCGCCCGTGAAGCGCGAGTCTAAGCCTCAGACTCCTGGTCCTGCGAAGACTCCTTCGCGTCGCGCATCCTCCAAGAAGGAAGCCAAGCAAGTCAAAGAAAAGAAGGAAGATACTAGGTAAGAACCATACCGAGTTTACATGCACGAAATGGCCCCACTTATTCATCGCGCATACTAACCTATGTATCAGCGAGGATGGTGAAGATATGACCGCAACCCCGAGTGTGCGCCTGCCTTCGCGCCGGGCATCGCGCGCTGCGCCCATCACCGATTTGCAGAACTCCCTACCTATGCCTCCTTCTCCCGCCGTCGTGACAGATGTCATTGACCGTCAGGCCAACCGAGTTCGTGAGGGACTCGAGGATGCATGGATATCGATGGGCGTATTGGACCGGTGCCATACTGTGCGCGAGTCTCTGAGCAGCCTCAAAGCCATTGAGATTATGGTTCTGCTGCTCGAAGGGGGAAGTGTTGTGAAGGAACTGGTTCCTATCCGTTACCTTACCACGACTCCTCCCGTGCAGGCCGCACAGATTCCCGCCATTCCCATCAGAGTTCCTGACCTCTTCGTACTGCTTACTGGAGCTTTCTGGGCGCCTTTCTCTCTCTGGCTCATCTCCTGCCTTGTTTTGCCTCTGATGGCCGCCTATTTCATCAACCTGAGCTGGCAGGCCTCTACTCCCGTGCGCAAGACTCGTTCCAGTCCCAACCTTGCTCAATTCGACCCATTGACCTTCAACATTGCCAAGGCGCTTCTGGTATACATCATTTTCGGCAACGACTTCAGGTTCTGGGGTATTTTCAGCACTTTCGCTCTTCGAAAGATCTCGGCCTCTGTTCCTGGTGGAATCTTCGGTCTGTACACCGGCACCGCCGTTGGCACAATTGGCTCTCTCTACGAGGCCATCCTGCGTCATTCATGAACAGCATTCTTGCACTTTGCAGAGCTGCACAGTGACTCCAATTGTATTGCAAATTGAGCCAGAAATGCGATCCAGCAGTACTGGGTGGCTTGAATACGCGTTATCATGTTGACATTTACCTCTCTCTTTCTTTCTACGCTCTCTACACCAATCCAGTATATTTTTGGATTGGTCTCCCCATTGGTTTGATATCCCCTGCTTGAGGGGCTATCACATCCCTCTCGCCGCAATGTATGCTTTTTCGCTGTATGCGTTATTGTTCTCAAGGCTTGTCTTTTTGTTTTTATGGGTCCAAGTTTAGTTCTTGGGTATGGATGATGCGATATGCGATACTGGGTTTCCTTCTTCAACCTCAATCCTCTCTTTCTTGGTGTCTGTTTCTAGCCAGAGGATGGCGCCCTCGGTGTTGTCTGGTTGTGGTTTTGTTTGATTATTCTGTGGGGGTTTCTCGATCTCCTTTTTTTTAATGGCCGATTTGTGTTTCAAGTCTTTAACATTGGGTATCAGAGTGTAGTATAAGTAAATCCGAAACGGTCATCTCATCACTGACGCTCATGATCGTCTCTTCAGCCTCGTCGCCAACTCAACCGTAAATAACACGGGCACCGACGTCTCAACTTCCACTTTATCCGCGCGGATATGGTTGCTCGTGGATAACTGTCCGCCAATTTCCGTATGCCAATTCTCGACATCCCACTCAAAGCCTTTTGTCGTTATCGAAGCAGGCGCCGAAAGCGGAATAATCCCGATATTCTCCTCGAAGAAGTATTCCGGTTCGTCTTCTTCACCCCGCTTCCGCTTCTTCGGCGACTCGGTCGTAATATCCGCTCGTCTGGTCGCAGGCGTGTGGATTATATTCTTCCCAGTCTGAATAATGAACGTAATACTTTCCTCGGAGACAAGGTAAAGGTTCCCACCAGCTGCAGGTTTCGCACTTGAATCCGCAGGTATGGTTTTGCTCTCATTCTCGCGGATCGTACATTGCGTCTGGGTCATCATGTATAAATGGTGAACTTGAGAAAACGCCTGGTCAACGCGGCCGCCGAGACCACCTAGGATTACAATCTCCAGGGGTGAGTCGTTTGATTGGACGGGTGGCGTTGGGTAAGGATCTTTAGTCTTGCTCGATCTAGTTCTGCCGTTTGCTTTGGCTTTGGCTTTGGCTTTGGCTGAGTCGTTTGTTCGGGGAGAAGCAATGATCTCTGCTGCGTGTGCGTTGAGGTATTTTAGACATTTCGTGAAGTCTGTTGAGTATTGGTCTGGGTCTTCCATGACTGATACTCCGAGTTTCTCGTAATGCTCTCTCACTGATGGTCGAATAGAGTCCAAGTCGCCGATAATGGCGTTTGGGGGCTGTTTCTCTGGTTAGATCTATATCATGGCTGGGTAGTACAGTCGGTGCTGTTTTGGTTGAAAAATATCTCCCCAAGCGAGTTTCCAATTCAGAGATACTGCATGGTAGATTTTGTAGTATAGATATGTCTCACATCGTTCGATTCTTTCCCGTTCAATTTCATCATGTCGTATAGTCGATTGGCGCCGCCATCGGCACAAATAATATAAGATGCTAAGAGAGTGTTAGCATATCTTATATCAACCGATTGATGGTCCTATACATCCCGTGTAACTACTCACCATAGTGGCTTAATACTCCGAATGCGTTCTCGTTGATAGGCTGATTGAGGATGAGCAGAGCGTACGGAGACGGACTCCCTGACACACGAAAGAAGCGACTAGGATCCCACTCCATTGAAAGAGAAGTGTCAGGTCGGCTCTAAAAGACGAGGAAGGTGTTCGTGTGAGAGTCCGAAGTGACGATATAATTATCAGCCGGTGGAACGTGACTGGCTGACCGAGCACGATCCTCAGGCCGAAATCCACATCCAACTTCTCCCGCGCCTCGACTTCCCCGAATCCCCTCAACACCTTCTTGGAGGACCCTCTCGATTCTCACACAATGTTCCGTCCCGCCGCTCGAGCGCTCGCCCGCGCGCCTGCTGTCACATCCCGTACCCCGGCGACCAGCCGATTCATAAGCACCGGTCCGACCAAGTCGAGAAGCTGGAAGAACACCGTCGTCCGGCTCGGTTTGGCTGGTGGTGCTATCTACTACTATAACACGAGCAGTGTCTTCTCCGAGGAGCCGAAGTGTATGTCTCGCCGATTGGGTTGCCCTTGTTTCTCGATGAGGATTACAAACCGCGACAATTCTGTCAACGCCAATGGTATTTCCGGATGACCAATCGTCGCTAACTCTTCTATCATCGCGCTCTAGTCTCTCTCCTCTCTTCCAAAAAGCAAAATGGCGATGATGCCAGCTCCCAGACTCTCGACTCCATTACTCCTAGGATCCGCCAAGAACGCGCCGCCGCGCAAGCTTCCGAGCCCGCCGTTCTGGAAGGTGGTTTGAACGCCCAGGAGCTTCAGGAAGAGGCTGGTCAGGAGGCCGCATTCAACCCCGAGACTGGCGAGATCAACTGGGACTGCCCGTGCCTCGGTGGCATGGCCCACGGTCCATGCGGAGAGGACTTCAAGGCTGCGTTCAGCTGCTTCGTCTACTCCGAGGAGGAGCCCAAGGGCATTGACTGCATTGAGAAGTTCAAGTATGTTGTGCCAGGATATTCGAGGGGATGGTGCATTTACTAACCGTCTTCCAGGGCCATGCAAGATTGCTTCCGCAAATACCCCGAGGTCTACGGTGCCGAGCTGGAAGACGACGACGAGCCCCAGGGCGACGCCCCCGCTCCTTCCGAACAGACCTCCACCGCCGCCGAGGTTGACGCCGCCTCTCACCCCGACGAGAAGCAGACCCGCGCCAAGGACATCAACGCCCAGGTGAAGGCCGAGACTGCTGCCCAAGGCGAGAAGGCCGAGGGCGACTCCCTTGTTCCCAAGGCTGCATTCGATGCCGAGGACAAGAACCAGTCCAGCAAGGCTTAGAGCTGAACTCTCCTTGGAACCCTGCATATTGTTTGACGCCACCCTCTCCCGAGACAATCTACCTGTCTCATTTCTGTAATGCACATCAGGGACAGGGATTGGAGTTTTGTATTATATAGACCCTTCTGCCATCTCTCCATATCCCGTTTTGATCCGCTGATGCATTCATCCCTCTGATCTTTCAGCATATCCATTCCCCGATCTGCGCCCCCATTTGTTCCTGATATTTCCTCTCTGTCAATGTGTAACTATGTGTACTGGTATGCTTCACGCTGTTGTCCGCTGGACAAACAAAAGAACGAGGGGAAATAGAATAGACTTGTTGCATTATGACCCTACTCCGTACTTATTTTGGCATATCTCATTTAAAGAAAGTAATGTTGTTGCCATGCGATAGTATCACTCAACACCAAACACAAGGCTCGACAGATCAAAGCAGTACTATATACAGTCTTTTCTTCGAATACCCAACCGTATTACACTGTTGACATTATATAGAGTCACGGTTCCTGTTGAGCCTCATACCCATGGGTCATGAAAGCTTAACCAGCACAGAAAGAGTCACGAGCCCTGACATCTCCAAATCTACATCTTTCCCCAACGACCACAAACCCTGCAATTCGCATTGATGGATACGTCACATTTTACTTATAGCGGTATCGATCTCGAGACAGAATAACCCGGGTATCAAAAAGACATAACAGATCTTTGGCAGTGAATATCATATCATACCGGCGACATGAAACTCGCAATGGCAATGATCTCAAATGAAATTCGTATTCAAAGAAAGCAATATGATGTTCCTACTCAAACAGAGGACCCAACAGCCGTTTCGACAGATAAAGCATTACTATATTCAACCTTTTGATCGCGATGAAAGGGCATTGAGCCACCACAGCATGTACAGCTGTCCACCAGCGATACAACAAATCCAAACAAACGCCTCCAATCCAAACTTAAAGAACGCAAGACCAACAATCCATCCATTATAGTTCCGGACGCTTCGGGACACCATTAGTCCCTTCACTCTCAAGCGTGTACTCAGTCGTAACCCGAATAGCCATATCCCGCTGCCCAGCCTGTCCAACGGGGCCAGCAGCAGGCGAAGCAACCCGTTCACCCTCAAGGATATACTCCTGACTGCCATCACGACTATCCTTAGTCGTATGCAAAACACTATCCAACTCAAAGTTCCCACCCTTCCTTGGCCGAGACGTAACGAAAGTCTTCGTCTTCCCGGACGCTTTTGACCCAAACGCATTATACCCATCGCTTTTGTAGTATGGGGAATTGGAGTTCTTGCGGTTTGTCGAGCCCAGCCAGCGTGAGTTGCGGAAGAGCGGCTTGATGCCGGGCAGGGACACGACGATTGCGGCGACGAAGCATTCGCGATCAGCCCAGCCAAGGGCTATTGGGAGGTTTGTTATTGAGCTGAGAGAGTAGTAGGCTCGGAGGATTGTGCAGATCATGATGAATATTCCCGATGAGAACATTATCACCAGGATTAGTTTGCGTTGGAGGGGAACTTGGAGTTTCGTCAGGATTGGGATTGGGATTAGGATGATGCAGAGGTCCGATCTGGTGTTTTGTCAGAGCTTTTGTGTAATAGACTGGGTCTGGGTTGAGAGAGCTTACAGAACGTTGAAGACGGCGATCACAATGTATAGTGGGCCTCTGAGAGTGCAGTTGTCTGTAGTTTCAGTAAGCTTTGGGTGTCTCTCTAGGAGATGGAAGACTGGTCAGACTTACCTCCGGGGTAGGGCTTGATTTGCCAGTTCCGTGTGACTGGCGTGCAGATACAGATGTGTGTCAATAGACACGCGAGCCAGGTAACTCCACAGAATCCTGCTGCGGCTGTGACAAGATGACGGTGCCAGGTTCCTTGTCTGTCATATGTGAGATGTGGATATAGACCGTCTTAGTTGGGGATTGACATACGTGAGTTTCCAGTAGAGACATAGAAGAACGCCTTTCAGACTCCAGATATAGCAAACATACCATATCCAGTTCATGAAAGCTAACTTGGATCCGAGAATCATGCTGTCGAGTTTGCTATGTGGAACTAGCATGGCTGTTTTGTCATTTAATCCGATGTTATTGCCAAATAGTTCTGGTTAAATGTCAGTATTTGCAGACATCACGAAGCCTTTCTCTGTTCATACCTAATAGGTATATGTTGACGGTCTGCATAGTCCAAAAGATCTGTTGAAATGGTGTCAGAACAAAATCAGTACTCACAGCCAGAGGAAATCCACTTACCATTCCAGCAACTGCAAAAGCATCATCAAGTCGGAGTCCACGAATTCCTCCCATTTCTATCCTGGCATATAGGCGGACAGCCAGAAAGACCATTCCGATGCCATATTCGGTGAAAGTCTCTATAGTCAATGCATCGGCCGACATGGTTGCTGTTCAGAACAACAACTATACCAATGGATCAAAAAAGGATCCCTTTTGCCGAGATGAAGACCAAGAATGAATGGAAAGAGAAGAGGGAGTGATATTAGTATCAATTAGGGCGCCACAGTCAGCGGGATCGCCGTAATCAATATATCAGTTTGGGCAACTCGGGGCCTTAATCACACTGCGTTCACTCCAATCTACTCCATAGACGTGTAGTAGCTCAGGAGATACGTTCCGTGTGAAGGATCGAGTTTGTCTCCATCCACATCCCTGGCCCGAGGAACTGGGAACTGGGAACTGGTAACTGGAGAGACAAGGCTCTGCTGGATGTGAACAATGTACCTTTGCTGCAGCGAAGACTGGCCCCTCCTATTTTACTAGTTTGTGGTCTACGTCGGGGCCAAAATCGCAGAATCTCTGCTTGGCGCATTACCCTTCACTAGTGTGCATAACGGCCTGTCAAGTGCACTGCATGTGGCAAGAGTCTAATGACGGCAGGATTCGACTAGCTGTGCCTGTCCGGGATGAAGATTCCAAATCGTGGGTCTCCTAATTCGAGAAGCGATAGGCCTGTTTCAGGCGGAAATTTGCAGGTTGATCACGCATCTGTCCGACTCGAAGATGGACAATGCTGTGGAGACTCTGTTGCAGGTAGATGGCCACTAACGGCTTCCAGGATATCGCCGTCTGAAGAGTCGATACATGGGGTGGTTGATATGTAGTCCACGCGGCTCTCGGCCGTTTTCTGTCTACTGCTGTACATGTATGAGAAAGCAGCACAAACACATCTATCACGTTGACAAAAATGGCCCAAGTTGCTTTGATTACCGGAGGAGGTAGGTCACCCTTAAAATTTTATGAGCATAACTACTGAAATCTCATGATATAGCGAGTGGAATGGGCTTAGCAGTAGCAAAAGCCCTATCTGCTTGCAACGACTGGCACATCCACATTCTAGACATCAACGAAGAGCGCGGAACTCAGACAGCAAAGGAAGTGCCGAGAACAACATTCCACTACGCGAATGTGACCAAATACAGCGATCTTGCAGCAGCGTTTCAAGCAGCCTTCTTGGAGAGTGGTAGTCTGGACTTTGTATTCGCCAACGCCGGTGTCATCGAGCGAAACAACTTCTACGCCACACACTCGGAGACTGGCAAGGATGTATCCCCACCACCAGAGCCAGACCTGCTCTCAATCGATGCTGATTTGAAGGGTGTCGTCCTGACCTCTTACCTGGCTCAGCACTATTTCCGACATTCGCCCCATGGCGGCAAGGGTTCTAGCCTGGTGATGACCGCTAGCTGTGGTGGTCTATATCCGTCCTTTTATTCACCCTTGTACTCTGCAGCTAAATGTGAGTCTCTTGTTCCCTGTTCCTGGTATCTCACATTATCATATGATGATGTTCTTGTCGATGTGATCTATCAACTGTTATATCATATCATCATCCAACCCTACGATACTCCAGTGTACCTCACAGTCTAAACTGACACCCTCTCCTATTTGAGTTGGCGTCATCGGTTTCATGCGCTCTATCTCCCAGCACTTCGCAGCAGGTGGAACCCGAGTCAACGCCATCTGCCCGGGAATCGTCCGAACCAACCTCGTCGACTCAACTGGCTGGGATAGCTTCCCACCCGAGCGGTTCATCGAAGTGGAAACGATCGCCCGTGTAGTCCTCCAGCTCGTGGATGGCGGCGAACCCGCGAGCCAGGGGTTGACTGATTCTTGGGGCTCGCATCTGCCCCTTTCCAGGTTGTATGGAGTTGCAGTGGAGATGTCGGATAGCGGAGTGTACTTCCGTGATCAGCATACATTCTGCGATGATGGGATGCGGGCGGTCATGGCGGCAACAGATGTCGAGAACCAGTTGGGTGCTATTCTGAATGGTGATTAGATGGGCGTTGCTTGCGGGATTTGGTCGGGATTCGCGTGGCCCCGGGGGCCATGTGTACTTAGTCAACTATAACATTAGCTCTGTCTCCTTCTGTATTGGGTGCTTGGCAGTCTTGTTTTTGTACTGGTGGCATGATAGTCTACTAATATGCCATACCCCATAGGCACCCAGATAGCAACTAGGACACCGACCGACAGGAATGGGATGCCGGTCACCTTCCTTGGTCTGTTATTCAAAGGACTAATTCGGCCCCCAATATGCCGCTGCGTAGATTTAGGCTATGCTCCACCTGTAAGCCAAAGGCGTTTAACCGAGCTGACACCGGCACCGAGGTCCTTGCAGGGTAATCTGCAGGCTGTACAGGGAAACAAAGATACAACAGGTACAATCACATGGATCAAGTGGCCCAAACGCAACGCAATGTCCAACTTGATATCTCAGGGATCGATCGATCGCATACGTTCTACGGTTGACAGAAGGCATGGCACACGGGCCGTACGGGATGAGCGCCCCTCCCTTGTGGAGCAAAGCTTGGACGGAGTCCACAACAATATACGAAGTGAAGTCTCCTCGAGATAGGGTGAAACAGGTGGAGACTGCACGAGCGGCAAAAAACGCGACATATGATATGATAGACGAGAGCTCACATTTTTACAAACATGAGACCCACACGGAATAGAAGCCTATTGCCGGAGAAGAGTGATATTGGCGAATACAGTAAGATTATTTGATTGAACGACGATCCTCGGTGGAGACTGGCGTACTTTTGACAGCTAGTGAGTTAGGGTAACGGTAGTCTCGGGCCAGACATCGCTCTTCCCCCGTCTTATGGGATTGCCTCCGCGAGTTTGGAATCTTCGCCGTGCATCATGCGGAACAAAGGCTCCCAGACTGTTATGGCCCGCTGGGTGATGTGGCCATTTCCAGGCTTGGGCATTGGGTAGTAGATCAGTTTCTCGGCTGAGCACTCTAATAGTTCACCTGCCATGCCGGTTGAGTCTTCTAAAAAGGTGTCGTAGGCGTCGAGAATGGTCTGCACAGGGGTGAGACTAAAAGGTTGGTGTCAGTACTCTTCACTCCCTCCTTTGTGGTGCGCTTTGACGTGCACAGAACTTACCATTCAGGAGTAACAGCTGCAATCATCTCAGGCGGCACAATAGGTGTGTTCACGATCCCCGGCATGACACAGTTAATGAGAATGTCCTCTTTCTGCTTTAACAAAGGCGCAACACCACGGATGAAATGGTTGACGGAAGCCTTGGTACCGCAGTATACCGGATAGGACTTGTGAGGGAAAACGCCGCCGATGCTTCCTGTTACAACAATGCGACCTCCAGGCTGCGGATTATGGCGCATGAAGTGGATTGCCAATTGTGTTCCATACACGACGCCCTTGTAATTGATATCAACAACTGAAAGGTCGGGGGGTGCTGGTATGTCATAGACATCACTCTTCTTCGAGTCGTAAATATAGATGGAGGAAGTGTCGACAATGCCGGCGTTGGCGCACAGCGCATCAATGTGCCCCCAAAGCTGATACACGGCGCGAAACACCTCTGCAAGCTCTGCATAGTTTGAGACATCTGCGGGATAGAAGCGGGCTCTTTCTTGAGGGAGATCCTTGAGGAGGGCCTCGCCGGCCTCTCGGCGTCTGCTGACACAGGCGACTCTCCATCCTTTTTTGCAGAGGTCTGTGACGAGGTCAATTCCCATGCCAGACTGTGGTGTTCGAATTAGTGATTGCTAGTGAATCGTGCATATGCATTGTACTGACAGTGGCACCGGTGACGATTGCAACGCGGGTTTCTATGTACGAGCCCATTGTGCAAGTTTCGGAGAGTTGGTGGTGTTTGATAGTGGAATTGACTTGAAACTTGAAGAACATCAGACAAGAGTATTACCGGATCATCGGATGCTCGCGACTCAACTATCTAGCCGAGGGGCTCGAATCCTGAATCATAATCCAGTCATTCTAGTCATTCTAGTCATTCTAGTCATTCTAGTCGTTCTAGTGCAAGCCGATCCCTGAACACGGCCGGTCGTTACTTAAATCGGAACTAGTCTAACGCCTCTCAGTTCCCGTCTGAAGTGAAATGAAGTGGGACGTTCCTCACATTGCTTATTGGCCAAAGTCAAGTAAACCCTAGCTCAGGCCATCGTATCATAGCTCATGGTGTTGCCAGGGGGTGTCTGCCATGTGTTTCCTAGTGTATTGAAAGACCCATCTAGCCGATAGAAGCTTATTGTGGAAGCCGTTTAAGAGCGATTTCTTCTCTTCCCCTCCTTCTCGTTGGCTATTTCCTTGTTCAACTTCACGATGGCTGTCGACATAGAAAAGGACCCAGTGCAGGAAACCGGCTCTGCGAAGGATGCGCCTAGCTCTCCTTCTACTGTTGCCAATGACAATGGTCCTGTACCGGCGGAGCCGGTCGTTACCTTGAAGACATGGATTGTCTCTTCGGTAAGGGTCTTTGGTCAGCTATCTAGACGTTAGGCTGATTGGTTGTTGTCATTAGATTCTCTCTTGTGGCTATGGTCTTTCATTCTGGCCTGTCCCCGTCGTGTCTGCAATTGGAACCATGGTCTCTGCGGATATGGGTGACCCGACTGGGTACATCTGGTTTGTTCCTGTGCGCAGACCCCAAGCAATTCAATGGAACCAAGACTGATGCAATCTTAGGCATGGACTATTTCGATCACCTGTGCTTTCTTGATCTTGTGAGACCTAGTCTAATGCCTCTGATGATTCAATACTCATGATAGTTAACAGTGGCCCGAACACTGATCTCCTGGGTCGACGATGGTTCTTGGTTCTGGGCAACTTGGTAAGGTCCAACTTTATACAAAGAAGAATGCATTCTCACCGGTCTAGGTATGCTTCGTCGGTCACATCGTAGTAGCATCAGCCAAAACCACAAACCAAATCATTGCAGGGCTTGTTATCTCCGGTTTTGGCGGTGCAAACTGTCAGGTAAGCAATATCCCAATATCCAAGTCTCTGATCGCAGCTAACAACAGTCCAGATGGCAGCATTCGCCTTACCAGAACTCCTCCCAAACAAATGGAGACACATCGGCGTCGTGATAGCTGATTTCACAGTCTACATCGCCGTCATCGTAGCGCCAGTAACAGCAAGATACGGCTACGAAATGGGTAATTGGGCCTGGAACTTCTGGGGCGTGGCTATCTTCCAAGGTCTATCCTTCTTTGGTCTTCTATTCCTCTACCACCCACCAAAGCACCCGTAAGCCAACCATTCCCAGAGATCCAACAGGCCAAGATCTATTCAAACTAACACCCAATGCAGCCTCGGAATCCTCTACAAAGAAGCCTTCAAAAACCTCGACTACCTTGGCGCCTTCCTCTTCATCGGCGGCGCAGTCCCCTTCCTCATGGGCATCGTCTGGGCAGGTGTCTACGACTCAAACGACGCACACGTCGTGGCACCACTAGTAGTCGGCGCATTCGTCCTAATCTGCTTTGCCCTATGGGAAAGTTTCGCCAAGCTCAAATACCCACTGACGCCAACTTACGTCTTCTCCAGCTCTTGGGGCCGGGATTTCACAGCCCCAGTCATTGCACTGGGCGTTGTCAACATGTTCTACTATTCGTCTAGTATTCTCTGGCCACAGATGATAACGGTCTTTTACACGAACGGCGGCGCGGACTGGAAGTATTCCGTCATTCTGTCTTTGCCGCAAGGTTTTGCTATTACCTTCGGTGCGATCTTGCTTACCCTTTTCGGTAGCAAGTTGAGACATTGGCAGTGGCAGCTTACCGGGTCTGTTTTCGTGATGGTTGTGTTTGGATCATTGCTTGGTATTGTCACGCCTACTAATAAGGGGACTATGATTGCGTTCATTTTCCTCTCGCAGGCTGGTTTTGGTTGGGGGATTTATTTGAGTATTGCTATTACGCAGATGGGTGTTGAGCATAAGAATTTGGGTGTCAGTGGTGGGATTTCGGGTTGTATTCGGTTTGCTGCTGGTGCTGGTATGTTTTCTCTCGTTCTTCGTGGAGGTTTTGTCTTTGGTTGTGGTTTTTCATACTGACTTTACTTGTCCCAGTTGCAACTTCTATCTATCAGACTGTCTACAACAACACCCTCAGCAAGTATACTGCCATTTACGTTCCCTCTGCTGCCATTTCTGCCGGTCTCCCGGAGTCAAAGGTCACAGATCTGATGGCTGCAGTGGCTCAAGGTGCTTCTGCGTTGAAGTCTTATAATCCTGCTGTGGCAGCTGCTGCAGAGGCAGCCCTCAGTCAAGCCTACTGCAAGGCTATCTTGTAAGTACACGATCTCCTATGACATAAGGCGAGCCTCATTTTCTAACTATATCTCCTAGCGTCGTTGCCATGGTCTCAATGGCCTTTGGTATCTTGGGTCTTGGAGCTTGTCTGTGCTGCAAGGACGTCGATTCGAAGATGACCAACAAGGTGAGATATGCTGTTCTTTAATTTGGGTTGTTCTCTTTGCTAATTCTTGTTCTCTCTAGATCGAGGTCTACCTCGAGAACACGGATCTCTCGGACCGGAACAAGTTCCACTAGATTATACAGTACTGCTAGAATTCTGTAGCAGACTCATCTCGAGTTCCGTGCGTTTCTTTTCAATCCAGGTGAACGAAGCAAGCAACAAGAATGCGAATGCTTGCTAGCATGTACCTGGGCACAAGAGATAGACCACCTGAGAACAGAAGCAGTTTATAGAGACATCTGCATACAAAATTACATACCGGCCTCGGCCTGATGAATTCAGAATCATACTCTCTCTCTCGTTTACAAGACCATTCTACAAGATTCACATCGTCAAAACAAGGGCAGTCAAATTGGAGTATATCCTCTGCTACTAAGTGATAGAGATTCTGTTTAACGCAGGGTGGAATGGTCTATCGCATACATAGCAGAACTGATTTCCTGTTTCCATGACAGGTCAAATCCCCTTCTTCCAACCATCGACCATCAAATTCCAGCTCTATGATCCGAATCAACTGTACCTACCATCTTTCAAGAATCCCATCATCCCTGATAGGGGATTCATTGTCTTTATCGTGAAGATGGCCATTCGGGAAATCTGTAGGAAGGAATGTATGGGAAACTAGACTCGATCCAGCGTGGGTCGTTGCAACGGAGCTGGGTAATCGATAGCCATGGGAGTGTATGCAAGTAGTCTCGATGAGAATCGCGACATAACATTGTCGTCCTCGCAGAGCCACATATCCCAATGATTCAATGCTCAACTCGAGCCAAATTCACACCAGCTATCAACGGCCGTCGGTTGCAACACTGGCACAAACACAGACACTGGGACTGCCGTGTCAAAATGATGAAATACATCCGATTGCAGTCCAGGCATGGTATGGCATGTGGCATGATCAACAAACCTGTTTGAGCCTTGTGGACAAATAGACCTCGGTCCAGACAGTGGCTGTATTCATCACCAGTTGACATCGCTGAGCTGGAGTTTGCGAGAACGGAATGCAGAGCGGTTGGCGCCGGCCTTGTCCATTCGCTGGCCGGTCGGGGTGCGCTTTTCCTGGGTTGCTTCTGCGGGCTCAGGTTCATTTGAGGCCTCGTAGTTCAGGACTAGGTTCTTGATGCGTTGTTGCTCTTCGCGGTCTGCTTGTTGTTGGCTTCGCATGGCGATGGCGAAGGTCGAGTCTGACGGGAGGTCGATGGTTCGGGTCTTGATATTGTTAGTTTCTATACACGCTATTTGGCGAGGCTGGATGGTTACTTACCTGTTGTTTATTGCCCTTCTTGGTCATCAGTGAGAATGCCATTGTCTTCGGTGCGACTGGGACAGCCGGGACAGGCTCGGGACTCGAATCGCTAGGCATGTTCTCGCGGGGAGGCCGTTTCATAGGCAGGGGAATATCGAAAACGGTCTTGCGTTCGAACCGTCTGGAATCCATACTCTCGGCCATCATCTTCTCAAACTCGCGATCGAATTCAGCCTCAGTAGCAGGGTCCCGCTCCTCCTCTTGTCGGGTGACAATGATCTGCTCATCCTCGGATTCGCTTTCACTATCGTCATTTGCCTCCTGGTTAGGTCCGGAGGCCTGGGGTTTGTTAGAAACTTGGGGTCCTTGAGAGTGAGCAGGGGGTGTGCTCACTTCTGCTTCATCACTAGATTCCTGCTCTTCATCAATGTCAGGGATTGCATCTTCCTCGAAACCCTCATCTGACGAACTGCTCTCCGCGTCTTCTTCCTCAACTTCTCCTTCCACCGGTCTCTCCGAATCCTGCAATTTGTAATTCTGAGCAACAGCCTCGCTGAAAATTCTTGTCGCTTCTTCTGCCTCTGTGGCAAGCTTCCACTGTGGGCGGATAGAAGAGAACGTATCCTGGACAAGGAAGTCCACATCCATGGGCAAGGGGTCCTTGGTGAACAGGTAGTACTGGAAGAACGACAGGAAGAAGTCGAGTTTCTTCTTAGCCGAGCCACGATCAAAGCAGTGACCACATGTATCGAGAAGAGTGCATGCCAAGCGCAGACGGAAATAGTCGTCAGGCAGGTCGAGCATGGTGATTCTTCCAGGAACTGGGGTACCACCTTCATGACCAAAGGTGATGATACGGTACAGCGTATCAAAAATGACTGGTGAATCAATCATCTTGTAGTTGTAGAGCTCACCCAGGTACTTGACTTCCGCAATGCGCTTCTGATTGAACTTGAAGTCGTTCTGCTCGAGGCCAAGTGTGATTTGCTCCAGGATATTGTCGACGATTCCGATCACAAAGTCCTGGTGGTACCGGTACAAAGCACTGATGAGAATCGCCAGAAGGTGGATGCTGCCGTATTTGACCTTGACTGGTTTGCTGAACACGCGTTCCAAGATTTCAACAACCTCCTGCTCCTCCCAGTGAAGTTTGCGAATGGACTTCAAAATCTTGGTGTAGTTGCGCTTGTTCATGTCCAAGTAGATCAATCGGCGGATGTACTGCTCCATGGGGGTGCGTTCCTTCTGCTGGATGGCAGGGCGTGGTGGGGGATCCACGTAGTAGATGGCGTTCTCGATGACCATACGCTCCTGTTGGGCCAGGTGTTGGACGGCCTTCTTGCGGCTCAGAGTCTCAAGGAAGGATGCCATTCGGGGTGATGTGTCCGGGTTGCGCAGCAAGTAACGGCCGCAGTTTTCCAGTAGGTTTCCGATGATCTCAATGTTCATGCGTGAGAAGTCGTCAAGCGAAACCTTGAAACAATGGAAGATAATATGCTCTGGGACCACGCCGAACTTTGTGAGTTCAGCTAGGTAGCGCACATTGCCCATGCGTACTTGGCCAAGGAACTCCTTCGCTTTGCGGCGCTGCAAACTTCTGAACTCCTCGTCGAGGTAGGTGGTGATTCCTTGCGGGATATCTGGAAGGTACTGTCCAAGGGTTGCAACTAGGCGAGAGTACAGCGGCAAAAGATCAACGCGGCCCTTGGGAATGTCCGACACAGCTTTGACCAGTCTGTTGCGTGATGCCTTCGAGTTGACCCAGCAGAAATCCAGAGCGAATTGGTCGACTTGATCCTTGGTCTGCAGCTCCGAAAGCTTGGCCAAGAGAGAATCCACCTGAGCGCCCACCGTCTTACTCGCGATTGCAGTCGATTGATCATCCGCCTCAGCGGCGGACTTCTCATTCGCAGCCTCTATCGAGTCATTAGTATCACCCTCAGTCTTCTTTCCACTCTCTTCTTCACTCTTCTTTTTCTTGCCATCTTCCAACAACACCGCCGGCACCTTCCCCTTCAGGTCGACAAGATTCTCGTAAAAGCGTCTCTCTTCTTCGTCTTCCCAAATTCCAGCACCTTCACCCTGGCCGCGCAGGTAGTCAGCGGCCTTAACAAGGCCAATCCCACCGCTGGTCGAAGCGTCGGTGGTCTCTTTTTCAGCAAGATCGGGCATCTCGGTCCCCAGAGCCTCACACAGCACCTGGGTGTTGGCCACAAGCTTCTCCAGCGATTTGGTCTGCTTTTCGAAGTTGGATTGACGGTCCTCAAAGATTTCGCCGCTCTTCACGTATGCTTCAGCGTTGCGACGGTTTTGCGCTGCCAGTGCTCTCTGATCCCGAACCACATGCGCCTTCACATCGTCAAGATACCGGTTCAAGATATTCCGGAATCGCTGCTGGGTCTTCTCGGGGGTCAACGGCAGGTCGGCTTCGGTATTCGATTCGCCGTTGTTCTCGGCATGCGCATCACTGGAAGTAGTAGCACCATCCGCCTCGACAGTCTTCCTTCCATCTTCGGCGAGCTTCGAACCGACAATATCCCAGCTGAAACTCTTCACGAAGAGCACAGCGAGCGGCAGATTCGTATGGTCGCGGTCATGTCCGAGCAATTCCTTCAGAACCTCCAACGGGAACGGCTCAGCCTGCTTGTCCTGATCCTTCGTTCCAGCCGCGGGCGATTTAACTTTGAGAGGTGCGTCCGATGTCTTGCCACCAATGCCGACGACACCATCCTTGCCCTTCGCGCCCAGATCCTCAGGCCGCTCAACGTCATCCAGAGTCTTGAGAACATTGACCAGCCAAAGCTCGGTGATGACCCTGAGAAGGATGCGATGGCGAGATAAGCGGTCCTTCTCTTCCCGTTCGCGAATCTCCTGCGTCAAAGCCTTCAACTGCGCCTTGTCCGGTGTGCTCAGACCGCGGCCAAGCAGCCAACCAATCTGTCGCGTAAACTCCCATGGTCCGAAGCGCTGGTGTAGCGCGCTGACAACTTCAACCCCTGCGGCGATTTCTCCCGGCGATTTGAGTTTGCACAGTCCTTCATAGCAGGCGGAGATGATCTCGGAGAGGTACTTATGGAGCGACAGGGTGCGGATGTCAGCGAGGAAAGTGGACAGGGCGGAGGCACTGATTCCGGTGCGAAGCCGTTTAATGAAGGCGGTGTTCTTTTTCAGCGCTGAGTCGAGGGATTTGCTCGTGGTGAATATATCTGTGTTGGTGTTAATCTCTGTATCACATTGGTCATGGGGAGGGACTGCGAGGAAGTCCCAGTTCCATCGTCACCACCATGACTAGGGGAGGGGTGCTGTTCATACCGGATTCACCTGCCCAGGCTCGCTCATTTAAGTCGCGGAGCTCCCCTTTGAGGATATGTTAGTCTTTGTAGGGTGAGTCTTGGGTCTGAAATCTGTACTTTTCCGCTGGCGATCCATCTTCTGTGTGTCCACAGGTTCAATCGTGGGGTCCTTTCTGAACGTCCGAAAGGAATGCGCTTAGGTGACTGAAACGCCACATTGGGGAATGAAGAATGCAGAGAGGAGAATAGCAAGAGCTTAAGAAAGCTGAAAGCTGAAAGTTGAAAGCCGAAAGCTGGAGAAGGCCGAGTTCCCAAGGCGGTGCGGAGGTTGGACTTTTTGCTTATCCGATAACGTTACTTCATCTTTGATAGTCAGAGAGTATACATCTATACGGATATGCGAAGCTATAAAGAGTATATATTCATTCTGTTACTTTTTACTTCAATCTCACTCCTAGATATAACCAGACGATCTCAACCTCGATATCATATCAATCCCAATTCCAATCCCAATTCCACCCCCACTTCCACACCAAAGACCGATCCCAGAACTAAGCAAAAGCACCAGTATCCATGCCAGATCCAAAGACCACCTTAATACCCACTATGAGCCTCCGTAAACCCCATCTCCTTTCCCTGCTCGGACCCGAGCAACCGTTCTTGTAGCTGATGCTTCTGATCCTGGCTACTCCAGCTCTGGCGACGATTAAACGTAGGCTTCCATTCGTCCCGGGTGGCATTAATGGACTCGATTTTCTCAGTGGAGTCAAGGTCTCGAGATTTAGGGAGTATGATAGTTGCCTCCCTGTGCATCTCTTCAAAGGGTTTGTGTTCTTCGTTGGGGGGCATTGTGGTAGATGGTGTATATCGCAGATCGTAGACCGAATATAGTAGATACGATGTGAGATAATATGTAAAACGGAAGGTTTAGCCCGTCGATTGTTGTAACTTCAATGCGAGAAAGATATCAGCTGGATTGAACCGAGGAAACACCTTCATGCAGCTTGGTTCATACCCTCTTATATACTTCGTGGTGAGGGGTATGTAAAGTCAAACTGAGTGGCGTGGAATCCGAGATCCCGGAAGATATTGCAGTGGAACGTGCGAAAGGGCCTCGCACAAGGTAATTGAGAGGAATATTTCCTCTGCGATCGAATGATGTTCGTTGGGATGGGGATATACGGTATGACGTGTGGTGGCGATGGAATCATTTTGTCCCGACAAATTGAGATGCTGTGATTGAGTTTGTGTGGAAAGGTTGTTGATTCATTCTTTAATTTATGACAACATTGATAAATTTTCAATTGTTGTACTTGTGCTCGCGCTGACATGGTGACCTGACTAACGGTGATGGGATGATGACGGTTACAATGATGGTGATGATAACGGTGTGAACCCTGCGGTGAGAATCTGTTGTATTACCTCCTTGGTGGTTGCTACAGAGCTCATGTCTATCATGCGAATATCACATTGTACTGAGTACATGCATGTACCAACTTTGCATGATATGATTGGGTGGCAGGACATCCACTACTACCGCACGCTCTCCTACATTCAAAGACCATATTGCAATAGTAACACACTAAATTTGACGAGCTAGCATACAGGTCATGATTGCGTTCAACCATCGAAAAGCAGACCCAGGAAAAGGCAAAAACCGACGAGGCAAAAGGCAGAGGGTAAGGTACAAGTATAGTCCGCAAGGTACGCGTGACATGAGAGTGGACTGTCTAGGTAATAGACTGACACACAAGTGAAGCTGGCAAATAGGTTTTCTTTTCAAAGAAAAAGACAAGTGCAACACGCAATGAGAGCTGTTAGCAAGAGAGAACCCTGCAAAGCAAACAAAGCAGTTGACTTCAAAAAGCATCATGGGAAACCAATTTTGGCTCTATAAGGCCCACCAGAAACCAAGCCGATATACAGGCGCTTTTGGGACACCACATATCGTACAAGACAAGTCGATATTGAGAAAAACAAGGAGAAATACCCCCAGAAAGCAGAGCAGAAAGAGAAAGGAACAAGAATAATCAATTAAAATCAGGGTATGCCTCACGCCACGCTATGCGAACAACACCCTGGTCAAGTAGACCAGGGGCGACAAAGAATCACTGCAAATATGTACTGAGAAAGCCCATCCTATGACGGAAAGACATGGGACTTTTGGTCAATGATTCATTTGGGCTTGCGCCAGAAGTATTGCTGATAGGGTGTTAGTCAGGTCCATAATTGCAAACATCCATGAAGGAACATGGATACTAACCTTGTGCTGCTTCCGACAGTTACGCAGCCCAGGCTTGCGAAGATCATTGACCACAGCAGACCGTCTCATCACGTCGTCATCCTCATCGGGGATGTAATAGTATTCACTCTCGAGGGGCTTGCCAGCGGCATCCTTTCCTTCACGGGCAACTCTTCCAATGAACTTGGTTGTTTCCAGGACGGTACGAATCTCAGACTTCGAGGGTCCTGAGATGTTCGCATGGCTGGATCGCCAGTACGCAGGGGGGAGGTTGTTCAGGATAGTAGAGAAGGGTGTCGACGAGAGACGGGAGAAGGCCAATTGGTTGGCAGCATGGTTGCGGACTCTCTCGAACCGTTCATCGTTGTACTGGGGTTTGGCCTCGGGGGTATCGTGTTCCTGATCCTCATGGGCTTTGGCAGGCTGTCTGGGAGACCGGGTAGGCTGGAGGGGCTGGGCTGGCAGCAAGCTGCGTGGGGAGCGAGCAGTCCGAACTGGTGAATCACCTGCACGGAAAGACGCCATACGGGGAAGAAGATTCTCGCCAAATGGACCAAAGGAGTGGACAATAGGGTCGTTCTCCTCGTCGTTGTCGGAGAATTCCTCGGATCTACTGTGGTCACTGAACTCGCTCGCATGAGAGGTGTTGAGCATAGCAGTGGCACGACGGGCGCTCTGGGAGGTCACACCAGTAACAGTGTTGTTACGTTTCAATGGGGATGGCTCATCCTCGAAGACAACAACATCGACGCGAGACCGAGAAGGTGTGAAGATAGGCGAGGATGGGAGAATGGCATGCTTGACAGCAGGCGACGGGGACACAGGTGAAGCCAGACGCTGACGTTCCAGTAGTGGACTTTCCTGAAGCTCACGTCGAGACTGACGTCTCTGTGTAGGTGTAGCTTCATCACTGGTCTGTTCAGAGTCAGTAGAAGGGCAGTCCCTCCGGTCACCGCGAGGCCATTGCACCAGCACGCGAGCATCGTGAACATCGATCATGATATCCGCATCTTTAATGTCCGACGTGAAGGTCTTTCCCTTGGCCAGGTCATATTTCCTCCCTTGGCAGTGGATCTTGATTCCATTCCATCCCATGCACACGATCTCAACCCTATCCCGATCGAACGGGTTCGGAGCAGGCTTGTATGTAGCCTTGACATGAACACGAGAGATCATGCGACTGGCAGCAAGCTGGTGGTGACATGAGACACTGGATCGACCCATCAAAATAGGCTCACCATTCTCCAACAGCATTATCGAGGGTACGGCAGACAGGGGAGCCCGTTCGAGGGCGGCGGAAAAAGACCGGGGCAACGAAGGACGGGAGGTAGCGACACCTGGAGGGGGAGACGACGACATAATATGAGTTGATGAGGTCGGAACTGGCGTGGGATAGGTCGAGACTTCGGGTTCGCGTGCTACACGTTTGTGAGGCCGAGGAAGGGAGGGCGATGAGCTCAAAGGCTCAAAGGCAGGCAGCAATGCTGCTGGACGTTTCATGCCAACAGCTTGAGCAGCAAGGCTACTCTTGAATGGAGAAGACTCCATGGTATTTAGTGGGACGAAGTCGTCACGAGCTCACACTCACGAAAAAAAACCCTGAGTCGAGGTCGAGGACCCGCGTCACCGCGTGTTGTATGAACAGAAAAGGCCTTGAGGGTGGTAGGAAGAGACGTAAAAGACGTCAGGGCCTCCCCTAAAGAACAGGGTGTGGGTGGGAGGAAAGGAATTGGTCAAGGAGTAAGGAGGAGAAGCATTGAAGAAAAAGGCAGGTGTGTGGTGGTGGAATGCCCTGGGGCGGAGCGTCTCGTCCCTGCGCGGAAATGCACGCTTACAGCCCGAGACGCGTTCGATAGGCGCCCCGGACACTCCACAATTTATTCGCGATTTTAATAAATTTATGTAGGTAATTGAGATATACATTTCTAATAAACTACAGACAAAAAACGTGAAATGGCGCGATTTGGAGGGTTGTTTTGCTGTAATTCAAGGTGTCAACTCTATACACTTCGAAATGACAAAGCGCGTCCGCGTCTCAAGTCACGTGTCGGTGACCTCACGCGAGTTTTGGTAGCTACGGTCACCGTCAGGAATGGTATTCTTCATAGCCAACATAGTTACCTCTGTTAAGTATGTATATCATTGATAAGAAGATATGATCATATCCCACCTGGGCAGCCCTTGTGTATAGATGGTCAGTCAGATCCTTCAGTACTAGTGCATCGACGTATTGAACAAAACCCAGACGACTATACAATTAGCACAGAACCACAGAACCCCACTGCTGTCACGAAATGGGCATCCGACCACCCAGTCGCGTTGCTCCCAGCCCCCAGTTAAGCTGATTCACTTCCCAGCCAACATAATTTGGTACGTGATTGGTCTGGAAGGTTCTCTTCTACAATTGCCAGAAATGAACATAAGCGGTTAGGAGCTGGTAATACGCTGGTTTTGGCGTTCATTTTTCAAGGTGGGGCCTCGGGTAGTTTTCATTTTTGATGTCATGTGTTTTGGTGCATTCAATCACTGTTTTCACGAGATTTGAAGCTCTTCAGTAGATTGCAAGAACCATAATCAGAGTGAAAAATCCCGGGGAAAAAAACAATGAAGATATTTCAGGGGTTTTTAGCACTTTTTTTGCATTATATATTTGGCAACATGGTCTGGGATGTGAATGTCAGCTTGTTCATGCCTGATATATATATAGAGATGACAACTTAAGACACCCCCGGTTTCCTCCAAAGTATCACCCAGCATAAACAATTAGGAATTGGAGATAAGGATAAATAGTATGACTATCGTTACCACTACTTGTATAATCAATGATATAACCATGCATTTTTATAGCTCTTATGTGGAGTCGTGCACTATATCACATCACTGTAGGTGATGGATCACAAACCATAGAATCAAGCGTTCGCCACCACCGGCAATAATTGGCTACTCCCTAACATGAGATGATCGTACATAATCCTTGTTTGAGGACATGTACTTCTAAAGGATCATAGTCGCTAGGTTCTATGTTGTATTCGAACTATACCAACGCTATTCTAGCCAGGGAGAAATTGGGTCGAACCTATGATAGAGGGGGTTTCATACCAGAATATGTGCCTACGTATGTGAAATAATCACCTTCGATGGACGCCAATGCCTAAACTTCGAGTCTTGCCTCTAGCCTTGTTGACGAGGCAAGAGAAAAAGTTGAAGGTATTTGCATTGGCGTCATTTATCAATGCTTGCGTGATATTCTGTACGAAAGGCTCGTATCCCTCTATCAAATTGATGCGGACAAAATATGGACAGACGCGGAGCTGAAAGCCCGTAGCGATCATTATATAGGCAGTGTATTGAGAGAGGTGGAGGGGAAGCAGGAGAGACCACGGGCCATCTTCCTGCCCGCTTTAGTCCTATATAGACAGGCGGTGAACATGACAATAAGAGATGTACACTACTCAGATGATCGAATACCTTGAGCTTCTGGCTAGGCCTTGAAACTTCTCTCCTCATATATGGGTATGATAGGTTTCTATCATGAAGTGATTATGTGGATATGGTTGACCATGCAGAACAGCCTTACGAGGTAAGAAGTCTGAGGAGCGAACTAGAAAACCATAACATTCGATTACCAGAGCAAGTAGTCGATCATTATGGGTCTCCAGTCCACTCCTCAAACCTTCCACCCCATAAGAGGTATGCCCCCATAGTCAACCATGTCGGATGAAAGACCATTATCCAGCGCATGAAAACAAGGAAATCAGATTGAAAACAGAACACACCGAAGAAAAACGCACATTCAGAGAAAGAACCGTAGATCTCGCCGAGACTAGGTCACCCTGACGTATGCTGGGTGCCAGCCGTGGAAGTCTAGTGGCTGGGTGACCGCACCACTGTTACAGAGCCAGCTGCAATGCCTAGTCCATCCAGTGTTAAGCAACCTCTTCACCGTCGCTGTCACAATCAACTTCACAGACGAATTCACCACACCACAACCCCCTGAACAGTGACAAAACCCAAAGGGAAGAAATAGAGCAAGAAGATCCAAAGCTAACGACCAAGCCGAAGACAAAGGAACGAAAGGATAGATTTAATCAAGACTGTTTGGTATCCGGAAGAGATACAGAAGAGAAAGAGAAAATCTAACCGTGACAATAAAACAAATATCGTTCCCGTAAAAAGTAATCGACCAGGGGAAAACATGGTCGTAAGAAATAGAAAAGGGTGGCAACAAGGATTGGATTTCGGTCCAGGTCACACATAAAACAAGATAGAACCTAAGATACACAGAAAGGAAAACACGACACTTCAAGTAAGTAACCATGGTATAGACAAGTGCACGTGTGGAAGGGAGATGAGAGCGTTCCTTCTTCTCGCCTTCGTGCCATTCGCTTTGGGGGCTTTCTGGAGACTGCCACCGACTATGTTATTGAGACGTTTAGTCGTAGAAGACGTAGTAGGCGTTGCCGGAAGTGACACCGACCTAGAAGGTTGATTAGTATCGACAGAAGTCAGGGTATTGGAGAAAGAACTTACAGTGCAGCCGCTGTTGCCGCTGATGGCACCGTTGGAGTCGTAGAAGGTACCACCCTCGTAGCGGCACTCGTCGCTGAGGTTGTCACCAACCAGCTTAACGTTGAAGTCGAGCTTCTTGGTGGTGGTAGGGGTGTTGGGGAAGATGGACAGGAACTTTCCGGAGCTGGTGTAGCCAACGCCGAGGTTGAGGGGAGCCCAGTTACCGATGGGCTCGCTGCCGTCACCCCACTGGCAACCCTTCTCAGTGGAAACACCCTTGGGGTTGACATAGTACTGGGCGGAGGTGGCCTTGCCCTCCCAGTTGAAGTAGGTGTCGCCGTCAGGGCAGGTCAGGGGGTGAGTGGCACCAGAGGCGGCAGACAGAGGAACGGTCTCGGACTCGGTACCAGGGTAGTCAGTACGGCAAACAGCGACGTCGTTGGACATCTGGTTCTTGACGTGGACACCACCAACACCCGCAATGCAAAGCGTCTTGTGGGCAGAGTTGGTGAGATGGAGCTTACCGCCCTTGCACTCCAGACCACCAACGGACTGGCCAGTGCTACCCTGGGTAGTGGGCCACTGGGACTTTTGGTAACCAGCGGGACAGGCGTAAGAGCACATGGCACCATTGTGGCACTCATCGCCGGTAACAGCGGTGACGATGTCGCTGACCAGGTCGTCGACCAGGGTCACGTACTGGATACCAGAGTAACCACCGAGACCGAGGTAGTCGAGGGCGACGGCACCGTATTCGGAGGGGAAAGTACCACAGTCGATCTCTCCATCGGGGAATTCGGCGGTGAGACCGGTGGCACCGGAGCTGGAGGCGGTGCTGGTAGCGGCAACAGTGGCAGAGCTGGTGGAGCTTGTGGGCTCGACGGTGCTGCTGGAGCTGGCAGGAGTGATCGCAGCGGCGGTCTCCTGGAGGATAGCGGGAGCAATGGTGGAGGTGGGAGCAGTGGTGGAGGTCGAGGTAGGAGCGGCAGTGCTGGTGCTGGAGGACGAACAGGCAGCGGCAACGGCGCTATCGAGCCACTTGAGCTTGCCATCGGCGAGACCCTGGCAAGCCTCACTGATGCCGATAGCCTCGGGGGTACCGTCGTTCAGCACGACGAATTCGTACTTAACGGCGTCGTCGGTGGTGCGCTTGTTGTGATGGTGAGCGTGTCCATGGCCATGGGCGGTCGCGAGACCAGCTGTTGCCAGCACGGCAACAGTGTTGGTGAACTTCATTGTTTCAGCTGAAGTCTATTGAGAAGATATGTTAGTCGCGTCCAATGCATGGTGTAATTGTTGTCCCATGTCCATTGTGCTATATATCAAGTCGCATGGCCCAAACGCGCGACACTTCTTTGTAGATAGTAGCGCGTGGTCGCATAACTGTGTTGTCGCACAACATTGGAGGGCTTTGTTCCTCGACCCAGCAGACGATGGGTCCCCATCGCGCTACCTGTCGCAGATAGAAAGAACGGGAGATTGCACATACATCAAATCAAAGCAAGCCGGCGCGGTTTCGAATAAGCTGTACAGAAGAGAAGGACAGTTGAGCTTTCCTGGTTAAATGAGTGTGTTAGAGGGACTGAATCTCTCTGGTCGGATGGGAAAACTTCGAATGAACTGGAGACTGGGGAAGAAGGGAGGATACAAAAAGGAGGGGGGTCGGGCCATGTCCCAAAGGCGTTAGCGTGATACTTTCCATTACCAGAAAAAGGGGGAGTATAGTCTCACACTGCCTAGTGGGCCTATGTGCCCTTGGCAACTCCTATTCGCTTCTAATAGCATATCATATAGGTAACAATAATACATACATACATGTATTCACGCTCTTTTTACTCTATCCTTCGTGGCTTTTCCGTTCAGTGGTTCTCCAAGGCTACCAATCCTTTGTTTACTTGGTCCCTGGACCTGGGCGTCGAAACGAGATTAAACTGCCAGGGGCCACCAATGAAAACACTACCCGGGCCCCCTTGGGCCCCCGTTATTCAGGTACCCCAATCAGAGTCAACCTCAAATTCCTTGCGTATCCATGGGTACCAACTGTTCAATTTTGCATATATGATTACCTTTTCACATATACTTCTGGTCCGTGATCGCCAAGGGGCATTTGGACATCTGTACCGTCCACTTGTAACTTACATGTACATGTACATCTATACCCCTAACAGAACAGCAGGGGATCTCACCTGGCAGACTCTGTTCTCTTAACATCCGACCAGTTCATACGGTAAAAGTATAATGAATTATCTGTCCGAACATGGTCTCCAATATAATATCAGAGAAAGCAGTCCGTAAAAGATACCAAAATTGCGATGACGACTCCACGTCTTTTTAATTAAACTCAGAGCGCATCTCCATTACCCACTTTCCTTTGCAGTAGCGGCGCTTGCTGTTATGGACGATTAGCACACTCAGACCATTGGAATTATAATGATAAGCGAGCTAGAAGCTGGTCTTGTCGATCCACAGCAATCTTAATTCCGTACACGGCACGGCCTTGTCCGCGTCATAGCTCTACACTGTAGCATTACACTAGAGGTATCAATTCCAACGTCCCGAATTACGGTTCGCCCACGTTATCCTCCATTTTCTGTCTTTATACTTCAAGCTTCGGAGACATGCTTTTTTACTGCAATGCTGCCCGAACAGCCCTTGAATTTTTGATTTAATGCATGATTTTACAAACACTAAACAGCCAAGTCTCGAATATTGCTGGTAAAATATCGCCAGCTCCACACAATATGCTTCCCTCTGGTTCCGGTCCATTGTTTTGCTGGTGCCTACGCTACGATTCACGCTATACATATTTTAATACAATTTCAGCTGGTATCGATGATAGCTTCATCGGCCCGACTCCCTTTGCAAGCCTCGTTCAAGCGACTTCGGCTACCGCTATCAGACAGATCGTGGGGAGATGCGTGCGCGGCTCCTAGTTTAGTGACTGCTGGTGTGCTCCCCCTCTCCACGTTCATGCATTGATATATTAAAACTGGAGGTATTCCACGGTTCGCCTGTCGGAGAGCCACTCTTGATATCAGTATTAATTAATATTTCTTATATTGTACCCGGCATTGCCGTTATAGTTATAGGGCTTAGTGCCTATATACACAACAGTAACGTGAATTTACTACATGAACAGTACTCCTGATGTTTAATTTACAAGATCTGGCTAGACTTGAAAACCTTGCATTTTTAAGGGCATGTTATATTACCTGCCTGTGCCCGGCACATTAATACCTTGCAGCATCGGTCCTGCACCTCCTTTCCCAGCCTCGACACCGCCAAACCAGCCATCAAAATAACACCTTGGCTCATGTCGTTTTTCAACAGTGCATATCTTCCAAGCTACCACCTTGGGGTCTGATCTTCATAGGATCTCCTTAACCGCCCGCGGACATCTATAAATAGCTACCAAGCCAGCCACGGCGGACTTGGCACTTTACGGAAAAGCGATCAATCCTCATACCCTTGTTTAGCCAGAAGCGAGGGGTCTTCTCCGGAATATTTGAGACACCCTGAAACAAACATGCTAACATCACGGTGACAACAGAGCTTATTCCAGCCGCATGTTATCTTGAAACACGCCTTGTTGGGATGCACACCGTGAGACATCTTGATCAGCTCTTGTCATTTCGGTCATTAGCTGCTTGGGAAAGTCCTTGTGCCCCGGATTAGATTCTGTTTATAATATATATTGCATTGCAAACTGTCGATGGTGAGGTATTCTTCGGTGTAGATATGAACCGGGTTGTTTTCTTGATTACATAGAGAGGGTCTCGCACGGTTAGAATCTTAATTAACCTTAGAGAGGGACAGCCCTGCAGAACTGGTTGATTGTTCAGTGCTATCAACTCACGGTACAATGTGGCACAAGAAATACAAGAAGCCTCACCACTCCCGGTTTGTTTGGTCAATGCATCATCTCCGGAGCCTCCCACAATTCGACCTAGGATTTTAATGATGCAAGATAACTATGCTACCCAAAAATATTGGCCTGATATCTAACTAACCATAGCGTTGATACCTTAGGCGACAAGGCACCAACTGGGTCTGGACTGCCAAGCCGGACAAACTGCCACCGCCTTCCGATTTTTTTTTGAGTCCCGATATCATCGCAAAAAAATTGGAGATGTTCAACGAGTCTACATCTTGCTAAAATGGGCTCCTCTACTACTCAACTCACCTCCAAGGTAGCCTCTGGCTCACCTTACCAGCTCGACAAGTCCCAGGTTAGTATCAATGACCCCCGAGACGCAATTGCGCAAAGTACTTATCGGACTCGAATTAGGCCCTCAAAGCTTCGTCGGCGCTGTTGAAGCACATCAAGTCCTCCAAGGAGGAGAAGGAGAAATCTGCGACCAAGAAGACTTTGATTGGTGACGACTCCGATGACGAGGACACCGCCATCAACCATGAGGCTGTCTGGCTCGTCCTTACCACCAAGCAGCACGTGGTGGACAAGAACCGCCTGAAGCCCGGCAAAATCGCTCTCCCTCACTCTCTCAACACATCTCCCTCTCTCAGCATCTGTGTGATCACTGCCGACCCCCAGCGCAGTGTCAAGGATATCATCGCCGACTCCTCTTTCCCCCAGGAACTTTCCGGCCGTATCGAAAAGGTTATTGGCTTCTCAAAACTCAAGGCCCGTTACCAGAGCTTCGAGAGCCGTCGCCAATTGTTCGCCGAGCACGATGTCTTCCTGGCCGATGATCGTATTGCCATGCGCCTTGTCCAGACCCTTGGCAAGATTTTCTACAAGTCCAGCAAGCGTCCTATTCCCATCCGTATCGCTGAGATTGAGAAGGTCGATGGCAAGCGTGTCAAGAAGGACCCCAAGAAGAACAACAACTCCAAGGAGGAGGAGAAGAAGGCCTCTTTCGCCGCCCCTCTGATTGTCGCCAAGGAGATGGAGCGCGCCTTGAACTGCGCCCCCGTCCAGCTTGCCGCTTCCACCACCGCTTCCGTCCGCGTCGGTTCATCCAAGTTCACCCCCGAGCAGCTGTCCGACAACATCGCAGCTGTCGTCAAAGGTCTGACTGAGAAGTTTGTCGTTAAGGGCTGGAGGAACATCAAGGCTCTGCACATCAAGGGTGCCAATACGATGGCCCTGCCCATCTGGCTCGCCAGTGAATTGTGGGTTGAGGACTCCAACGTGTTGGAGGCTGCCCCCGAGACCGAAGCTATCCAGGACTCCAAGAAGCGCAAGTCTACTGGCGACGCAAAGGCAATCGAGGAGAAGAAGACCAAGAAGACCAAGTCCACAGATGACGAGGAGGCCGCATCAGTGGCTGCCCGGAAGGAGAAGCTCCAGAAGCTCAAGGCTCAGGCCCTCGAGGATGGCGACACAAGCAAGGTCGCCGCCCCGAAGACCGCGGGCAAGAAGAAGAGAAAGTCTACTTCATAATGGTTTTAGCTCTAATGTTTTCTGCATGTAAAGGTATTTCTGGCGTACAAAATATCACGTGTGTCTATTGTTCCTACAGTTCTATATTACGCTAGCAATTGAGATCAAATGATTCAACAAATCAACTCTCCAAACTATGTAGACACAAATGAGTAGATCAATCCCTCCCATCGTCATTCCTGATCAACCTATATGATCACCGCATTAACCGAGTCCGACCTCGGGAGGCGGTCTTGGCATTCCGACGATAGCCACCATCACATCACCGTGAATCGCCGAGCTTCGATCTTGATCTTCCCACCTTGAAAGAACAACCACGAATTCTTTCACCAAGTCGTCAACATGATCCCAATCGCCAGACACTCTGTCCTGCGGGCTGCCCGCACCCAGCTCTATCCGACCCGCACACTGAACCAGTCGGCGCTCGCTCGCCTTCTCTCGACCCTCGCAGTCCTCGAGCAGCGTGATGGCAAGCTGCAGTCCTCGTCTTTGTCCGCAATCGCGGCCGCACAGAAGCTCGGTGGCTCAGTAACGGGCTTCCTCGCCGGCTCTGGTGTTAAGGCTACCTCCGCCGCCGAGGCTGCTAAGATCAAGGGTGTTGAGAAGATCCTGGCTGTTGAGAATGACGCCTACGAGAAGGTATAACCAGTTCTGCAGATACCGAGTGTTGTATTTCAAGAAGCAATAGCTAATGATCCGCTTTCTCGACCTGCAGGGACTCCCAGAAAACTATGCGCCTCTCCTCGTCGAGAACATCAAGAAGGGCGAATTTACCCACATTGTCGCCGGCCACTCCGCCTTCGGCAAGAGCTTGCTACCCCGCGTGGCTGCTCTCCTTGATGTGCAGCAAATTTCCGATATCACCGGTATCGAGAGCGAGGACAGTACGTGAAGACCGACGAAGAAACCCTGACATGTGATACCGCCAGCCCACTAACACGAAACAGCCTTCGTCCGCCCCATCTACGCCGGTAACGCCATCCTGACCGTCCAGTCCACCGACAGCATCAAGGTTATCACCGTGCGAGGTACCGCCTTCCAAGGCGTCGAGACCGAAGGCGGCTCCGCCGAGATTGCCGACGGCGCTGACCCCAACGCCCCCGCCTCGACCGAATGGGTGTCCGAGGAACTGGCCAAGTCTGAGCGTCCCGACCTGGCCACTGCCACCCGTGTTGTGTCCGGAGGCCGTGGTTTGAAATCCAAGGAGGAATTCGACCGCATCATGCTTCCGTTGGCGGACTCGCTTGGTGCTGCTATTGGTGCATCGCGTGCCGCTGTTGACAGTGGCTTTGCCGATAACAGTTTGCAGGTTGGCCAGACTGGTAAGAATGTTGCGCCTCAGCTTTACCTCTGTGCTGGTATCTCTGGTGCTATTCAGCACTTGGCTGGTATGAAGGATAGCAAGGTTATTGCTGCCATTAACAAGGATCCTGAGGCTCCTATCTTCCAAGTTGCTGATGTTGGTCTTGTTGGGGATCTCTTTGAGAAGGTTCCTGAGTTCACTGAGAAGGTTAAGAGCGCATAAGCCGTGTGAATTGTTTGTTTTTTTGTATCATGACCTTTTGAGCAGGTTGGTGCTTTGTTTTGTCTGTTAAATCAACCGTACAGTATACCATTGACTAGAGGGTTAGAGCCACTTTTGGCTTGCTAAATCCAGCATTTTCTTCATTACTTTTGATGTCTGATATAGCCGATATCGCCGAGTAAATCTCATTTTGTAGCATGGTATAACTAAAATGGCATATCTATGGCCTGATGTGCAGGAATATGTTTCAATGACTATATTTTATACATACATAGCATCTTTTTCGAGACAAATACACTACTATGTACAAGCCCAAAGACTGCAACTGGCAAGTACTATGCTTCCAAATCGGGACTAGCGCGCCTCCAGCACGCGTCGCGTCTTTATCAGAGGGGAATTACATCGGACCTTCAACGAACAGACATGACAAGTCCGAACGCTTGAATGCTTCCCTCCTCGCCATCATTCCTGTCCTCATTTGACCCCGCCCTCCACCTCCACTCCGAAGGACCTGTCCACGCCAACACCGCCAATCCTCCCTCCGAGTCATTCTCCGACGATCTCGAGGCAATTCACGAACACCGCCTCGAACAAACACGAAATCGAGTTGTGATTCAGCACCGCGCTTGGGATTTATCAGATATATTTTGCAGTGAGGATGATATAAGACCTGGTTCGCTATTTCAACGTCGATTTACCACGTTGTGGTACTGACCGGAATTTAGCAGATACCCCGACTAAGAAAACCGTTACGACACCCAGAGCAATTGGCCGTACGCCAATCCAGAGCTTATATTTTCTCCCGTCCTCACCACCACTTTCAAAAATGCCGTTCATCTCATCACCTGGCGCGGCAGCGTCCGACAATGCCGCCAACGATGCGCAGAAACGAAAGGCAGAGGAAGGCCCAAAATCAACAGAGCCAAAGCGACAGCGCATGGTTGGAGGTTTCGTCGACGAAGATGAAGAAGACGACCTTGACGCATTCCGTGACGAGCATATGAACAGTCAACACGACTTGCCCGAGCATTTCTTCCAAGAGCCCGCATCGAGTTTACCTGGGATCCCGCCAGTGCAGAAGCCTCCGATACCAGATGCGACTATTGATTCTGCGCCAAAAGCTTCTCGCCAACTCCCAATATTAACACCACGACCTGCGCCGACGGTCTCCAAAAGATTCCAGATCAAGACCTGTGCTGGCAAGACGCATAGTATTTCTACGAAGAAAGCCCGGGCTCTTCCTTCTTATGAGCAAATGATTGCTAGTCGGTCTGAGACGGAAGCTGGAAAGGCTAAGAAGAGTTATTACGGTATCGATATACACCAATTGCTAGATGATGCGGCCAGGGAGACGAAGACATTGAAGGCGAAGCCCAAACCTCAAGTTCAGCCGAGCATTGAGACGAATAATGTGAATCCCAAACAGAAGAAGATTGACTCTGCGATGTGGACCGAGAAATACCGGGCTCGGAAATTTACAGATCTCATTGGAGACGAGCGTACTCATCGCGGAGTGCTTCGCTGGTTGAAGGGATGGGAGCCAATCGTGTTCCCTGGCCTGGCCAAATCTAAAGCGAAAAAAGCTGCCCAGGACGATGAAGATGGCTTTGCGCATCGAAAAGTTCTTCTGCTGAGTGGCCCTCCTGGTCTTGGAAAGACTACACTGGCACATGTATGTGCCAGACAGGCTGGTTACGAAGTCCTTGAAATCAACGCCAGTGATGACCGCAGCCGGGATGTGGTCAAAGGTCGCATTCGTGATGCGCTGGGAACGGAAAATGTCAAGGGTATGAATGTTGAGATCGGTGAACAAAAGGTCCGCCGCGCTGGCAAACCCGTCTGTGTTGTCGTTGATGAAGTCGATGGTGTCGTTGGTGGCTCTGGAAGCGGCGGAGAAGGTGGCTTTATGAAAGCCCTAATTGACTTAGTCCTGCTTGACCAACGGAACTCGAAATGGGCTGCAGAGAACAACGGTAGCAAGAAACGCAAGGGGGATAACTTTAGATTTATGCGACCGTTAATTCTGGTTTGCAATGATCTTTATCACAGCAGTCTTCGACCTCTCCGAGCATCGTCCATTGCAGAGATGGTTAGTGTTCGCCAAGCACCCCTTGAGAACGTTGTTCAGCGAATCAAGGCAATTTTCGTCCGTGAAGGAATCGCCTGCGACAGTGATGGTGCCCGAAGGCTTTGTGAAGCAGCTTGGGGCTTGGCCAGCAGAAAACAGCGCAGTGGCAGGACTACCGGGTCTGCGGAAGGAGATATCCGTAGTGTGCTCGTTGCCGCAGAATTCGTGGCACACAAACTTCGAAACGAGTCTTTGCCCTCATCACTCAGGCTCAGCCGAAACTGGCTTGAGCAGCGAGTCCTGAATGCATCAGCCGAAGGCAGCTCGTTCTTCAAAGAGCTAAGTCGCGGTGGTGTTCGTGAGATCGTCAACCGCGTCTTCACGGAGGGCGCCGGCTTCTCAGACGCACCTGTCGGCATGAGCTTCCAAGATAAGTTCGACGGCCCAAACAGCCGTGTTCCTGTCGGCGTGGCAGATCTGCGCAAGCGACACGCTATTAACCGATTACGGGAGATGGTAGATTCCAGTGGTGACCAAGACCGCTGCGTATCGGATTGTTTCGCCTCGTATCCTATTCAACAATACCAGGATGACAACTACTTCTCCAAGCCCAACACAGCACATGACTGGCTTCATTTCCATGACACGATGTCATCGAAGGTCTACTCATCTCAAGAATGGGAATTAATTCCGTATCTCAGCCAATCGGTCGTTGCTTTCCATCATCTATTCGCGACTGCCGCGGGCAGAACTGAGATTGAAAAGAACGACGATGACGAGGACGTTGAAGAGGCACATCCTTTCTCGGGACCTAGAGCCGACTTCGCTGCCTTTGAAGCCCAGAAGGTCAACCGCGCCACTTTGACTGCCTTCCATAACTCCTTCTCGGCACCAATGGCTCGCATATTCCGATCATCTGAAAGCGTCATCACAGATCTGGTACCACACTTGACTCGCATGCTCTCACCAGACGTGAAACCAGTCATCATCCGCGGAAACGGAGACCAGCGGAGCTCCGCCAGCGTTCGCAAAGAATCAGAACGGGCACTTGTCCAATCTGCGGTGGGTGTCATGACCGGGATGGGAGTGACATTTGAAAAAGTCCGCGTTGAACAAGATGGAAACCATGGAGGATGGGCGTACAGAATGGAACCGTGAGTGAACTCCTTCCCATATATCCAATGATATCTCTATTCTAATAGATACACGATGCTAATTCGAGTCGCAGCCCCATCGACTCACTCATCTACTTCTCAAAAACAAAAGGCAGCACCATTGACTTATCAGGTGGCACAGCACCAGTCCGCTACGCCCTCCGCCAAGTCCTAGACCAGGAATACCGCAAAGCAACAGCGCGCAAGCAACCCGACGCATCAAAGCTAGGCGTAAAGGGACCCAGGAAGTCAGATGAGAGTGCCGCTGCCAAGGCCATCAGAGATGCGGCTGTCAAGCGTGATTTCTTCGGTCGTGTTGTTGAAACCCCTTCTTCTCTGGCCGCGGATTCTGAAGGTGCTGATGGCTTTGCGGATGAGTCTTCCAAGGCTGGGAGGAAGGTCTGGGTTACTTTCCATGAGGGATTCTCGAATGCTGTTCGTAAACCCATTTCCATGGGGGAGTTGTTGGCGGGTTTGTAATTTCACAGGGGCTTTGTATTCTGTTCATTGTTTCAGCGTTTGTCATGGAGTTTGGGGTTGGGATTGGGATTTGCATTTGATGCAAGTGCATCTATGTCTACGATTATTAAAGTTTTACATGGCAATGCACTGCTCTACTCAGACCTCAGGTTAAAAAATAAAGCCAATTATTCCATTGACAAATAGTAAAAAAGGTGATACTCTTAAAAATAAACAATCCTTTCGTTCCCAGACTTGAAAGCCACCGAGATGATTACATCTCAACAAAACAGGAAAGCAAAACCCAACAACAAAAGAAACAAACAGAAAGACAGAAAAGCGAAAGATGTCCACAACCAAAGCACGCAGAGAAAGGCCAAAGAAATGCAAATATTAAGAGCGCGTAAAGGTGGTATCGTATCTATGCAATCATTCCAATCGTGGAGGGTCCAATCTCGAATCGCGAGAAACGCGTTCAAGCAAGGTCAACAAACGCGCCAGCAAAATAAATCCAAACAGAAAATGAGCCTTGAAATCAACAGTTGAAGCATTGTGTAGTCGAAGGGAGTCACCGACTCCTTTTGTGAATGGGTGATGATATGAAGAATGTCCCCATTTCATCTCATCCTTGCATGCGAGCATGCATCAGACTCGACTTTGTTTAGCGCAGGGCCAGGTAGGTAGCGACAGCCTCGTGGTGAATAGCCTTTTTCTCGGCGTTGGATTTGGGCTTGGAGTCGGTTGTCTTGGAAGGGAGAAGGGAGAACCACTTCTTGTTTGCGTCTGCTCCCTTCAGGGTTGAAGCAGTTGAGATTGTGGAGGCGGCGCTCGACATGGTCTCTGTAGACTTGTTGGAGAGAGTGAAAGGCATATTGAATGTTTTGGAATGCGGTATCGCGGATTGGGTTTGGAGGTTGATTGTGGAGGAAATGGATGGAGGTTGGAGAATTGCGATGGTTTGCGATTGTTGACTTGGGAAGATGTAAACGAAGTATAGTTTGGAAAGTGGTGAGTTGCTTTGAGAGGGAGATGTGCCGAAACGAGATGGAGCTCTGTTCGATCTATGAAATGATCTTGATGTGTAGAATATGATTTTGTTTTCTATGGGGAAGATCTAGGGCTTTATATGGCGATCTTGCTGATCCCTAACATCATTTTACTCCGTGACTCCGACGTAATATGACGCTAATGAAAAAAAGAAAAAAGAAAAGCAAAAAAGAGCTGATACATTAGACTCAGACCCACGGACATGACTTCAGTCTACAAAGGAATGTAACAGCCTCACCATCGACGTCACGGTCTTAGGTGGGGCCGAGAGGGTCGGAGTAAAGGTCGGAGTTCAAATTTTTTGTCAAATTAGCTGCAAAGAGACACCTCGAAGGGCGTCCGTGAAAAGCCAAGACTGTCTGATAAATCAAGATGCTTACAGTTAACCCGATCTTGGCCATGTTGGGATTACCAGCCGCGTCTATCATCTTCCTTAATTAACGACCCCGATCAAACACGGCGTCCCAATTGGGCAATTCTCGTCCAAGGCCTCGTGTGCGGAGTCTGGCTGTTGATGACTGGATCCTTCCGAGTCGAGAAGCATTATGCGAAAGGGCGCGGTGAATTTACGCTTTTGTGGTTCTAGTCCTTTGCTAAGCCACGTTTTCGATCTAAGCCTGGCGCTAATGTGTTATATCCACCTGGGCCATTTATTCATTCGGTCCGAAAATCTGTAGGTGAACGGAGCACTCCGTACTGGCCTTTGATCTTCGAAGATCTCTGTATTGAGGATCTGGACCCACGGCCCACCTTCGGTCTTTCTATGGACCCTTGACATATCATTGTCTTGAAATTGCTGTGTGATGGTGACCGTCAATTTGGATCAAAATAGCTTTCAGTATTGGAAATAACTTCGGAATATTATGGCTAGATGGTTCCCACAGATAATCAGTGAACCCTATTTAGTTCGTGTTTGGCATATGACTTTGGATTTCCAAGCGTCTGAGCTTGGCATCTAGGCTGTCATTTACGAAGTGGCTTGGTATGACTCAAAGCGCGGGGGTTCGGAATAGTCTCCAGGCATTCACAAGGCTCAACTGATCCGAGTCGGATGATCCAAAATATCATTTCTATTGGAGGATGTTTCAGGGAGTGCATGTGCGTTGATTTGGAGATCCTGGCCACTAGTCCGATCTTATTCCGATATTTATTCCGACGTGTAGATTTTTACTCCGATATTCAATCCGAAGGATGTGATCTAATTATATCCAATCAAGAGTTGTACTCCGTACATGAGGTTGCTACTTACATACTTGCAGGCAATATACGTATTCTAGGCCAGCCTAGTGCTAAGGACGCTACAAGCCAAACATTTGCAGGCACCTATCAGAGTTCCCTGCAGGGATTGTAGTCCGGACCAGGATGTTACTTAACCCAACCTTTTTCTCACTGCATCTCCTGATTGTCACTATTTCTCTCCTCTTCGAGTGAGTTCTATGGACCTGATAATCATTGATTGCCAATAAATCCACCATTGCGCAATCTTCTACTCTATCTAGCGCTATGTGGTCCTGGGACGTGTTCTTTTATCCACCAGATTCCACTTTCACGATCACGGTGCAGCCTCGTTTTTGGAACATTCCCGCAAGGGCGTCGCTACCGAAACATAAGAGGACAGCCATGGCCCGACGGTGCGTTACCTATCTTCTTCCCAAAATGAAGAGTCATCCAGATCTGCGATCTTCACACCGCCAGTTTACGGACTAAGGGCTAAAGTGGTCAAGCTGCTTTATCAAAGCCAATGCTGAAATATTTATGCCATGTTCTCATCCAATTGACCTGCAGACTTGATTCAGACACTAATTTAGATCATTGTATTCCACACACATAGAACTATGATCGATCGCCCATTGTTGTCGATCTGTAGAGCTTTGACATCATCGTCAACGCCCGAGGCCGGAGCCGGAAACCCACTTTGATACCATTTATTCAACTTATCCATATATAATAACAGTGATTTGCAGCTCGAGATTACAGAAATATGCAAGGATGCCACCTGAGGGCGAATTTCAAAGCATTGGAATGCTCACGGTACAATTCCGCATTGGAAGTCTCCGAGATCCCCGGGGCCCCGTTCTGATCAGTCATTTGTCAGCTATGACCGAGCGCGATTATATCATAGTGGGGGAAGGCCCTGGATTGGAAGCATTTAAGAGCATCCAACTCCTCTCAGGAGCTTCATCCAACTAAAATACCCTGCATAATCAAAATGTCTCTGAAGTCAATCACTGTCTACGGCCACGCCGCTGGTCCCAATCCCTGGAAGGTGATCATGATCCTGGAGGAACTGAACATTCCCTACACCCACAAGATCGTCGATTTCCCCGACATGAAGAAAGAGTCCTTCGAATCAATCAACCCCAACGGCCGTGTCCCCGCAATTGAAGACCCCAACACCGACACAACCCTCTGGGAATCCGGCGCCATCGTCGAATACCTAGTCGAGACCTACGACAAACAAAACTCCATCAGCTTCGCCCCAGGCTCAAAGGACTATTTCCAGGCCAAGCAATGGCTGCACTTCCAAGCCTCCGGCCAGGGCCCATACTTCGGCCAGGCCGTCTGGTTCACCCGCTTCCACTCGGAGAAGATTCAGAGCGCTGTTGACCGCTATGTCAAGGAAATCCGCCGTGTTACCGGTGTTCTTGATCGCGCGCTTACTGGCAAGGAGTATCTTGTTGGCAATAAGTACAGCTTTGTTGATGCCGCTTTCGTGCCGTGGTATGTTCTTGCTGCCATGTTTGAGATTGATATGGAGAAGGAATACCCCAACACGGCTGCTTGGTTGAAGCGTGTGCAGGAGCGTCCTGCTATTGCCAAGACTATTCAGGATCGCGCTGAGGCTGTTGCTAACCACTAGAGGATGGCTTTACTGTTTTCATCACGAAGCTTCCGGATTTTAAATCTGCAAAAAGAATATAGAGATAAGATCTAAAATTTTGATGAATTCTATGGAGGTTACAAGCTACATAGCGAGTACACGCAATGGTTATTGTAGAAAGAGGACTCAATAGCTCATGCAATTTGAACATAGTTGCAACGCTTAGTCTATCTTTATCTTCAATTACGAGTAAAACGGATCCTCGACAAAGCAATATTCCTAGACAAGATTTATAGTCTAGTCCGAAGCTATTTGAACTTCGGTTTTGGGCTTGTCTTAAGCGGCCGTCTCAATATACATAACTTGTAGCTTTATGTAGTTGGAATAGCTCATGAACTGTTGTTTCTTTGAGCTACACTTTGGCACAATTCATTGGATAGTTTCCAGTACACAATGCATCTATCTTGATCCTTCAAAGTGTAACTCAATCTAGTCTGATGGGCCTGGCGACAACATGTACTTCAATGAACAAAGATACCACGTGACAAAAATATATACACTAGTCCCTAAACAGTTAGTGGCAATGCAGCTCTTGGCGCTCACCCGCGAGTTTTGCGTGTCGCGACATCAACCTCCTCCAGCTGACCCCATATCCAATCATCACTTTTGGCCTCATTTTCCATCTACACTGGCCCTATATTAAGCCATTGTTGGCTCGTTGCTCCTGGAACTCGCAACACAGTTGCGCTTAGCAAGGACAGATTGACAGACGGGCAAGGAGTTCACCTGCCGACCGCGACAACCTGCTTTTGATCAATCATGGATGACTCTTACAACAACCCTACTGGGGCGCCAGATAACACCCAGTCCATGACTGGTATGGGTTCCTCAGATGTCAACCGCGCCCCCAGCCACGCTTCAGGTATGTCCCTTAAATGCCCCAGCGATACATCGCATGCTCATGCAATTGGATGAAGCGCAATCGCGCCAGGATTCGCCCGTGAAGAAGGTTGAAGATACCGCTGGATCTGACGACCCGCTAGACGCCCCCGCATCCCCCAAACCCCAGAACGGCAGATCTGAACCCCAAGACGCCGAGATGGGTGGCACCGAGACCGATGCCAAGCTTGATACGGAAGGATTGGAGGACGCAGTGGGTGAATCGCACCCGCCAGTAGAAGGAACCGAGGGGCTCGAAGATGCCGTGGGAGAGGAGCAGCCTGCACCCACCAAGTCGTCACTGGAGGCCGCCGCGCGCGAACAGCTCGTCACTCAAACACACGCCATTATCCTTCCCAGCTACGCCACGTGGTTCGACATGAACACGATTAACCACATTGAGAAGAAAGCTCTTGCCGAGTTTTTCAATGGTCGCAACCGCAGCAAGACGCCCGCTACTTACAAAGATTACCGTGACTTTATGATCAACACCTACCGACTTAACCCCATCGAGTATTTGACCGTTACTGCCTGCCGTCGTAACCTCGCAGGTGATGTGTGCGCGATCATGCGTGTTCACTCATTCCTTGAGCAATGGGGTTTGATCAACTACCAGGTGAGTGACCTTGTGCTCTTCTTCGAAGCCTCCGCGCTAACTTATCCAGGTTGATCCCCAGACACGGCCCTCCAACATTGGCCCACCTTTCACCGGCCACTTCCGCGTCGTTGCCGATACCCCCCGCGGCTTGCAGCCATTCCAGCCTGGACCTAACCACAGCGTCACATCTGGCAAGGCCCTTCCCGCCACTCAGCGTGCCGCTTCCTCTACTCCTGCACTCAAGGACGATCTCAACCTTGAACTTCGCCGCGGCATCTACGACGAAAAGATCAAGGACAGTGATAAGGAGAAGCAGACAAATGGCGAATCCAACGGTGTGGATGTTGCCCAGGAACCCAAGAAGAGATCACACTGCTTCTCTTGTGGTATTGATTGCACAAAACTCCGCTTCCACTATGCCAAATCGACTGCGACGTCTGCCAGTGCCAGTGTACCAGACACCAAGTATGATTTGTGCCCCAATTGTTTCCTCCAAGGAAGAATGCCTTCCAGCCATAACGCCTCAGACTTCGTCAAGCTTGAGGACAAGGCCCACTCTCACGTCCCCGACAAGGACACCCCGTGGTCAGACTCGGAACTTGTCTTGTTGTTGGAGGGTCTGGAGAACTTCGATGAGAACTGGGAACAAATCGCCAGCCATGTTGGCACCCGGACTCGGGAAGAGTGTGTCATGAAGTTCCTGCGGTTGGAGATTGAGGACAAGTTCATTGACGACACCCCCGATATGCGCTCTGGAAGCGGACGTGACCCCATCAGCCAGTCCGAGAACCCTGTACTATCTGTGGTGGCCTTCCTAGCCCAGATGGCCGAGCCTTCAGTGGCTGCCGCCGCAGCTGGCCGTTCCGTCGAAGAAATTCGCAAGGAGCTGCGCGCCCAGCTGGAGAAAGGATCCGACAAAGGAAAGGATTCAGTCAAGGCAGAGGACTCCATGGAGGTGGATCCCGAGGCCGAGCAGCAAGTTTCCGAGAAGCCCAAGGAGTCCCTCGGCACCATCGCTCTGGCCGCGTCCGCCGCTCGTGCCGGAGCTCTTGCCTCCCACGAGGAGCGTGAGATGACCCGTCTGGTCTCTGCCGCTGTCAACGTCACCCTGCAGAAGTTCGAGGTCAAGCTGCAGCAATTCAACGAGATGGAGGAGATCATCGAAGCCGAGCGCCGGGAGCTCGAACAAGCTCGCCAGCAGCTCTTCCTGGACCGGATGTCCTTCAAGAAGCGCGTCAAGGAAGCCCAGGATGCTCTCCAGACCGTCAGCCTGCAAGGTCCCAACGAGCACACTAACTCCATGCTGGCCGATGCCGCCACCACTGGCATCGGTCATCACTACAGCTTCCAGCCTGTGGGTGGGGATATGCGGGTTGGAGCCCAGCCTCTGAGCGCTCAGGCTGGTGCCGACTTCAAGACGCTTGATCTGTAGCTTTCCTCAATAAATGTACGATATCATCCCATGGATCTATACAGAGGGAGCTGCGTTTCTTTCGCTGAGTTATGAATATTTTGAATCCTTCTGGCTAGGAAAAGGCGCACTTTTTTTTTACGTTACTGTTACCTGTTACCTGTTGGAGTTTCTTTTTCTGATTCACCCTCTTTTCCAGAAAGTGGATTGTTCTATGGGGTTGAACCAGGGGGGTTGGGAATCCTGTTTTTTTATTCTACATCAACGTTAACATGTTTACCCTTTCTCTAATCATATGTCTTTGATGGAATGTATTGTCTTGTGAGAGTAGCGCTAGAAGGGTATAGTTGAATTGAGGTATAGTACATGCACGTTTCATTCCCATTCTCATTTTCAATCCGCCCCGACGGGGTTCTGATCAAGAGCTTGTGGTTGTCCATATTGCGTACGATAAATGTCGAGCCAACTCTCTGGTACCTGCTCGCCTGTAGATTCATTTCCACCAGCAGCGGAAGAACTATCATCAATAACCATATCCCCGTCAAGTGGAGACGGAGACGGGGGTTCATTAAACCTCGCCCTCTTCCGCGGATGCATTTCCATTTCCGCATCCACATCGGGATAATCATATCCATATTCCTCCCAATCACTGCGGTAGAGAGTCCGAGCCCGCCAGTCAATGATTTCGTCTCTGGTCCGTCGTTCGGGGATTTGTTTGGATGCTTTGTCCTCGGCGTCCTCTGCTTTGATTGGTTCGGATAGATGTGATGGGATGGGTTGTTCCATTAGTTGTAGGATGTGAGCTTCTTCGTGACGGTCGTGGCTTGTGTCTACCATTTCTGCGTGCTCTTCTTCTGGGTCTAGGGCTGGTTCGTGTTCGTGGTATGATTTTGGTGAGGGGGGATGTACGGGTTCGTTGGTTTCTTGGCTGGGTATGCGATCTAGATGGAGATCTTGGTCGTCTTCTTCCATTTCATCGTCGTCATGCTCGTCGTAGTCGTCTTCACCGCTGTCATCTTCACCGCTGTCGTATTCGCTGTTTCTATTCTGGCCGTCATCGTCTTTGTCGTTCTCGCCATTCTCTAGTGCTTTTTTGTGTCTCCGGCGCTGGAAATAATCCTTGTCTGTGAGGCTCTTCTCCGCCTCCTCGTAGGTGAACGTTTCGGGCACGAAGCCTCTTCGATGATGATCGTCTACAATGACCAATTGATTCTGACGAGCGATTTCCACGAAGCTGGGTGTTTTGTGTTTCATGTTTAGCACTTCGATGGCAGCGCGGACGTCTTGCGTTCGGACAGCACTTGCTCTATCACGACCACGACGGCTCATCGTTCGCAAACGGGACATGGCAAAGAAGAGGGATGACTGGACCAGGCGGCGTGTGACACTGACTGTAAGAGCGTAGAAGTCAATGGCACTTCCTGCAGTCATAGACGGCATTTGGTTTCGAGCCGTGACATTTGTGGGGGACACGGAAAGAGCGAACCAATTATCCTCTGACTTTGAACCGCCGTAGTTCATGAGCAGATTACGAGACATCCGGATCCAATCTCGGAGGTGGAACATATCGGCTGCTAGGCGTAGATCGCCTCGAATTGTGCTGTCCTCGTCCTCGACTAGCTCCCGGGCATGGGATTCAGTGATGATCCAGTTGTCTCCATGTTGCAACCTTCCGGCTGCAGCTTCAGTGAGAGACTCCCTGAGAACCATGACATCCGCGTATTCATCAAGTAGCGCGGTGGATCTCTGGCTGATCTGCGCAGCAGAAGGAAATTCACCAAGAATGGCTGCTCTGGATTGTCGATCGGATGAATTGTGAGCTTCCAATTTCTGATGCAAGATCCGAATGTATTCCAGAACCTCCAGCTCGGATTTGGTCCCGATTGCAGCGGCGAGCTCTCGGATGCCTCCTCTGCCTTTCCGGTCGAGGCCATTAAAGAAGATCTCCTTTTCCGTAGATGTCCAGATCACGGACCCAAGCTGACTAACGTCAAAGACCTCCTCATCCTCCTTGATCGAAGCATAGTCGAGACTGTTCTTAATCTCCGTAAGGAGCTTGTTGTAGGGACCGAGTAGATGGAGCGATGCGCCTGTTAGCGGGGCGCGCGACCCAAGCACCTCGCCGAGTCCCCGTTCAACTTCCTCGGAGATATCATCAAAAGTCGTTTCATCGTATTGGTTTTGTGCTATTCCATTTATAGTCTGTTCGGGTGTTGGGGAGCGTCTGTCGGAAGCGCGCGATTCAAAGTCGGACTCGGACTCGGCGTCATCGGGCTCATAGGAAGTGTCGCTCATCGTTTGGGCTCGCAGGTTCGCAGCACATGCGGTATAATCGAAAGCAGAACATCACAGCTGCCTCCAAATCAGAATGCGATAAGCGAGAGCTGTCGAGAGGTCAAAAAAAGTTGGAGAGCTGAGATCCACTATCGATAAGATATTTGCACTGTTTGCTTTGATTGTTCTTGAGCTTCGTGACGAGTCCCTTCTTCTTCTGCATGGATTTCTCACGCTGTGTCTCTCGATTGAGACTTCCAAGGACATATTTGGCAAGGAGGCCTTTGGCCTTGACTTCCTTGCATCATGTCAGGTTCAATTCGATCAAGCCTTCCCTCCCAACGGGGATTGTGCTTCGCGACTACCAAGAAGAGGCTATTCAATCTGTTTTGAAGTACTTGGGAGAAGGCCACCGGCGCCTTGGGATTTCACTTGCAACAGGAGCTGGAAAGACAGTAAGAAGTCCGTTTTCCGCTATCAAGCATAGCACTGACTCCCGCAGGTGATCTTCACACAGCTCATCGACCGAATCCCTCCGCCAGATGCGAAAGCCACCAAAACCATGATCATTGTTCATCGACGGGAACTAGTCGAGCAAGCTGCCAGGCACTGTCGTCTCGCATATCCAGACAAAATGGTGGAAATCGAAATGGGCAAGAATACTGCGACAGGCGCCGGGGACATTATCATCGCTTCAGTACAGACATTAGCGCGCGGGCGCGTTTACAAGTTTGATCCTAGCGCATTTAAGCTCGTACTAGTGGATGAGGCACATCATATCGTTGCGAGGTCCTACCTCGACGCCCTGGGACATTTTGGATTGAACAAGCAGTCTGCAAATGGGCCAATACTCGTGGGTGTCTCGGCCACTTTCTCACGGTTTGATGGGCTCAAGTTGGGTGCGGCTATTGATCATATTGTCTACCACAAAGACTATGTGGACATGATCCGCGACAACTGGTTGGCAAATGCTGTCTTTACAACCGTCAAGTCTGGGGCCAATCTGTCTAAAGTCAAGAAAGATAGTTTCGGAGACTTTGCTCTGGGTTCACTTTCTGAAGCTGTCAATACTACAACAATCAACAGTATCACGGTTCGTGCTTGGATGGCGAATGCCAAAGAGCGAAAGTCTACGTTGGTCTTTTGTGTTGATATTGAGCACGCACGCCAGCTTACTGCTGCGTTCCGTGACCATGGCGTTGATGCGCGGTACATCACTGCTAGTACCCCTAAAGGCAAGCGCGCAGAAGAGCTGCGGGCTTTCAAAGACCAGGAGTTTCCGGTCTTGTTGAACTGTGGTCTTTTCACAGAGGGCACAGATATCCCGAACATCGACTGCGTGCTTTTGGCTCGACCGACCAGATCTCGAAACCTGCTTATTCAAATGATCGGACGTGGACTTCGACTTTTCCCTGGAAAGAAGGATTGTCATATAATAGATATGGTAGCCTCCTTGGCAACCGGAGTCTTATCGTCACCGACTCTATTTGGCTTAGATCCAGACGAAGTCCTGGATAACTCCAGCATGGAAGATATACAGGAGAAATTGGACAAGCCCAAGGAACCCGCACCAAGCCCTGATATAGTTGAACAATACGACGGCTCAGACAACGACATGAAACTCCAATTCACAACATATGATAGCATCTACGATCTCCTAGAAGACATGCAATCTGAACGACATATCAGGTCACTAAGCCCACATTCGTGGGTCCGAGTCGGCGACGACAGATACATGCTTTCTGATGCATCCGGCTGGATGACAATCGAAAAAGACGACGACTTATTCACCGCGCACCACGTCATGAAATTCAAGGATCCCATAACTGAAGCCATGCAATATACGCGCCCACGCAAGGTTGCTTCCGGGTCTGATTTGGAGACCATTGTGAGGTCAGCGGACACTTTTGCTAATAGCAAATTTGATCAGCATTTCATCTCTACTCGAAAACCTTGGCGTAAGGCTGCGGCAACACCTGGCCAGATCAAGATGCTGAATGCAGCTCGTATTCGTGACCGCGCTGTGAAAGAGGAGGATCTGACTCGGGGACAGGCAGCTGATATGATCACGAAGCTGAAGTATGGGGGTAAGAAACGCTTCAAGGATTTGGAGGCTGTTAAGCGGAAGAAGATGCAGCAGGTGGATCATATGGATAAGTTGCGCAGGAGGGTTGATGTCAAGGTTGGGCCTGTGGAGGCTTGATCTGGCGTGTGTACATTATTTTTGTCTTCTTATACCCAGTGATGGCAGTACTTATTCTGCTTAACTACCAGTATCTCAAATGACAACATCAGGACCATTGATGATTAAGATAATATATAGAATTCATTAAAGAAAAGCGAAAGACGCAAACAGAAGAATCATTCATCGAGCGCTCCAACAAGGAACAACTCATCAAGCTCTCGCATTCATCAACGGAGAGGCTTCCTCCCATAAACAACAACCCTACTAAAGTCAGCCTCCACCCCTAACATCAGAATAACTGACGACTCACTCCTTAACATAGGAATGCAAATGCTTATCCCTCATCTGCTTCTTAACCATAGCCTGAAAGATCCTAGCAGGTCCCTCTCCCCACCCAAGAACCTGCGTAAACATCCGTAAAGAATAAGACTCAACAGCCTGTTGAATCATACAAGCCTGATACATGCCCACCTCCTTCAGATGCGGATCCCGCGGCCAAGGAGAGTAAGGTAGAATATAAGTAACCTCATGCACATCCTCGAAACCAGCGTCGATCATCCAGTCTTTCAACTTGCAGTAAATATTCATTTCTCGGCCTAGGATTCGGCCCGCTGTGTCGAGAGCTTGCATGTATTCCAGGATTGGTGAGCCGGGCTTTAGCGTGTCGTCGTCGCTCCAGGCCCAGACGGCGCTTTCTTGGATTTCGAAGTAGCCGCCTGGTTTCGTGTGGTCGAAGATTTTGCGGTACATTTCTGGCCAGTCCGCTACGCAGCTAGGTTGTGTTAAATTGGTGAAGAGTTGGGGGTGGAATTGGATGGTGGCTTACCCGGCTAGTAATCTTGCATGGATGAAGTCGAAGCTGTTTGGTTTGTAGAGCCATTCTTGTTCGAAGTCTTCGACGAGGAATTCTACGTTTGGTGTGACCCAGTTTGGTTGGATGGCGCTGATGTCGTTTCCAATCACTTGGGCTTGGGGGAATTTCCTGTTGTTCTTAACGTTGAAATTAGGATTAAAACAACAGAACGTTCTTACTCGGCAATATCAAGAGCCCAGATGCCAGTTCCGGTTCCGAGATCTAGAATTTTCTGAGGATTTTCAACGGGTGCTAAGTATAGCTCGCCCTTCATTAAGAGAAGCCAGCTTGTAACTTGTCAGTATTGCATTGAAAGCCAAGCAGCACAGGCTTGACTGACATATGATGAGCCTGTTGATAATTAGCTATTTGCTTCTGAACGGTGCAGGTGATCACGTACTAAGTCCATGCGATCTTGTTCTTCTTCGTCATTTGGCAACCTATGCTAATCAGTAATTACCCATATTGTAGAGATGAAAACACCATACATATAGTGTCCCTTTCAAGAGTTAGCAATCGAGCTCATCTCACACTGATAGGTTTCTAGGCCTTTCAACCAGAAGGTTCACTCACAGATCTGTTGCTGTGATAGCGCCGTCCATTTTCATATTCATAGTCGAGCACACTGGAAGAAATGGAGGTCATATCAGAGTCCTCGCTAGCAAACTCGTCGCTATTATCCTGTCGACGTGGTAAGTATACGGAACTCGGGAGTATCGGAACTCGGTACATACGCCGCTGAATTCATCGGGAACAATTGGGCCTCGAGTGTTGACTGGGACCGTATTCTCATAATCACCCGTATGTGGAACTGCAACTGCTGCCCCAGCTCCTTCAGCTGGCCCTGGCGGGGGCTGGGGATCGGTTTCTGGTGAAGACATTGTTGATGGAGGTCATGATTAAGAAGAAAGTTAAAATGCAGATGGGTGTTCCGTGGCGAAACTTGGTATTCTGGCCTTGATTACGCTATACATGATTTCCGTATTCCCATGTGCAGGAATGTGATATGACAAGTCTGCAGTTCGTAATAATCGCCGATTTGAAATCCCGATCTAGTTATAGTCTTGTCGGTGAGGACTGCATGAAGAATGCTGATTGTGTGGAGTTCTTCGGATATTCTAGATATTCTACCCATTCTGCAGCGGGACTTGCAGGCCACTAAAACTTGAGTCTATAGATCTACAGATCTGGGGAGATCCAGTCCCCCAACTCTGAGAATGTCGTGGCTAAGGGCATCGGGGCGGAACACAATGTAAAGCCCATCAAGACTTTGTCGGATCTTTTGTTCTTCGTATTTTGATAAACAAGTTCAATTCGATATCGCCCAATTAGAGACTCGAGGGCGTCCTGCACACGGCAAGGCCGTGGATTGTTCTCATACTAGCTTGAGTCAGTACAGTTTTAGGGGATCGTCAATCACAGGTCGACGTGAGAGAGGAACGAGCCGTATCACTTACGAGAGGCATCTCTGCGATGACCGAAAGATGAAGTTAGGGAGATTGTAATCGATGTGGTGATGGTGGTGAAGAAGAAGAAGAAGGGAAAGACCGAGACCGGGGGATATCTGATTAGATAGTCCAAAGTGCTAGCAAACAATTATGAGCACTCACTAGCTGTATTGCCTCCCCAGGGAGATGAGTCCAGATCCCCTGTCTGCCTCCCTACTACAATATGGGTCCAAGTCTCACTTCAAAACACCACCTGGAGGACAAGATGGGGTTAAGAAGAGAGAGAGGCATGACGCCAAAGTCAAGAGATAGCAAGCTTTTACGCTCCCTTGGCCTCTTGAGGCTGCAGAGGAACATGATACATGGACATAATATGATACCAGATATGAAAGCCATCTCACAAGCCTGAGGCTATGGCAGTGAAGATCATCTGAAGAATGAAGAGCATGGGATAAAGCTGAAGAAATGACAGAATGAAGCAGTTTATATCCCAGGCAGGTATCCCTCAGAGCAATATAGCGTTTCAAAATTAGTACTGAGAATCAAACACTGACCCCGAAAAGAATGATCACACGTTTATGGAATCTAAAGACAGCGGCTGCCAGGTGTTGGTTGTTCCATGAATAGCCTCTGCGGCGTCCAATGGATGGCGTTAAGATGGGCTACATTTGGAAATTACGGGGAAGGGAAGTGCGCATCAGGCCTGAAGGAGCAAGGAAAACCATGCACTCGTCATGCTTCATAGTGGACTTTGCTCGATAAGACGTCTAGGGTGCGATGCAGAAACTCAAGCAGATGAGATATATAGAAAGGAGTAGGTGGTGTGTAAAAGCAGGAAGAAGGGAAAAGATTTGAAGTAGTCCATGTTCTCCAGGCGTCCAATTAGTAGCAAATGTACCTAATCCAATCAAAGCGTAAGACAAAGTGTCTACCTGTGCATACCCAACCCTGCAACAGCAAATCCCTGCCTTCAGAGTTGTCTTTCTATTCGCCATTGAACAACAAATAACTTGAAAGGAACCAAGAAAATCAAGCATCCACACTTTCAAAGCCGACAAGCAAATACAATCAAAATATAGCCCCAGTGATAATTCTGAAATATCCACAGCGAATGCCAAAAACCCAATGAGACCGCAGTGACAATCTCTGCAGGCCTCAGGCTCTAAGCGGAATCAACCGATGTGTCGAGCACCGGCATGCCGATATGATTTAGATCGGGAAACCGATATGTGTGAACGGAGCCGCTGTCCAACAGTCAAATGGGATGTACTTATGACACGGTTACGCAGATCCATAAGCCAAATACCATAAGGTTTGAGCCGAGGAGGACATACACCGAGTCTAGAGCTGACAATGTATGAATGGGTCGTAGATGAAATGTATAGGTAATTGTCGAGCATAGAGGCAGATGGACGTTGGACGGGCATGGATGGGAAGCTTGCAACTCAGCAATAGAACATGCATATACTGTAGGACACGTCTATGACCACAATTATACAAGATTGGTCGATGGGATTACGAAGTCAAGTCTACAAGGAAAAAGAATACTAGAAGGAAGGTAATAACGAATGTTTGAACAGGGAAATGTATTTTGTTCTCAGCATAAGCATATGAAATTCATCAACACATCATAATATGCATCCATCAATAACAGCACCAAAGCGAATAGCTTAGATGTCATCCTCATCGGAGAAGACCTCCTCACCACGCTTGCGGCGGGCAGCACGCTCCTTCTTCTTCTTGCGGAGCTCGGAGCCTGTGAAAAGGGATAGGTTAGCAAATGTAAATTCGAATAAATTGAGAGGAATAATGTGAATAACTTACCAGTAAGCTTGACCTTCTTCTGAACAGTGATCTTGTTACCCATGGCATCGAACTTGTCCTCGTCATCGTCACCCTTGGCGTCGAGACGGGGGCCGGAACCCTGACCCTGAACCCAGTTGTGACCGGAGGGAGTCATGACACCGTCGTTGACAGCCCAGACTTCCTCAGTGAGGTTCTCAGTGAACTCACGAGAGTGAGTAATGATGACAACACCACCCTCGAAAGACTTGATAGCCTTGGAGAGGGCACCGAGGGAGTCACGGTCGAGGTAGTTGGTAGGCTCATCGAGGACGATGACGTGGGGACGCTGCCACGAGCAAGCGGCGAGGACGACCTTGACACGCTGGCCACCGGAGAGACCGCGCATACGGGAGTGAGAGACCAGCTCGGCATCGAGACCGAAGTTGGCGCAGTGCTGCTCAATCTCCTTACGGACAAGGGGACGGAACTGACCGGAGGCGAGGGCCTCCTTCTGGTCAACCTCAGCGACCTGCTTGGGGTGAGAGACAATGATCTCGGAACGGGGCAACCAAGTGTTGTCGTTGGACATCATGGGAACCCACTTTTCGGACTTCATGCCGATGTTGTCACCCAGAGACCAAGAGATCTCGTACTCGTAGGTGTTCTTGAACTTTCTGCGAGAGTGGATGCCAATGACACGACGCATGGTACCCTCGACCTTGTAGATCTTGTCCATGGCCTTCTCGTCCTCCTCGGTGACGATCTTGTTGGCGCGGTCCATGGTCTCACGGTCCTCACCGGTCTGGAAACGCCACTGGATGTACTCGGAGGGAGTAGAGTCGAGGTGGTTATCGATGTGAGCGAAAGCGTGCTGCTTAATGTAGGCAATACGGATGTTCTCGTGCTGGTAAACATCACCGGCGGTGGGGATAAGTTCACCAGTCAGGACGTTAACGAGAGTAGACTTGCCGGCACCGTTGGCACCAATGACAGCAATACGGGAACCAAGGGAGACCTGGAAGGTAATTCCGGTGATCTGGGGCTTGGGGGTACCGGGGTACTGGAAGGACATGTTGGAGACACGGACGATGGCCTTGGACTTGGTCTTGACACCCTCAAGGAAACCGGGCTCGGGGAACTTGAACTCCATGTCGGAGGCACCGAGCTCGTAGTATGACTTGGCAGCGGGGTGCTGCTTGACGAAGTCGGAGAGGGTACCGCGGTAACGGCGGAGCTTGAAGCGCTCGTAGTGGACGACGTGTTGGATGACGTGGTCAAGGAAACGAGAGTCGTGAGAGACCATGATGGAAGTGCAGGGGGAGGTCTTGAGGTAGTTCTCGAGCCAAGCAACGTTCTTGACGTCCAAGTGGTTGGTGGGCTCGTCGAGCAGGAGAATATCGGGGTTCTCGAAGACGGCACGGCACAGAGCGAGCTTCATCTTCCAACCACCAGAAAGGGCGGTGATGGGACCATCGATCTGAGAAGGCTGGAAGCCGAACTCGTTGACGAGCTTGTCCTTGAGCTCCTCGAGAGGAGGGTGCTGGCCAACCTCGGCAAGCTTCTTCTGGGTCCAGGCAATGACAGTCTGCTCGGTATCGGCAGAGTCGAGGTCGTGCTCGACGTAGACGGTCTTGACCTCATCCTTCTTGGGGAAACCCTCGAGCTGCTCGTTGTTGATAGCGCGCATGAGGGTGGTCTTACCGGAACCGTTGGGACCGAGGAGACCGTAACGCTGGCCACGCTTGAGGCGCAGGTGAGTCTGGTTCAGCAGGATCTTGGCACCGTAAGCCAGGGAGAAGGTACAGTTGCAAAGATCCTCACCCTCCTCCTCGTCGGAGGGGATGGCATCGGCAGCCTCGGCGTCGGGGCAGGCCTTCTTGCGGAGAGACTCAGCGACGTTCTTGGCATCCTCCTCACCAACGATGGCGGTGATGTAAGGAAGGGTGTTCTGGGTCCAGATGACGTGGTCGGACTCCTTCTCGTCAACGAGCTGACCGGAGACGGCAGCAACGTAGTTGATGATCTCCTCGGAAGAGGCGATGGTGTCCTTGTGCTTGGAGGCCTCGATGACCTCCTTGAGAATGGCAGCGACAGTGGAGATGTCACCAGCGCGGGAAACCTCGGGGATCTTGCCGTCCTTGATCTCACCAACACGGGCGAGAGTGTCCAGAGCCTGGCGAGTCTTCTCACGGGCCTCGGGATCGGCAAGGGTGTCGAAGTTCTTGTTCAAACCCGGCAACATCTTGGGCAAGAAGGGAGCGACGAGCTGGGGATCCTCGACAAGCTTACACATGTTGTCGACGATGACAGCGGTCTTACGCTTGATAGCGGTCTCACGCTCAACGAGACCACGGTCGAGCAGGGGAACCATGATAGCGAGGGTAGGGCTGGTCACGTCAGTGACGAAAGTGGTGGCACCGAGCAAGTGAATGGTCTCGGCGACGTTCTCGGGCTTAGCAATACACTTGATAAGCTCGGGAATGAAACGCTCAATATCCTTGTTGACAATGAGGCCGCAAACCTTCTCCATGGTGGAGTAGGCAGCCTTCTTGATCTCAGCCTTGGTATCCCACATGGCCTCGGAGATAACGGGGATGAGAGTGGGAACCTGGTAACCGAGCTGAGCGGGGGCGGTCTCGACGAGGATG